AGGGGCAAATATAATCCCGACGGCGAAAAAAAGGGAAGTACAGTCTTCGGGGTCAAAATAGGTCTAGATACAACAAGGCGGGCGGTTAGAAACGCAATCTGTTACTTGCTGTGTGGATGTATCATGACGGTATTTGGGATCACACTCACTGCCATGCCTTTAATCGCTGTTGCCGAAATGCGGTATCTACATTTCCACTAAGTCAGTCATATTCGTCCTCTCGAAATCGCAACAATCATGCCGTTCCCGTCGAACCCGGAGATCGATTGAATCGGAAGGCCCAGACGGAGTCCGTGAAATTTAAAGGGCAGCAAATAAACGATCACGCACTTGCTGGTCTTCTGCTCTTGGGTTTCTTCTCTTCTTTGGCATTATGAGGGTCTTGTTCCTCGACGGAGTCCGCGCGAGTCAGGGTTTGCGACATGTCGCCGCTGCCTTGGACTGGATTCCCTCAGTCGTTCGGCGATGAGTTCAACAGCGCTGGCAAGCGGGTAATAGATGAGAGGATGATTCCGCCCTAAGCCTTCCCTTAGACAAGAAGTACGTTGAAGAGTCGACTGAGCGGCTTCGTCGGTTGTCCACACGTCAAAATCGAGCTGAATGTCCGACGTTGCTATAATAAGCTTACGTAGATCGCTCGCAGTAGCGTCCGAATATGGCTTAGCGTGTTGATAATGGAGAAACATTATTCCTGAATCAAATTGCTTATATAACATTATTAGTCAGGTAGTGCACGAGACTTAAAGCTAGCTTACTAATAGGTTACATGCTAAATATAGTTGGCCAATAAGAACAGACACAGTTGATGAGTCACCCAGACCCCTTCATCAGGCTGTGATGTCTGATTGGTTCGGTTAGGTTTCAACAACATGTCGGGATTCCCTGGACTTCATGCCATCTCTTGATCAAGGACTCAAGAACCACTGCCCCGAGTATTAATTCACCACCGGCTGCCAGAATCATCAAACTTGTTGTAGATGATATCAGAGGCATCCGAAAGGTTTTTTCACTCTCTTCCCATTCTTTTGACCTCAGCTGATGCGTTTTCCTTGGTTCTATATGAACAATACTCCATTACACCACACGGCACAGCAGCCTGCGGATGCATGTTCTCTTATCTCTTAGCCTGTAACCCTTCACCCCAATTAAAAGATGCAGAATTCACCCTTTGCATTGCACCCTTTCTTCGCACAATGACACAACCCCGAACATGATCCCTCCTCGATTTCTTTTCGAGAGTTACTCTGTATTTTCTGCAACCTTGAGGTTCCATCCCGCCTCGAAATGCCCTGGAATGCTTAAACCATTTGAAAATGGATCTTTGGGAAGACAGCGCTCGGGGCGGATGATCCCGAATGTTGGGGACGCGTGCCCGATCTCCGTTTAACCCTGACAGCCCTGACTTCATGTACCTCAATCGACCTGATATCGAGGGACCAACTGTGACTGTCTTTATTTTCCCTTCTTTTGTCACCCACAAGCTGTGTGAGACATCCCTGAACATCATGGTGAACAAACCTGATCTATCTTCCCATGATATGTGCTCCATATTTGTTCGGTTCGACTTGTCGAAATATCGCGGGGAGTATCCTTGTGAGCCTTCACCGCACATGACATATTCCCCGCAGGGTCTAGGATCATGGGCGAAAGGACCCATCCCCAACTGATACCTTTTTCAAAAATATGATAAGCTGCAAACTGAAAGAATCAAGTTTCGGCCAAGCACAAAACAATGCCGGGTATTGAAAACTCGAACTCGATATACAGAGAGTCTAATGCGAGATAGATAATATTGAACAAGAGTGTGGAAAAAGCCGAGCCTCTTTCAAACTCCGAAATTGGCCAAGGTCAAGACACGATAGAATGAGGCCACTAGTTGAGAGTCATGGCGAATCAAACTCTATCTTACTCAAACCTTGTTCGTAACAAGCGTGATATCCCGGATGCGCCGTAGATCGTCACATACACTTTACTTTCAGGCGGGACGCTTTGGAAGCGAAGGAACAAGGTGCTCCATTGGTGGAGAACTGCTTCTTTTGTCGCTGTCCGTGAAGGGTTGGAGGGCCCAAATTGACGGGAAACAGTTCGACGGTCTGTGCCCATCTCCTCACCCCAAGGAGTTCGTCAACCTATCCCAGTTCCCCACGACAGATTCTGAAGCTTAACGGCATGATCAACGCTTTCCCTGTCGATCACCATTAAGCTTGGCCAGTTGAACGTCTCGCCATCGGAGTGACACAGTGGCTTGCGCCACGGTACAGGTAAACAACGTGTTCCTCCCCCTCCGCAATAACCCTCACAGGGATATGGAATCGGTACTTTCCAGGAAACCGGCGTCCCCCCCCCTCAAGACGTCTCTATGAAGATTCTGGGAAACCTTCCGGGTTTTCTCTCCGTACTCCGTACCGTTCTATTGACAGGTTGTTTCGTACCACTGCTGTCCAGTGGCTTCCTCCCGACAGCCACATAAGATACAGCGATACCCCAGGTTTCGCAATCCAAGACCCTGTTCCTAGCCATTCTAGAATAAGGAGCCCCAAAAACAAGCCCGATAATTGGCCTTTGAGAGGGTCTCGTTGAAATCAGCTAGCTGAAATGTGTCTTGCCACCCGAAACGCTGAATGGCTGAAGTTCGACCGCCCACCCACGGAGAACGAAGGACCCGGGATATCTGGTCAGTCTTGCTCTCTGCCGCTCGATCTGATGAGTTAAATGAGCAATGTCGTATTCATGGCAAAAAGTTCAGGAAATCCCTTTCCCATAGTGCTCCTGTTATGGATTTCAGGGTGCCATTCATCAGACCTTACCTCGCAAACCCAGGCGAGATTGTTTCTCCTCGTAGTTCAGATGCATGTGTAGTCTAGCCCTCCGTACCCTCGGTTGGAGTTATCCGATATCTCGAAATCCTTAGTCAATGGCGTGCCATGAGACATGGCAAACAATCAGATGCGGAGCAGCCATCGTGATATGGACCTTGATCCTGGCAGTCCGGTGATACCCTTGCGTCTGGTGTGAGGGTTGCATGGAAGCAGCTTGTCCGCTGGGCAGTCTGAATATCTCCTGTATCCTGCCTTCCTTGACCAGATATATAAACAGTGAAGATTCTCCCCGTCGGGTTCCTTGATCGTTTCTCACCACAGTGGCTTGTGAATTTGTTCTTGGGCCATCAAGATCTTGAAATCGCAATAACGTCCTATTCGCTTTCCTGTCTCTTATCAATCCCCAATGAAGCCCACTCTCCTTCTCCTCGGCCTTGCCGCCGAAAGCCTCGCAGCCGCCGTCCTCCCAGGTGGTGCTGAGGAGGTCCAGACGGAAGTCACTCGTACCTTCGAGTTCCCCCATCTACCAACGAAGCCACCGCACCATCCGACTAGGCCGCCGCACCACACTAACACAAGGCCTCCTCACTGGCCGACAAAGCCACCGCACCATACCCACACGAGGCCCCCGCACCAATCATCGACTCGCACCCGTAAGCCGTGGCCAACCTACCATGTCGATGAGCGCGATGTCATCGACGATATCGTTGCCCGCGATGATGCATCCAGCGACGGGCCCGATCCCGATCACGTCCACGTTGTTGGCATCACCTATGGTGGCAGTGGATGCCCTCAGGGAAGCGCTCGCACCATCCTCTCTGACGATCGCGAGACGGTCACATTGATCTTTGATCAATTTATTGCTGCCATCGGCCCCAAGATCAGCCTTGAAGAGAGCCGCAGGAACTGCCAGGTCAACCTTAAGCTTCAGTACCCTGGTGGCTACCAGTACTCCGTTCTGGGTGTCGACTACCGCGGATATGCCAAGTTGGACCGTGGCGTTGAAGGCGTGCACCGCAGCAACTACTATTACTCTGGCGAGACCAACGACGTATGCAGTGTCCTTCCCTCCCCCCTGATGCAAAAGCTAACACTCGATCGCGTAGTTTGCGTTGACCACTTGGTTCGATGGTCCAAAGAACGGTGACTACTTCCTTCACGATGACACCGACCAGACCTCTCGCAACTGGTCTCCTTGCGGTAGCAGCCGTGCGCTCAACATCAACACCTCGATCCGCCTCAGCAGCCGCGACAAGAACGCCTCTGGCCTCTTGACCAACGACTCCACGGATGCCGACTTCCGACAGATCTACCACATCAAATGGCGAAAGTGCTAGATATGAGACTGTGATCGTCGCCCGATGAGCATGTTCCCTTCCCCGATTGACAATTTGGTACTCGAGCCGCTTTTCTCACAGCGAATCCATTGACGGACATTTCTGGTGGGTTTGGTTTGATGCCAAAAGGTTTTGGGGTAGAGCGCTATCGCTGCTCATCGAGATCGACCCTTTTTCATGAAGGATCACCTGTCGTTTCCGGACGCGCGTCTTGAGTTCGTACTTCGCCGGTTTATTTTGTATGTCCTCTGTTACTGGAAAGATGAGAGGGGATCTGGAGAGGGAGGCAGGCCAGCTGTTTAATCCTTTCTTTCCCTATTTTTTTCTCCCCTTTTCTTGTACATATTGCTGCCAACCGTATAAAACTTGATATTTCGAACATCTTCTTCTCTTGGGCTCGAATAAGTCTTATGTTGTCGTGATATGGACGAGTGTCGATGAAATAAACTCGTCGATCACCCGGTGGCCTGGGAAATCGATGCATGTAGATCAACGAGGCCGATTTTCAGCGATCTTCTGGGGGTCACCTGCCATTTCATGGGGGTTTCTCGAAGCCCTACTATCTCTGCCCCGTATTGCCGTGAGCTTCAGAGACGAGGGGGGGTGCTCGGATCCCCTCTATCTGCGTATTACTCGGTTTATCGTCACCGGATACACCATACTCAGCTATGAGATTTCATCAGCTTGAGCTGGCCCGAGAAACGCCAGATCCGCACCCCCGCTTTCGAAATAGCCATGTGGAGCTCTGATACCCATTCCGCCAGTATAGTCATAGCTTGTGCTATACTTATCCAAAGCAACAAAAGGGCCTCAACCACCAGGATACGCCAAGGATCGTGGTTCTGGATCGCTCACCCCCGCTCTTCCGACCGACAAAGGCGAAAAAAAGTCAATGGATGGCAAGACAGGGGGGCCGCTGGAAGTCAATTAGTCATTCTTGTGTCAATGGCGAATTCCCCTTTCCACTGGAGACAAAGCACGTTGAGTTGGGAAGAAAATCCAATTGAATGGGGGAGATCTTGTTCTTCGCTAATTCCTCGCCACCGTGACGGCAAAGTGCTGGTCTCAATTGACAAATCACGCACTGCAGTCGAGTCAGGACGTGGGAAGAAAACTCGATTCTTGAAGTGGACACGGGTATCCTGATTTGCGGCGGTCCCTGGAGCCAAAGCGAGCGATTCGTCTGGTTGATGGGACGGAGGAGGGGAGTTGAGCGCAGGTGGCGTTGCGGGCCCTATCTAATCAATCAGTGATTATCAGTCTGTGCCGTGGGATGTACCTCGAAGTACCTCTGGTCTCTTTGTTGTGCGGGCGTTTTGATACAGTTGATCTGGGGGACACAGCGAGCATGGCTGTGCGAACGTCGACAAATTCCCTCAAAAGGTGATTAACTGTACGATTTGGCGACCCAACAATTATTCTGCATCTCCGTTGCATTGATCCTCGCCTGCAAGGCAAAGATGTGGGTTGACAAAAGCGATAGGTCTCTTCAGAAGTGCACGCCTGGCTGGTATACAGTAAATAACTGGCGATTGAGTTGCCTCGTCATCGCGTATGCACTCCACTGAAGAATTGCTTTTCTCGCGGTTCGGGTGTCACACAGACTGGAGCTTGACGATCCTCAATATGGACTTTACGCAGCCAGATGGGATTCTCCGTCTCGCTGTCTTCAAGGCTGTGTCTTGAGCGCTACAAGATAAGAGCATTCACTCGGAATCAGTAAAAATGCCTTACCCAGATGCTCAAGTGAAACGTGTTCGTGCATTAGTCCTGCAGGACATACATACCTATTCAACGCTTGGGAAAGCGTTCACTGTGCCGTCGGGAGCCACGCAATCAGTGAAGGGAAGGACTATAAAAGGGAAAGAGAAACCCTTTTGAGTCCTACAAAATTTCTTCCCGCGACGTCCTATTCCCCTCGATATCTCAAATCTTGACTACTTAGTGAACTTAACTGACAAGACTTCATATTCAGCATGGAACCTGCTGTCGACGCCGAGACTTTGTTTGACTACCTGGGCAAACGGTACGAAGACGCCTATGTCAATAGCCCGCAGCTCGAGGCGGTCGTTCAAGACGTCCTCAAACAGCTCAAGCCCGGCAGTCGCATTCTAGATATTGGCTGCGGCACAGGGAAGCCGGTGGCTGCAATGCTCGCTGCCGCCGGCCACTCCGTGCATGGAATCGATGTCTCAGAGGAAATGCTGAAAATCGCTCGCGCGCAAGTACCGGGAACGTTTGAAAAGATGGATATGAGGAAGTTCGTTCCCTCATACAAGTTCGATGCAATCTTTGCGATCTACTCCCTCTTCCAGATATCTCCTAGCGAGACGCACGCCATGGCTTCACGTTTTGCCGAATGGTTGCAGGGTGATGGAGGAATCTTAGTTCTCGGTGTCGGTGTAACTCCCAGCACGAGCTTGAACAAGGTATTGATTGAAGATAAAATCTGGAACAGTGTTCGATGGGTGGGAAAGCCGTGGATGACCAAAACCACAGATGAGACGTTGATGTCAAGGCAAGGGTGGAGGGACCTTTTGCGGGGCACTGGATTGGTTATCGAGGCAGAAACTTCTTACACGTTCCACCCAGATGACTCTGAGCACAAGGTGCCAGAAGACACCTATCTTCTTGTTGCAAAAAGACTGCCACTAGTCTGCCCATTTCTTGGACCATATCCGCACCCAGAGGTGCACTCAAAGTCACGCACTCGGAATGCGTCCGCTTGGAAGGAATTTCAAAGCCGATTTGCCTTTGAGGCAGGTCAGGAAGCGATCCTAGATCCTTTGAAGGACGGCACGAAAATCCTTGATATTGGTGATGGTCTTGGATGTGAGACCCCCTTTTCACTGTCTCTTAAACAAACGTATCTTGCTAAATTCTCAATCTCCGCTTAGGTATTTTAAAAGAGGCAGTCGATATCGTATCAAAAGCAACAAAGGCACCCCTTCATACATTGGGAAATTTGCCTTTCGCAGATCGCAGCTTTGATACCGCTTTTGCGTTGTTGACTTTGGACTACGCAGACGACCTCGAAAAGACACTCCAAGAAATTGCGCGAGTAACAGATATAACTAATCCCAACTCTCGCATCATCGTCGTCCAGTCCGCACCAGAGAGCGAATCTCAAAAACTGATGAGTGCCATTTGCACACCCCTAAGTGCGCAAGACGAGGCACGACATCAAGGGTATATCCTTCACACCGGTGCTCTCGACGTTCTTCCGAAAATGGGGTTCGGCGATGTGTGTGCCCGGCGAGTCAGGAGCAATCTCCATTTCCGCGAGGAAGAAATCCCGCGGCAGTATGACCGAGCGGCAGAATTATTCGCGGGCCTTTGGTATCGAGAGGATCCCAATTTTGAGCAAATGAAGGAAGCTCTGATGCCCCAGCTCAAATTGATGTTCAAAGACCATCCTAATATCATCCGGAGCGAGTTGGTGGTACTTCTTGCCAGACCTACTCAAAAGTAACGGCATATGCTTCCTGTGTTTTCTTTTGTAAATCCCTTAGAGGCCATATCTAGTTCGATATATAGAGTTAGATTAAACACCAATACAGTGAGCTGGAGGCAAAGATTTTGCACAAAGTACAAAGAAGCTTCCAGGCCTGTCATGGGCTATGGCAATCACACGTTAAGATACAGAATAACTCGCGGTGGGGTGACTATTCGTCCTATGCCTATTCAGACCCAAATTATGCACATGTGAGCTTCTAGGGGAATGGCTGATCAGCAACATCAGATAACTCCCTCTAGTTTTCTAATTTTAGAAAACCAACAGAGCACCCCACAGAACAAGAGCCCACGCTGCAATGAAAAAGGTAGCAAAATCGCAGACGGTTGGTTGGTTGGTTACTCTGTTGAGGCTGCATTGAGCGAGGCAAAGCCCAAGGCAAGGCTGTCTGCCAATCATGCCATCAAGGCGAACAACCCGTCTTGGAGCAATCCCCGTTGCGAGTCAATCGACACTTTTTTTCCGGTCTCAGTTGAGCCGCACACGAGTTGAACAATGTGTCCGACTCCGAGAGGGCCGGAGCTTCGTTGACTCAAAAGGGACAAGTCCCAATTGGAATGAATGCACAGCATTGCCACGCATGTCTACTTCATATACCCACAATCCTTTTGTTTGGCAGGATCATCGAATCGTGCTGGGAAAGGGGATTTGAACCTTTTTGTCTGTGCGTGTTGAACAGGCTTTCTATTCAGTGTATCTAACTATTGGTTAATCTCCCTGTGGCGCCCTCTATTCTTTGACAATTTCTAGGAGAGGGGGAGGGGATGTCCACCACGTATATCAGTGTGAATCAAAGGAGTAGAAAATCAAGGGGGAATTTGCTGTATATGTAGATAGCGTATGCAAAATGGCGAATAAAAAGGATGCAAGAGCTAGAAGGGAAAAAAAAAAATCCAGTAAAATCAAACACAACAGGGTATTCGCGATAAAAGATACCGCCAGTCTGAATGGGAGGCAACAATTTCAAAGAAATGACAATGAGAAGAGAGGAAATAAGAAAAATATGCGCAGGATGTCAAAAGATGGTTATTGTCTAAATCGAAACCCAGGCGCCATTACTCCAGCTTCAAAAACAAAGAAAAATCAAAATATCAAATCGTGAGCAACCACGCGGGAAACGCCTCGCCAACTCCATAACTATACGCCTGCACTCGCATTGGGGAAAAAAAAATAAAGAGCGAGAGAGAGCCCAAATCCCAACCGCCCACCATTCCCATTTATATAGTCTGATGCAATCTTGAGCAAAACAAAGTGAAGGAGATGCATAACCGGTGTGAAAGAAAGGCCGTATAGTTAACCCAAAGTCAGGTAAAACAAAAAGTGCTAGCAAGAACACCGCACCAATCCCGAGAACCGTATCCATTCCCATTCAAATGCATCGCAGAAAAGCAGGAGTAGTGTCGTTGTCATAACAATCAAAGTCGTCGATGATAATAATAAAAGCGAGATTATCGCCGTTGTCTTTTTGCTGTGGTGAGAAGTAGGTAGTCCAGCAGACCCATCGCCTCCACAGAAACGGCACGGAAAGTAAAGTTTGAAGCTCGGACCATCGAGCGGAGTGCTCGGCAGAAAAAAATTCAAAAAAGCCAAATCAACAAAACAACCTCGTCACTTTGACGTCCATGATATCGAGTGTCCCGAATGGAGTATTTCGAGGGCACATTGTGATTATTTGGGGGGTACAGGCTACCAGAACCTGTTCTTCATCTCGCTCGAGTCTTCGATTAATTGTATTGTTTGAAATAATCCGCATTGAACCACCCAACGCGATCGTAAGCAGTCCAAAGCTTGCTGGCCTTGTTGACATCAATCTTACACGCCTGCTGCGCATCTGTCTTGCGAAATTCCTTACCCCGACGAAGGGCATGGAGACGAGCTTCGAAGATGCGTCGCTTGCTGCACAGGTAAGTGGCACAAGAGAGACGGAGCGTGGCAGCGAGGCTGATTTCAGAGGAGTCCAGTGCGTTTCTATCCGGGTCGTTGCTGAGATCAAGAACCTGGCCTTTCCAATCGGCTTTGAGGCCCTTGGTGCCGCGGAGGGTGGCGAGCGGGGGTGAATAATCCGGAAGGGAGTTATAATCGGTATCATCGCGATTCGTGCCGATCACGCGGGGCTTGGGTGCACTGCGAGCGGGGGTAGATTCAAATGAGTCGAGCGCCTTGGACTTTGGAGTGGATCGAGGCGTCCGTTTCGCCCTCTGCGGTTTCGATACGCGCCCACCGCTAGACTGGCCCTTTCTCCCAGGCGCAGGGGCGAGTTTCTTGAATTTCGAGTTCGACTCGTGTGTTTTCGGATGCAATGTGTCCCACTGACGGTCGAAGATCTGCCGTTCCTTCTTGGCCCAGGCACCGGGATTCCGGTTGTAGTTTGTGATTACACGCGAAGCGCAAGCCAAAGCCAGCATATACTCGTCTCGAGTTGGTGGCTGGAACTTGACCCTGCCCGTCGACTTTCTCTTGGCAATGTGTTTCTCTACCAGCGCTTGGGCAGCAGGAGGGGCGAGTTCAGGCCCAAAGAGCGGCTCGTTTTCAAATGCGGACGATCTTCGATCGGAGGGGAAGAGCACTGGATCTCTCGATGGGCCTGCGACTGCATTGGCATCGGGCTGTTGGGCAGAATTGATCTTTCTGCTCCGCTCGTAGGGAGTGACGGGTGGCGAAGGCAGATCCATATCGGTCTGGGACTGAGCGCGTTCGGGGGCGATGGGAGGCAGTTTGTTGGAGGAAGGAAAGGGCGGTTGATAGCAGGGGGCGTTGAAGCTGTCAAGGGGTTCTGCCTCTGGGGGAGACACCAGGCTCGAGACAGGTAGCCGGGTCATATCGGGGCGATGTGAGGACTGCATCCAAGAGAAAGAATTGGGTCGTATAATGGGAGCCGATTCAAAAGGCCTTATCAGGCTGAGCGTATGTCGGGATGGATTGATCAAAGAGGCTTGGTACGACGGGTGTCAATGAATGGGGAGAAAGAAAGAGAGGGAAGAAAGAGAAGAGGTAAAAGAAGAAGAAGAAGGAAACCGGAAAAGCAGCCAGCGCCTCAAGGGGGAAAAGAAACGAAGTCAGATGGCCGAACTTGATGACCAAGACAGAAGTCAATGGAACGCCCTGGTCTTGGCGGCCGATTTGTCAGGCGGAGGAAAAGTGGCTGAAGGGGCGGTGGCGTGGCGATAAGAGCCGGACTTGTCGGGGTTAAGTCCGGGCTGAACGCTGTTATGTAAGGCGGTCACGTTTTCAAGGGCGGTGGCCTTGTAGCACGATGTATCTGTTGGTGGTTAGAAGAAGAGGAAGACGACGGAGACGAGTGGGAGACGGATTGGGGTCAGCCGGTTTAATACACGGCGTGGATGAGTCAAATGATACAATCATGCCTCGAGGATGATGTATGCGTGTGCTGTTGGGAGGGGGCACCAGTCATTCTCCCTCGCTAGGCACCCGGAGCAGCCAATCCCCCGTCAAGGATTCTGGCATCGGGAAGACAAAAGAAGGGAACGGGACCATACACACCTGTTCGAGAGTCCAATGGGATGCAGAAGGGTGCGTCGTTTTGCTGTGAATCGTGATGCAGTTTGCCACCAAGTGTCAGGTTCAATCGAGGAGATGGAGGAGAGGAATTGGGTAGTAAACGTCAAAGGGAGAGGGAGAGAGAGGAGGGATGCGTATTGATGAGTGGGCTGAGTGTTGGGGAGAGATTTTCAGGCAGAACAATAATAAATCGGCCTATTGACAACAGATAGATTACCCGCCCCTGGTATTATTATTGAGCAATCATTAGGGACTCGTCGAAATGCCAAAGTCGCATTAACTGGACAAAAGGCAGGTGTGGGGATGGATGGCATTTTATAGCTTTTCCTCCGTCCGCTCACTATGTACTTCCCAGGCGGATGGATTGCAATCCAACCGTTTGGAGATTTGACTACAGGATAACTGCCTATCGGGGGCGAAGCGCGGGCTGCGACGGAACGCTATTGCTCGCCAGGGAAAATGGTTTAAGATTTATTAAGAACGGTTGACTTCAGGCAGTGAAGTCGAGCAGCCCGTTCTGGTCCATCGGCATAATTTTAGAAGGGAACAGAACCACTGCCCAGGGCAAACGTTTGTTTGATTTGATGGGGATCGCACAACACGGCCCCGTTTTCCCTTCCCCCCCAGGGCCCCAGGCGCATGTTTTGAACGGCGTATACGGATCCTTGTCTCTCTCTTGCGCCCAGTCAGGGTAAAAAAAAAAAAAAAAAAAAAAAGAAACAAAAGGGACAGAGAGGCACAGTCGAGGAAGCAGGCGGGTAGACAATTTGGCGCCAGGCTATTCTATTCGACGGGGCTGGGAACCTTTCTGGTTCTCGGAACCCGCCGTACCTTAAATCCCAAATCGAGTCAATTGACCGACGAGAGTGTCAAATCAGCCGCTGAGTTGGTCAATCAGCCATAATTGTCAGCGTCATCTACTGCGGCTGATCGAGGGTTGACTGGGTCAGCTGCCTAAAGCATTCCGTGCCATTGATCAATGCGTTTGATTCCTTTGGATCTTCGGCGAGGACGGAGAATTTTCCCATCAAGCACAGGAGCTTCACTTGGAATCCCGATCTGCTCATCGTTGACGATGACATGATGCTGTTGCTCCTGGCAAGGGTTCCAGGCCGTGATCCCCGCTATAGTTCGTCACCTAACAAGTCACCCCGGGGCTCTCGCCAGGCTTGTGGAGCAAACGACCCAGCGAGCGAAGACAAGTGTCCGAAACCCGCTTCTCAGCTGTTCTGCACCGGCGTCAAAGCCTAAGATTACCCTGTCTCATCAAACGGACAAGTCACCGCGCAAGGCTTGTGCCCAACCATCAAGCACGAATTGACAAATCAAAGGGCCGAATTCTCCAGTCAATCGCATCATCTTCACTGTCAGTCTGTCAGAACCCTTGAGTTTCTGGTCCTGTCATCTGTCATCTGGCACTGAAATGGAAAATTTCCAAAACCTTGCTTCATTTCCCGGCTGTCGCCTCGCTGCCTCTCTCGATTGACCGGTTCAATTGCGAAAAGATAAAATCCGTAGCTCTAAACGTTCCTGGGGATATGAGGTCATCCTTGCGAAATTGCTCCTTCACCGCAAGAATCCTTGCCCTCCAGCGCCGTTGCCTACGATGCTTTGACATCCGACCGTTTGACTGGAGAAATGACTGTTTTTGCCTGTTTTGCCTTGTCCTCCGAATTGGCCAACGGCATTTCAAGCCCTCACGGCGCCAATGTCGCTCTCCCCCGTGATCAGAAACGGGGCCAGCCCAATGGTCGCAGGCCCGGTGTCGCCTCCATTATTGGCTGGTTTCAGCCTAAACTCGTGGTGCCGATAAACGAGGGGCCGTAACACCTTCTCTTAACACGAGGACCGGATGGACGCTTGCCCAGTACACCGCCTGGAGGCCACGATTTGCGTCGCTTTCGCGCTGTGGCTTTCTTGGTGAGCACTGCAATTGCTGAGAAGCAAATGCGGGCAATTGGGATTGCGTGCCGTGGTTACTGGGAGGATCTGTCACTGTGCGTGTGTGAAGACGGTCTTGGAGTTGCATCTCGGCGGGCTGTGTGGCCGCGGGGCAGCAAGAGGCTTGATCTGCAGCAAGGCTCCCTCTGCACTTAATTAGTAGACTTTATTATTTTTATCCCGTACAACCAATCCTGCGGGTACGGGTTCCGCATTGGAAGCGGGCCCCCCAAGAGGCCACTCTCAAAGTGCACGGCACGTCCGCAGAAGCACAGTGTCCCTCCATCTGAACATCCCCGTCCGAACGTCCAATCCATCCTCCTCTGCACACTCAAATCAATCAATGCCCAAATGCACAGCGACACACCCGATGACTTGCGCAGATACCTCTCACCAGGTCACGGGTGCCTGACCGATCATCCACCCCCGGACTCCCAAGCCCCCTCCCACTGCAGCCCCTCACTTTTGCGATGTGCTCACAGACCAACACCCAGCCTATCCGCATCCAGTCATCGCCCCCGGTCGCTGCAGCCCTTTGAGTTTAGTCCCGGAGCTTGTCTTCTCATTCGGTCGTCGTGTGAGTCAGGCGCATGACATGATACACTCACTCTGCTCTTGCTTGGTGTAACGGAAAAGTCACCAAGTAGTTAGTTATACCGGATGTGGGGTTTCACCCGCGATTCTCGTTGGGAAGACGCTCAACGAGTCCTGTTGTTGTCAGCAATTGACAGCCAACTACCAGGCAGCAAAGGCCTTGCGATGGTCAATTTGTCAGTGTGACTCATTAGGCTTTCCTGATCCTTGCTGGACGGCGTTTACGGACCAAAAGGACGGGCGGTTAATATGCCCCCGTCAGCCAGCTGGGGATTTCAGAATGTTGGGCGGAGGGATAGTTCTTCCGTGGCTGTTCGTCACATGTAAATCTTTTCGTGCTGAAGGAGGTTTCTAGGGCCTCAAAAGCGAGAATCTTGGGGGAGCACGGTTGACAGGAGATGTGATCAGGAATACAAATGCAGATGAGGGGCGTCCTCTTGTTGACCACCAAGAAAAGGGCTAGGAAGATGATGATTTCAATCGAGTTTCACGCCAAACCGCCCGCTTATTTCTTCCTCTGGCTGCTGATTGGCAACGAACTCCCCCTCCTCCTCCCCGCAAAGTATTAAGTTGATGGGCGAGGGGGGGGGGCTTGCCATCTGTCATGCGTGCAGCTCATGAGATGCAATTGACTTTTGCTTTCTTTCTTTTTTCTTCCTTTTTGGAACGGAGTCCATGCGAAACGGGATGTGTACCTGCGAACTGCCTCGCGAGCTGGGATTTGGCCAGAGTGATCGAGGGTGCGTGTGCATTGATTGATCTGAGGGCAGGCTAGTCCCGCATGCAGCAATCAAAGGAGGCGCCGGGGCGGCCGCTTTCTTGTCCCCTTTGATTGTGTCAGACAAACAAGCAATCAGCGAACAAGCACCAGACGCAAGGGGACAATTGTCAGTCGCTATGCCCAAAATGAAAATGTCTATCTACGGTGTCTAGTTGTACACTCTACAGTCCAAAAAATCCAAACATGCTCTTCTCCTTTCTAATCGTACACAATCCCAAGCTCAAACCACCCATCTCTCAAAGCCCAATAGCCGCTTTGACCTGCTTCATCGTCTTCTCCGCATTCCTCCCCGCTTTGTCGGCGCCCTCCCGAGCCACACAATCAAGATACTCCCTCCCCCGCTCATCCGCCATCAGCTCTGCATACCGCTCTCGAACCGGAGCCAAATGCCCAGCAACTTTCTGCGCAACGTGCTCTTTCAAACTCTTCAGGCTCAAGTCTTTATGCTCCTGTGCTAGTTCCGCCGGTGAGAGCCTGGACGTGTCATCAAAGTTGCTGAGGATGTCGAGAAGGTTAGATACGCCGGGCCGGTTGTCGGGGTCATAGGAGATACCCGGTTCACTGTCTGTGAGTGCCACTTTTATCTTTTTGTGAATGGTTTCTGGGTCATCGGTGAGGAGGATGCGGGAGTTGGGGTCGGTATGGGACTTGGACATTTTTTGGTCAGGGGACTTGAGGGACATTATGCGCTTGGCGGGTGCTATTCAAGTATGTTAATTCACAAAGCCAGGCTGAAGGAGTAAAGGATAACTTGCAGACGAGCGTATCTGGCGGCGTCAGCACCGGTCCGTAAATGTAGTTGAAGCTATTTGCGACTTCGCGCGCAAACTCCAGGTGCTGCTTCTGATCTTCGCCCACAGGGACGTGAGTCGCCCTGGTCTCATTGTGATCAGTATGCTTTTTCGTTTGGATTATTACCAAGGAGCAAATCGTACGAATGAACCAGAATATCCGCCGCCTGCAGCACAGGATATGAAAACAGCCCCAATCTCAGCTTCGCTCGCGCACTAGGGTCGTCCAGTGTCGAACTCTCCGGCAGCTGTAATTTACTCTTATCCCCTCACGCATCAGCAATCAAATCGCAAAAGGCGGATTCCAACAAGTCCAACAAGTCCAACACACCTTCCACTGCGTCATCCTCGACAAATACCCCATCGAGGAAACCGTACTCAATATCCACATCAACTCCGCATGCGCCGGAACCTACAACCACAACTCAAAACTCATCAGTCCAAACCCTTTCCCCCTCCCCAAAAAAGGAAAACCCGGAGCAAAGCAACAAGAAAAGTCCCCACCGCACTCTGGAAAAACACCGTCGCCCTCTCCGCCCTCAATCCCACCGCCAACAGTATCGCAAACGACTGCCTCCTCCACTCCCGCAACACCTCCGCCTCCTGCGGCAGCGTCAGTGCGTGCAGATCCACGATCGAGTAGATCAGCTGGTCCCCAGGACCGGCTTCATCTTGAAGTTTCACCCATTGACGGAGTGCGCCCAGGTAGTTACCCAGGTGTGGGATGCCGGTGGGTTGGATGCCGGAGAAGATGGTGCGCGGGGAGCTTGGGGAGGTGGGAGAGGTGGATGCGGCGCTGGTGGTGATTGGGTATCGTTGGAGCCATTGGCGCCGCGGAGGCGGGTTTTGCGTTGCACGGACACTTGAACAGCCTGAGAGACCGGCGCGGGTTCGGAGACAGCGGGCGGTTGTTGACATTTTGAGGCTCTTTGGCCGGTGAGAGATCGGAGGAGCTGGCGGACTTCAAGCTCAAGAAAAATAATCACGTGATCCAAATGGTTGTTTATATGTCTGGGCCATTACACTACTCGGAGATGCAAACACAGGCCCGGTGAAGTATGGATGATCTCCTGTGCAGATTGACAGGACGATACAGTTATACATTGAACATATACTCCAAATTTCCCAGCTAAAATGTCACAAACAAAACCCATGATAACAACAGCTGGTGATAATACATGCATTGCCGCGTTCACAGAGTGAAACTCTTTATTCATCGCCTTCGATGCCTCTTTTGAGGCTTTTGAGGGTTTTCCGTCTCCTCGCTTTTAGGCGCGCGGAGGCGGGTATATTTTCGAACCTCGTCTAGTGGCGCGTGATTGCGCGTGAATCGTTCCCTCTCAAGAATATCTTCAATTGACTCGGAGAACGGCGCACCATCCCTGGCGCCAAATTTGCCGAATTCTTCATCAAGGGATTTCAGGGATTCCATGCCAGCTTTGTCCATTGATTTGCCGAGATCTGTGTCGGGAGTGAACGAACGTAGTTAGCCAACATGCCCAAGCGGTGCGTACGCGCGCAGCCAGACAAGCGCGTCCTGTAGTCGGGGTATACATACCTAGACTAGAATACTCAAACACATTCGCCTTCATACCCACGCCATGGAACTGGTGTTTCCGCAAAAATGCCAACCACGCCTGCACCCCGTCCGGATTCCCATCCTTAATTTGTATCAACCTCCTTTTCGTGATTCTCTCAAAATTCTCTGGAGTCTTCTTGTGAATGAACGGACTTCGCAACACTGTCCACCGCTCCACGAGCCGTGGGAGCGGGACGGGGCCGGCTGCAGGTAGACGGAGGTAGTAGGCTGCTCGGAGGGCGAAGTCTGCGAAGAACTCGACGTGACGGGCGCTATAGGAGCGAATTTGGAGATCGCATACGGGAAGGCCAAAGGTAGCTTCGCGTTTGATAGGTTCGAGGTAGAGCGCCTGAACGCTTCGGGGGAGACGGAATTTGGAGCCAATCGACTCGAGACGTTCCATCCTGAAGGAAAAAGGCGGTTAGTTGATATCCTAGATTGTGGCGGAGCGTGTAATGGGTCGTTCGATTGACTAACCATTGTTTCGCTGCAGGATCCTCATCTGGGTTTTCGGCATAGCTGTGGTAGATGAAGGCGTTAGCAGGCTAGTCGTCGCGGAACCGGCGCGGAATGCTTACGAAATCTGTTCAGGAGTGAATTTCGACGCATCCACGTCCCTCACCTCTGGGGGTTGAACATCATTCAATCTAGGCGATGTGGTGCTGAGCGGTCGGATCGGGCTGGATATCTGTCGATGAAAAAAAGTGTGAGAACTGTGGAGCTCAACATATCAGGAAGAACGTCGCGAACCTTTAATCGCTTGCTACATCGCAATGCCGATCTGAAATAAGGAATTGAAAACATAATGCCTTGCGCAGCGGGTGTCTTCGCGTACCCCGTCCTCTTCCTTCTCTGCTCTCCCTGTTGTGCAATTCGATTTTTTGGAGATGAGCTGGTTAGTCAGCACATCAGCCCTCCGACCAATCACCACGGTCTTCACCTAGTTCCGCCCCTCCGAGCATTCCCCTCGCTGCATCTCTTAGCGCACCTTGCTTTCCTGGCGGAATTGTGAATGCTGTTACATTTGTCCTGGGGAATTGTAGCTGCGGCCTCCGGAATCTCTCCAACTACAATTTATCCTCCAAGAGAAAACTGCTAGAACTATAACTATACCATCTTCCTTTCGTCTGAACTCATCCCACTTCCCCGCCAGAAAATTCCAAGAATGGCAGAGTCATCTATCTTCAAACAAGCCCAAGCAGCATTAAGCTACTTGAACCCTCGACTTCCCGAGGCTTTGCAGAAGCCTCAGGTAGCCGTAATATGTGGTTCCGGCCTGGGTGGTCTCGCAGACTCCATCGATAGCAAGAGCAAGGTTGAATTTGATTATCGGGATATCCCTCATTTTCCAGCTTCGACGGGTAACTCTCACTTGCGTGTTCCTGTTGTAAGTTAGTTGATAGAGATTCTAACACTGAGTAATAGTTCCGGGACATCTGGGGAAGCTTGTGTTTGGGTATTTGGGAGAGAATACTCCTGCTGTATTGATGGTGGGAAGAGCACAGTGAGTCGTATCCCTGGGCGTACAATAGGCAACATAGATGTGGGAATCCAATCTCTGAAGGGATGAACAGTTTTTACGAGGGGCATTCCATTGACAGGGTGACATTCCCGGTACGACTTTTCAAATTACTGGGAGTAGAGATCATGATTGGTAAGTGAAAGTATTTGCTGGTTAAGGACTTCGGATCAGGATAGTAGCTAAGCCATGTACAGTTACCAATGCAAGCGGAGGGTTAAACTCTGAATATGAAGTCGGCGACGTTGTTTTGCTCAACGATGTGCGTTATCATAATCACAGGAATACCAAACAAGCTGGACTGATAACCTTCCCTAGCACATTTTCCTTGCCGGCCTCGCCGGCTTACACCCCCTGCGCGGACCCAATGAAGACGAATTTGGCGTCCGGTTTCCAGCACTCTCAGATGCATATGACATTGAGTTAAGACGAACAGCACATCGCGCATGGACCAAAGTAATATCGGTGGAAAGCAGGCGTAGAATCCACGAAGGCGTATACGCCTTTTGTGCCGGCCCCAGGTAAGCTTAAACCCGCCGTCAAGCCTCTTGAATATCACATAGCCAGACAAACTAAGCACACAGTAGTTTTGAAACTCGGGCCGAATGCAGGTTCCTAAGGCAACTGGGCGCAGACTTGGTCGGCATGTCGACAGTCCCTGAGATCATTGTGGCGCGACATTGTGGACTTCGAGTGCTCGCATTGAGCCTCGTTACCAATAATGCAGTGCTAACTCCAGTCCCTCGTGGAGATGATCATCTCCTCCAGCAGACGGATAAATCCAACCTCGATAAGATCGCCGAGGAGGGCAGGGCAAATCATGAGGAAGTGCTAGAGGCAGGCCGTCAAGCAGCAGTGGACGTACAGGTACGTCAACCTCTTCTTTACCCTTCTCTTCACTGGGTCTAACGGGACCCATAGAAACTAGTCAGACAGGCGGTCATAGACATGTTCCCAAAAACCAGTAATTAAGCTGAGTATCCGAGCCCGTCGCGCTCTGATATCTGCTAAGGCGCCTGTACCTATATAGATCCAGGGTTGAATACCCGTTGTCTTTATAATCTGTCCTTAGACGGTAATTCCAGAAATGATCACTTCCGGCCTCGTCTCCGCTTAGCTTGTAGGGCTTTGTAATGAGCCTTCTTGCCACTGGTCTTCGTGTCCTGGATTTCGTTGTATTTACGTTTGAAGCGGCCATTTTCTTCTTCGGTAGCCATGGCTTCTTCGACGAAATTCTTCTTGCGATCTTTCTTGGTGATCCTAGCACTGAAGAACTCGGTTGGACCTTCAACAATAGTACCAACCTGCGAATACTCTGGAAGCTTGGCTTTGCCATTTTCTTTCTTATAATGCCTTTTCGGGTCAAGAACGTTCCTCATGCGGAGGAGCTGGAGGTCCCGCTTGAGCTCTGTGGTGAGAACTGTCTTGGGGAGTCCAAACCAGTCTGGGCCGGCGGTGGGCTTTTCTTTGGCCTATGTTAAGCCGTCAGCATCATTCAATCGAGATACATGCAGATCGGTCTGGATGGAATATCAAGTAGAGGATGTAGAATGTTCAGAGTAACTATGATTATGAAAAAAAACTATCATGGAAGCAGACTAATCCAAAACGGATTAGGGGACCTGCATCAAGAAAAGTTTGGGACTTGTTTTCCTCATAACATCCAAGGGTGCAACGCAGGCATAGTAAGATCAAGAAAGGGAAAGACAAATACGAACCTTTTCCGGCTTAGGTTGTTCAACCGATCGAATGGTTTCTGAAAGCTTTTTCAGCTGGTCCGGAACCGCTCGCGCTTCATCCAGCAATGCTACACCATTGACTTCTGAGACATAAGGTTTTGCAGAGCGTTCAACCTTCAAAGTAGGGATACTATTTCAGGAGCGTAAGTCAGTAAACGGAGCTTGAATCATAAGAGTCATAAACTACAACAATGAAATAAAACTCACCGTACTCGTGCCTCAGGCTGCGGTTTCTCAGTTAATGCCAAATGGTCAGCTTGCTCTGTCTCAACCTTGCTATTGTCTGAAGAATTCCTTAGAAGCCGCTGCTCGGCTTCGAGCAGGAGGGCTTGGATCTCTTCTTTAGAGAGTATCTCCCGAGCTTGCGCAGTCGCAGTTGCCATTTTGCCCAGCTAAAGTTGAACGAATTTCGAGTCAAGAGCTCCTAACCATTCACGCATTGGTGGTGTCACTCGCTCAGGAATCCATGTTGAACTGGATGGTACTTTGTGTGGTAGCTGTTTTTTTTTCGTTTTCACGAGAAATTAATAGCGAGACGTCGCCAAGACCCACGTGACGCTCGTTGTGGAATTACAATTGTCCGTAACTATCTAAACTAATTACATAATCATGGATATTCATGCGCACTCGAGTTGACGAGCTCTTGAGCATACGGAGTACGGAGGACTTGTATCTTGGTGCTTTCAAAAAATCTCATGGATTAGCAATGGCTTTAGCATGATACGCCCAAAACACAGCGAAGTATCGAGTTGTAAGTATTTTCATCGGATAGTTCAGCAGGCCATTGGCCATGTCCTGAGCCTGAATGGAAGTGATGGGTGATGAATTGTTGGTCGATGCCTCATGTAATATGTTATAGAATTTTGCCAGGTTTGTCCCCATTTTTTGAGGTGACAGCCTTGGGTCAATACTAGTGGTGCTCACAGGTTGCATGCTACGCCAAAAGCGATTTTCAGCTGATTTACTGACGTCGTGGATGTTGACCGCAGCCATAGATGGGAGGTGGCATACGCCGTGAGGTGCCAGCGCGGTACTTTCTTCCTGTAAGTCAAAGTTTAAAGTGGATTGGGTATGGTTTTACTTTGCAAGTATTCCTCATCATCGAGGAATACGAGAATTGGAGGTATGGATACTCTCCATGATCGGGCACTTAACTGTCCTGGCCCAATGGCGGCGAATCAAGACTGGGAGCGCCAACTATGGTGCGAGACTCTAGGAAGAAGCTCTGTTGACATTGGTGTCCGATATAGAAGGCTTCTGACGAATAGTGGCTCTCGAGCTTCCGGATTGATTCATCCAGATTTGATGCAAACCAAATGGCTGGAGAACGCTGTCACTCGAAGAGAGCACATTGTACACCGTTGCAACGTTCTTCGGAAACACCGTAGAATTTCCTTTGGTAGCCCAATTGCAGGGGTAGTGTAACATGATGGGGCTATTGGGTTCTGGTTAATAGCATTCCCTTTTTTCCCCGTTGTACTCCGTACTCCTTATGAGAGTTGTTGTGTGTAAGACTGTACCATGTTTTCAGCGCAACACCCATTGCAACAAGAATTCATGAGCGGTATTCGCTCATGGGTCGCAGATGGCTTTACCATAAAAAAGACGTTCCCAAATCAGTTGTTTGGCCAAAAAGTCTTCCGGAAGCGAGGCCCGATAGTTAGCCTGCACTCGCGAACTCACTTGCCAACACACAAGGACAACAATGCCGATCGAGAGACCGAATGGCCAACTAACTAGTTAACTAGTTAATCAAGGCCGAAAGAACGGACGAGAAAACTAAGAGCTCAAGTCATCAGGGCTCCCGGACAAGCTTCAAATGGAATCCCGGACGGGAAATATCACCAGGCCAATGCTAGCTATCCCGAAAGTTTCGAAACAGCTAAATAGCCGCGATGCTGATTGTAATGAGTTGGTATAGATGAGAACCCGTCGTAGGCCTCGATGAGACAGCGGCAAAGTAATTGGCTTTCAACAAGGCGATCAATGGGAATCGATCCTATTAGCTGCTGGGATTGGGTTGCTGGACGCCTTGAAACTCATTCTTGCCTCACCATGCAGTGACAGGGGATGAGGTTGTTGGGCAAGGCTGGGGAAATCCGTAGCCACCTGGTTTGGATATCTGAAGTAGAATTGGTTTTCGAAGGGCCATCCCATGGCTCACCGGAGAGATTGTTGCACAGAAGACAAATGTCAAATGTGATAAGAGAAAAAGGAATTCCTGAAAGCATGCAACTAGTTCGTCTTTGGGCAACGACTATTTGTGGGATGCTCAATGCGGCCTAATCAGCCTGGTCTGGAGGGCAATTCTCGCATGCATCATCTCACATCATCACATTCAACACTCCAACCAACTTCCACTCCTTCAAGTTCGCCTGACCGTTTCTTTCCCGCTCTCTTCATTCTCGCGCCGATTTTAATTCCCCATTAGTTTAGCTCTTCCACTCGTACTCGCCCATCAGCTATCATCCTCCTCCCCTCCCGCCTCGGGACGAACCCAACCCACACGCGTCGATTGCCGCAACCCGCCCAATCTCACTCCTCCGTCCATCACCACTCCCCTCCCAGAACCTCCGCCGGCCATACGTTTGAGCACCGGATCGCAACGAGAACTCCCACTGGTCTACCGTCCCAATCGCTTCCAAATAGAAATATCAAAAACGGTGCCGAATCACGAATAATGGAGCAAACACCGTCAGGCCCTGCGGGAGCCGCGCAGCAGGCCGCTTCTTCGCGCCAACGGCATCATCATCACCAGCCACAAGATAATCAGGGACAAGGTGGACAGCAGGGTGGGCAGCAACAACAGCAGCAGCAGCGCGTGTATGATATTCGAAATGGTGGACATTATGGTTCGTTGACACTATGTCCGCTTTTATATTCTGATTCATCCATATTCTGGATGGAGGAGGATTGGTTTGCCTATGTTGAAGATCGCGGGCTGACTTTGTAATTGAATTTTCGTTGGGAGGATAGGCGCCAGCGCTGCGGTATGGGATACTCTGTGCTGTACGCCAATGGGCCGTTTGAGCTAATAGTTTTACAGCTTTCAGCACAAGGATATGCACCAGCACCGGAACTATACACAGGCACTTGGGCCAATGTGAGTTTAGGCGCCATGCGGCACGCATCAACGGCATGGAAAAAACTAATCGCGATCAAAATTTAATTTATACAGGTCAATCAAGGACTAACAGGCACAGCCCGTGATATCCTAACCACATACTGGCAACACATGATTACCCACCTCGAAACTGACAATCACGACTACAAGATCCACCAATTACCCCTTGCCCGAATTAAGAAAGTCATGAAAGCTGATCCCGAAGTGAAAATGATCTCCGCAGAAGCGCCCATCCTCTTCGCCAAAGGTTGCGATATCTTCATAACTGAGTTAACCATGCGCGCCTGGATCCACGCAGAGGACAACAAACGACGTACCCTGCAGCGATCGGATATTGCCGCCGCCTTAGCCAAGTCGGATATGTTTGACTTCTTAATCGATATCGTACCCCGGGAGGAGGCAACGTCCCATACAAAACGCTCCGCGCCGAGTGCGCCACCTCAGCATGCGAATGCGGGACAGATGCCGCCTCAACAACCCGGCGTGCAGCAGCCACATCATATGGGACCTCCTGATTATGGATCGCTGGGCCAACCTCCCATGGGTCAAGAGCAAGATTATAGACAGCAACCACCCATGTATGGCGGGGCTGTCCAGTCCGATCCTGCTTATGGCCAGCCACAACCTCAGATGTTTGAGGGAATGTATGGTTATTCGCATTTATCACACAGCAGGTTGGTGCTTTCATTTGCCTTGTGCAAGAGAATTGTACCCTAAGACTGACCGGATTGGTTGTAGTGACGGTAAATTCGTGATGTATGGATCAAGCGGGATATTCAGAGGGTGGATAGGAAACTGGAGTTGGTTAAACTTCGTTATGTTGAGATTCCTCGCGATTTCAAAAGGTATATGGTTATTTTCTCTGTCAGTAGGTTTCAATGATTGCTATCCGTGCCCCTTACTCTTCCGCTGGCGACGCAAGGCGTTAAGATGGTAATATTATGCGCAAATATGATTGCGAATTTGAATTCTCCGATCAATGCTTCTTGTTATCTGTAGCTTCGAACTTTCATTACTTCATCCCGAATCTGCTTGATAGTGAACCGAATTTGTCTGTCTTGGCCGGTGGACTTTGTACGGATTTTGTAAGCCTGTAGAAAAAAAAAAAAGATAAGCCGTCAGTCACCCCATTTCAAACACAATCGCAAGCCATCTGCCGTACTTCTCTATCAAGACCGGCCCGTTCATAGCATCCACACGACCGTATTTTTTATTTCGAATGGAAATATCATAAAACTCTTCCGTGTTATCTGCTTCCATCAGTTGCACAGTTTGCTGCAATTCATCGAGATTCTCAAGGAGAATGGGTACACCCAGCCCCTCTACGAATTTCGTGAGGTAATCAACGTCTTGAGCCAAGGCGGCAACGCCGTTTGGGTTGATCTTCTTGACGTCTGGGGATAGAGGAAGGGCCTGCTCGAAGCTATTAGAACGGTGGGTAAAGGAGCCGGGCGGGAACAAGATACGAACCAAGACCATATTCGCGGCGTGACTCAGAGCATCAAAGTATATGAGCTCTTTGATCTCGGTCGGCAAGCCAAGGAGCGTGGAATTCATAATATTAGACAAGAACCGTGTTAAAGTTTGCATGTAGTTGCTAGGTTCCTTGTGCAGTTTAGGTGCGTTCCAGTCATATTCAGCCGTTTCAATAAGATCATCAATCTTAGAATTGACAAGCTCGAAGATTCGTTTCTCGGCTACTTTTTTGTTATTTCGAAATTTGTCAGTTGCGCCAAGGGTCACTGGTCCGTCACCGGATGAAGGTGATCGTGCTGCCGCGAGGAGTAGTTCCAACTCTTGACACGCTATTTCGAAGTATTCGAGATTTATAAGAATTTGTACGATTTGGCCTAGATACTGGGCGCTGAGACGCTCGACAAGAGTTTCACAGACTTTGTCGGAAAGTAGCTCATCCAAAGACTTCCTAAAGTTAGCCAGATATCGAGCGGCGGCAATAAAGGGCACATACGGTTTTAAGAGTTTCGTCGATGACATTAGGATGCTGGAAATCGTCGTTTGAAAAGAAATAAAACTGATTGAGGAAATTTCGAATGTCGATGCAGCAAAGGGGATACATCTGAGAGAAAGGTAAAACACACGGAAAGCTACTGATCGTTAGCACCAGAAGTCTCCGCAAGTGGTGATAGTAGACTTACATTTGTTCTTCTCTTGGTTTCTCTGGAGTATACCAACTTACGTTGAGAACTTTATCGTATTCTTCTTCATTTTGTATGGCCATCGGCATGTAATCATCTGATTGAACGATCTATTTCGAACAATAAGTGGAATGTAGTATTTAGAGAGTAGCAATGGGATATAGACCTCTTGAAAATCATCACTGAATCTTCGTTTCAGAAGTTCGGCGTAACTGTCGAACAGCACTAATAGGAACCTATCAAACGCGCCAACCGGGAAACCCCAAGTCTCAAAGCCGGTCCGTTAGCGAAGCGAGTTTGCAATGAAACCCTACCAACTTACATCCATCGTTTGCATGAATAATGCAATCAAGTTTTTGATTTTTAATAAATTCTCTGCATTATTAACCGAAGGTAAAGCCTTTTTCATTAAACCAACTGCCGTTTGGCACATTGAATCCCAAAGTTCGTCGACCTGCAATTGGGAAATAGTAAGCTAAACCATATATGTAAAGAGTGGTTTTAGATGGACAGCATACATCAACCGGGGACCTCAGGTCGGGTATCTTTTTCATAGTAGTCCGCTCGACGATTGCAAATCCTGCAATCTCTTCAAGCAGGGTATGTAGGCAAGCACCCTCCTCGTCGAGAAGGCTAATAGAAGGAGGGAGCAGTAATTCTTTTTGGCGCCTCCTTGTAGTAGCATATTCGACACGGAACCTATCCATTCGGCCGAGGGATTGATGGATATGCAAGCACTCAAATAGCGGAGTGAAATCGACTTGAAGATCATCATTTAGTAACAAGTCAAATTCTTCATGTTCATCTGAAATCAGTTCAATTGCAGAATTCAGCTTGAAGTGTTCAAGATATGGCATTTTTTCAGAGCGTTCCTTTAGTCTAGCCCGACGCAGATCTGTGTGATACAGAGATATCTCTCCAAGATACTGAGACATCTCTCGAATACGGTACAGCCATGTGTTCAAATCCGCCATCACGGCATCGGCGATCGCCTTTTGAGTAACAGGAACAGAGCGCTGTATCACTTCTGCAATCTTGTACTGAGTTACTCCCTTTAAGTGGACGTTTTGGAGCTCATCCAGCGCTCGTAATGCAGCATAATGGTTCTTCTTTGCTAGCAAATCGTAGATTTGATTGGCCAAGAGTAATACCTCGAGGCAGTCTTGCAATGCCTTTGAGGTTTCATCGATGTTCTGCCGGTGACTCCGGGATTCGACCAAGGCCTTCTTTTGCTCTGCCAATCGCTTGGTACTGGCCTGGATCGATTGATTAAGGTCCAATATCTCGGACGTCAAACTAACGGTACCTTCTCGAATGTCCAGCAACTGATTAATTGAGGTGACGAATTCCTGGTGTGTAGAAGTGCAGATACTCTCAATCTGCGCCTCGCGGTCATTCGCGAACTTAGTAAGGGACTGTAGTAGCTGTGACGTTCGATTGCCATGGCTATACTCCCGGATCGAAGGAATGAGTTGGTCTAAATAGTCCGTGTCCGAGGAGGAATTGACTATCTGGATTATCCAGCCTTGGATTAGTACGGCGTTATCCAGAGTAGATCCAAACAACTTACGTGGTTGAGTAAGTAGGAGAGTTCGCTGCGTGACTTTGTCGGAGCTGGCATATTTGTTATGGACCTTGCGGTCAACGGGTATCGAAGCTATTAACACAAGCAGTCTGATGAAGCATCTCGCTTAGAATATTATGGCATCAGGGCTCTCGACGTTCATGAGTTAAACACAGGTGCCTGATGATGAAACTGGGACCGCTTAGCTAAGCAGCCGGGACGCATTATGAACCCCTATCCAAATGCTTGGCATCAACCTCACTTCATCGCATCTAACTACAGCAATGCTATACAAACCTTTGCTTTTCCTCGGAACTTCGGGATTACATATGCCTCCAGAAGGCAACCCTATCAGTACTATGAAGCTGTAGACTTTCCCTTACTGCTCTGATTCCCTCTATGAACGCACGGGCTTGGGAAGTCCGAAGTTGAATGTACAGCGCTGCTGTACGGTTTTCCACTTTCTCTTTTTGTCTATCTCTTCGGGATTTTCCATCAAATTTTCTTCTTGAATCAACACAAGGAGGCTGGGGTATTTTACAAGGCTGGGTAATCTGTCAGCTTGAGAAGCAATATTTCTTTGTTGATAGACATCTTCGAAAGATTCACGCCTTGTACAGCTGCTTATGGATGTAACGAGGTTTTTTTATCACAAGCTGGCCACTTTTCTATGCAAAAGGACAGTATTCCAATATGTGCTGTCCACCAGGGCATATAGGAAGCCAAGCCCAATGGGTATGTATTTGGAGATTTTGCTATAGAAGCTCAAGCCACAATGCCGCCGTAAGGGCACCAAGCCGGAAGCCGGGTTTAGACTGGATGGATGTATCTAGTATACTAATATAAAGGCGAATCTCCATGCAAGTTCACCCAGGTTGCAGCCCTTCCCAAAATGGCAACACCCCCTTTTGGACCAGCAAACATCCCCTCACTTGTCATAACATGTTATGAGACGAAAATACAGGGTAATCATGGTTCTTTTCCTATCTGGGAACCTCTCTTCTCACATAATTCCCCTCTGCTCTTGGCCTATTTGGGAATTCTTTCCTGTTTTTCCTTATCTTTCACAACGCCCAGGTGTTATGTTACCCTCTGTTACCTGGCGCGTATTGTCCTGTTTTGTGTTGTGGGCGGCGGAGTTGGCGGGGTGTCAGCTCGCTCCCTCACTTTGCCAGCTGCTTTCCGCCTGATATCCTCCCATTTTGCCCCGCTGCACTGAGCTTCCATCTCGACATTCGACTCCTCCCTCCCCCCCTGCCACCCCGTTCGTTGCCTCTCGCCCTGTTCTTTGAGCAGAGATTTCCTCCCCTCGTCGCCCCTTACCAGCCTCCCATTTCCCTCGGATTTCCTATCTTTTTCTCTCTCACTCATCTCTTCTTCTTCACTTTCTCTTTTCCATCCATCTTTCTCGCTAACCGCACAACCTCTCGAATCTTCGCTTCGTCTCAATTTCCACTTCGTTTCTACTCTTCTTGTTCAATCATCTTTATCTCGCTCCTCACATCTCCTCTACTTCTACAATCTACATTCTTACGCCTTTTTTGGCCCTTTCGAACTTTGCACCATTGAATCATGATGATTCACGGAAACGGATCTCCTGGCGCTGCCAGCAGCAACCATTCTTCTGATGGGGCTGCCTCTCGTCATGGTTCTCCGGAAACCAAACTCACTGCATTCTCTCCAGAGGATGTCCGCATGAAGTCGCTCCTGGACAACGGAGCCGGCATTGGCCTTCGTAGAGACGAAGTCATGGCTTTTACTTCTGCGTACGTTGCTGAAAATTATCATATATTACTCAAAAATCGAGATTTCTAACTTGCATTTCTCAGCCATTACCCTGGACACAGCCAGGATCCATTCATGACCGCTTCTGGGGCGAATGCTCGAGTTCAGCTCTCTCCGACTGCAAGCCCTTTCACCCCAGCTAGCTATATTCAAAGTGGCTTTACTGGAAATGATCGTATCTCCGCTTTTTTGAAGCAAAACGAGATGCAGCAGTCCAGAATCGGTTACTTGGCTGCGAATTCTGTCCCAGAGACTCCATTTACCCCAAATGGTTCCCTCACTCGCAATTCTCCTCCACGTTTCGGGCCAATTGGGCCAGGCTCTCTTATCCCCTTGGGTTACCCTAAACAGGATGAAGCGGCTGTCGGAAAAATGAGATATTTGACAGCTACCTCTGAGCCAGAGACCCCCTTTACTCCGAATGGGTCCCTCGCTCGAAACTCTCCTGCTCGCCATGGTACTATTGGGCAACCCTATGTGGTATCTGCACCAATTCAAATTATGTATTGCCAAATTGGCATTTTTGACAAGGTCAACCGCAACCGCGCCTTTGCCATTGATGGTGCGCCTATGGATTTGGCTTACTTGACTATCGTTAGCCTTTTTGATGTAAGTGACGTCTTTTCACCTTGGAGCCAATCTGAATACTATGCTAATTGATTCTGTTAGCGCCATGAGTTTAGCACTCTCAAAGGTCCCATCCTCACTGAACTGGGAACCCATGGCCGAATTTACGCCGGTTTTACTGATAGCCGGGATGCCAGAGCTGCTTTTGACAAAATTCAAAAGACTTATCCTGCTTGGTATTTGCAGCCTTTGACTGCTAAAGAATTTGCTGGAAAACACGATGCTACTCACGTAGCTACAACTTCTGATTACGAGGGATATATTTTTGCCTCAGTCTACTTTAACGGTCTCCAGCCAGGTGCGGATGGGCGCGTCATTTCCCATAACTTCAAAGATATCCTTGAGAAGTTTGGCGACATCAAGGCATTTTGTACCATCCCAACCGAACAGAACCACGTTATCGATTTCATCGTCGAGTTTTTCGATACTCGTCCTGCTGAGAACGTCGCATCTACCCTAAACGGAAGCTCAGTTGATGTAAGTCTACTTCCTATCCATCCTTCTGGGCATGGCCCATCTAATCTGCATTAGGATTGCATTCTTGAGATAAAACTCTACAGACCTGATGTTTTAGAGAATCATTATCTTGACCTGGAACGAAAGGATACCTCAGAATCCTTCCCTAGACAGCCACTTGAACGTCGAAATAGCATTGAGAACCAATATGTCGAACTCAGTCCAACCGGTCGCTCGACCATTCCGATTGGTGACCCTGTTAGCGAACTTACCTGGCTTCGCAGATCCGATAACAATCTTTCCTCCCGACCTCGTCATGACTTCGGACGTCGACATGAACCGCGTCCTAACAACCAAAACTATGTCGACATTGAGAAAATTCGTCTTGGTCTTGATGTTCGCACTACCGTGAGTTCCACCTCCTACTTAGTCTTAAAATATTTATCTAACAGCAACTAGATCATGCTGCGTAACATTCCCAACAAGATTGACCAAATGATGTTGAAAGATATCGTTGATGAGACTAGCTTCGGCAAATATGACTTCATGTACTTACGTATCGGTTAGTGCCCTCGATGAATTTTTTGCTCAAGCTAGTTACATACTAACAAAATTTTATATAGATTTCGCCAACAATTGCAAGTTAGTATCAGTCTAAAGCAGGTCTTTATTGGTTTGTCTACTTATCCGTATATAGTGTTGGCTATGCCTTCATCAACTTTGAAGATGTAAGCCTGCCTTTCTATTGACATAATAGACTGTTGCTGACATTGAAGTAGCCAATCGATATTATTGACGTGAGCAGACCAACCACATTAATGCCATCAGTTTTACTGATTGTTTTATAGTTTGCCAGCGCTCGTGCCGGCCGTACATGGTATGGTGTCTTTTGAATTCCTACGGGACCTCAGTTAACATTTACCACAGGAATTGCTTTAATAGCGACAAGATCGCAGAAATATCCTATGCTAGTAAGCGACAGCTATCTTCTATCCATCTAATAATTCGCTAATATTTTCTCTAGCGATTCAAGGAAGGGACTGCTTGGTTCAGAAGTTCCGTAATAGCTCGGTTATGTTAGAGCATCCTACCTTCCGTCCAAAGGTAATTTTCCAATTATCAATCTCTATACTATTTTACTAAACTCCTAAAGTTGTTTTATACTGGCACCGGACCATTAACTGGCACAGAAGAACGTTTTCCTGGCCCCGATAATCCATCCAAGATGCGGCGTAGTGTTGAAAACGCCGAGCACGTTGGCATGTATAAACTAGCTCAATCGATCAGTGTCAAATTCCAACTTTTGCTAACCTCCTTGTTCAGGTCTCTTTGCGCCGAGAGTTGGCCAACAATATCGGGATGAGCAACGTCGTCGTCGATCTCAATACGACCGTGGAACCACTGCTGCAGAGCGTGAAAACCATGGACCTCGTAACTATTATCCTCGCCGTATGACACTTGAAAGTGGGAATAGCAACAATTATGTTCCAATGTCTCGTTGGTGCGAATTCCAATACCAACACTGAGCTTTCAAGGTTAGATATTGCAGCCGTCACGCTGATCGATAGAAAATCTTCTAATAAAGTGGCAGGAAAATCATTAACTTTGATGTCGCACCCGACCTCCGTTCCTCGTTGTCTTTTATGTTGTCCTTTTCTAGTTTTGCTACGTTTGAAGGAGTCAGGGTAACTTGTCAGCAATCTTTGGGAGGCTACTAGCTGTTATTAAGGGACAGGAAGTATCCATTATCTGCCCTTCCTACTGATATCTTTGGCGGCTTGGGTATGGTGACTCGGATTTCCCTCTCGAACTTTTCCGCATTTGGTTGCGAAAAATTCAAGATTGGAAGCCTACACCTCCTCCCTCTTGCATTTCTTCCTTGCAGATAGCAGTTCCCACCCTTGCCTTTTATTCCTCTGTACACTTGTCATGGGTTATATTTGAGCTTTTGATTTGTGCTTTTTCCTGGGATCTCGCGCAGCTACCGACTTGCATCTGTGAAAGATTCGGTGAATGTGCCTTCAACTGACAGATATCTTCAAGGGAGGATGTTTTCCATGTATTATTTCCAGTGATGTGGTTTTTTTTTTTTTTCCCTCTGACGCTTTGCTTTTGCTGGAAATCTGAAGAAAACCCAAAAAAAAAGCTGTATTTAGAGAAATGATGGCTACTACTTATCTAACGGTGGAATATGATTGCTGTTGTCCACACATTTGCTGAAGCTGACCCTCGTTCCATCTTGAACTGTATTTACATTGACGGTCTGAAAGCAAACCCCAAATGACGAACAGCTCGACTAGGAGAATATACCAACCCTCCTACCCCGGGAGCCTCTCCCGGAAATCCCCAGGGAAACGCCGTCGGAAAGATTAATTAGCGATGATAAGAGTATGACACCGAATTCGTGGAGCATGAGGCTTCTTTCCTGAAATATCATATTGACCGGGGAACATTAGACGACAAGTTCCAGCTCTATTATGGAGACCTTTGGTGAATGAGTTGACTTTGCTAGTTACCCTTACCACTCGCGCAGTGTCATCAACAAGAAGTAAAGCGTGATATCGCAATGTTCTTGGCAGACTCGAGCGTCCTCTCGGACCTCTCCAGATAGATCCCCAAAGTGACTGGGTAGAATGATGTTTGTGTGTGCAAAAAGTGAGTTATGAATCTTCTTGCATTTCTCCTTGGTTCACTTTCCGGCTCCATCTTGTTGATGTACTGGGCTGCCCGGGACCGAATTGTCTTTTTTTACCAGAAAGAAAAAACAATGTCATACTCTAGTTGACTCTACTGGCTCTTCTCCTGCTCCCTGAACCCCACTAGCTTTCCAACCCAATCCTGGCTATCGTTTTCTAGGTCTTCTGAAATAAAATCGGCAATGTGCTCCAGCTTGGTCGTATAGCCAGCCATGTTGAGAACGATCTCCAAGGTCGGACCAACCCAAGGTATTTTGCCCACCCATCTATGCGGCCACGCGGGCGGGGTATCGGCAGAGGTGAGTAAGCTGTGGTGGTCTGGTTGGGAGAGTAGCTCGATCCCTTCGCGTAATGGCCGCATGATGGCGATGCAGACAAGAGTCCAGCGCAGTTCAGAAAGGGGGATGGCAGTTACGACGCTTCGAGTCTCAAGATGTTGTTGGGTGGCCAATTTGGGTAGACTGCGTTCAGGTTTAGCTAGCAGGTTTGGGGAATCCACCCACGTAGTGAATAGGTAGAAAGGTTTATCGGGATAAAAGGAGAAGAGTCCTCACTAGCTGGCGATTGTGGCTGCTGGTCGTTCCCCACGGCTTTTGTTCCCAAGAACTGGATAGTCCAGTTCACCTATCCCACAGAGAAATAGTGCTCGCATTGGAGTCCCACGCTCCCTACCTATCTCCACTGCAGCTCGCGACGCAGCTCTTGCGATCTTCTGGAGCTGATGTTCTTTCCATGGCCACACCTGATTTCCTGCCGTGTCAACCATAGCGTCGCAATTGTGCTCGCGGATCGCCGCCTTGAGGCCTTCGACATCCGTAGCGTCGCCATGAACGACACTCACTCGCGAACGGACTTCCTCAGGAGCCATGTTGTGGAATTTCTGGGGAGAACGGACATAGACCACGACTTGATGGCGGTGGGCCAAAAGCGCAGTAACCAGGCGAATGCCTAGGTTGCCTGTTGCTCCAAGGAGAATAACCCGCATTTTGGTGGAAAACAAACTCAATGAAAGGTATATAATATTGTCAACTACTCGACATTGACCTCAATAGATACAAAACGAAGATTGATCCTAAAGCCTGGTCTCATTCCGGGTCATATGCTGCCTATTAAGAGCGTGATAGAGTGAAAAATTGTGGCCGTAACTAGAGTGAGACGTAGCATGTCGCTTCATGACTACGCATCCAACGGAACGGAGATAATCCCAACCAGCGTGGGACAAGTTGGCCGTGAGCTGGCTGATATCGACATCCGAAGTTCATCGCGTCTTCTCAAACGGAGAAGCGGCGCCAAGACCACTCCGGCTCGGGTGCAAAAGTTTCCGAAAAGCTTGGCAGCGGGCTCGCAGCTCACTTTCTTCCGCCCCGGCCGAGTTCAAGCGATCAAGACCGCAGTCATGGCTCGCCGGCCCATCCATTCGCATTGCTCTTGATAGCTGTTTGAATCTCCCGCTGTGACCTCCTCAGCACTCCCAAATGCGCGACGCTCGCCTATCATCTGCATCTCCGGCTCAAATTCTGCCCGCCTCGGCGTTCGGCACTGTTCGCGACACGCTCCATCTTGTTTATCACCATAACAAGAATCAGCACCAAAGTACCAAATGGTTCAAGTGGCTGGGTATACTAAGGCGACAGACTCATAAACTGATCGTCGAGCTCCAGGCTGCTGAGCACCACGGCCATCTCGATTTGACCTTCGACGACCATGAGGCCAAAAGTATACGGGATGCTATGATCCATTTGGATCGGGACATCGTGCCTCGATGTTACGGGTGCGTCCAGAACTATTAGCTCTGCCTCCTCTTGCTACCTTCCATATTACTTCTTTTTAAACCAAGCTCATAGATTGACCTCTCATAGGGCATTCTCAAGTGTCATCCTGGACAAACAATTCTCCGCAATGGGCATGGTGTTACTAGCTGCGTTAGCCGAAATATCCGGACTTATCAATAAATCAGGACTTGACTATGCTTCTTGCCATCCCTCACTGAAATCCGAGGCATTCCATACAGTTCATGATACCGGTGTGGCTACACTACAGCATGGTCATCGTAGTCAGGAGGATATCGGGGAATTAGTTGGTCGCTCTGAGATTAGTGAAAGTCTACCGCCTAGGAAACGAGGGGGAGAAGTGAACGAGACTGAGCCACACATCTCCGTAAAAGGGCCAGGCCCCCAAGCCAACAAGGGGCGAAAAAGAGGATTGGGTCAAGAAGACCGTGAGACACGAGGCACTTTGATGCAAGAATCACCAGGCGGGGAAAATCCACAAGCTCCTGACAAAGTAGAAGTGGAAAACCACAGCTCGAAATTAAGAAAGAAAAAGAGGAGGAAGAAAGGCAATGCGATTGATGATATCTTTGGCGATTTGGGTTGAATAATAGACCATGGCATGCTTAAAAGTGATACCCCTGTTACAACCTATCTTTTTCTAATGAGCTCTATTATGGGGCTTTCTCAAAAGCAGAAGCGCTGGTAATCCCAGGCGGCACTATGCGAAACAGTTTTGAGATCTGGACATTCCTCCAGCAAGAGGTGCGAATGCGTCCAGTAAGCGGAAAAGCTAAATAAACGGTTAATCATATAATCTCGTCAATATGCCTTCTCCAAACACAATATTAATCATAACATGCTGTCCTAGCGCCCACGCTGCGCTGTAAAGGAATTTTGGTGAAAAAACCGTCCAGATGAACAAATGCGCTCGGAGAATCGTACACGCCACCATAACTGCCAACAAGCCCGTGGCCATAAACAGGGTCCACAACTGAACATGGACGTCTCGTCGCGTCTTCGATTCTTGCTTCTTCGCTCGAAGCATGCAATGGGTAGCGGATACCCACCAGATAGGGCCTGCCCAGTTGCTAGCGAACATCAGGATTCCAACTAGTACGACATTGTAACTATTTATCCCGTTATAGGCGTTTGATAAATCGATTGATGAAATAGCATTGGACCCCCCGCAGGCGAAGAAACTTGTATATTGGAACAATAGAGATGTGATTGCTATTTCGGTAGTGGTTAAGTCCATAGAAGAGAGGAAGTCGGCTTGGAGCTGGAATATGCCGAAAAGAGGGGTATTGGTAGCTCGAGATTGGGTGAGAAGAAAGAGACTGAGTAGATGATGGAAAGTAGCGGACCAGTCTAGCGTCCGTGTTAATGTCTCGAATGCTGGAAAAGGGAAGCTAGAAACTCACCTCTTCGGCTCCGGCTTTGAAGCTCCCGGCTTGACTTGAATTTCGTATACAAATTGTATACCGCCGCCGCGCCCAAACCGCAGAATATCACGCGAGCTTGAAAGATTAGCGAAAAGCCCTTCACACTCCTCACCAAAGACGAGAGTAGTGGAGCGTGGCGGATTAATTCTGGCGCATCGGCCGACGTGAAAGCAGCCTTATATATAAACGCGAAGCTTGTCAACGGGAGAAAAAGGGCCCCAATAATATTGAGTTTTTCCCTAGGATCTTGAGACCTTAGTCGTTGATACACATCCGTATACGCGAAAAGAGCCAGAATCCATAGAACAGCAGGATATTTTGAAAAGAATGTGGTGCCAATATCAGGCTCCGTAGCGAACTTTTGGCCAGTCTGGTTCCAGCGTCTGACAACCCGGGACAAGGTAGCAACGCATAAAGCATCTCCAAACTCGAAGCGGCCGCCCGATTTATTGTATCTACCAATCTGTTAGCATGTCGTGTAGCTTGGGAGGATAGGGGGGCAACAAACCTTTTCACATATAGGTAATATATCCACCCAGTCAACACCCAGTACCAAAATTGCTGCTCTTCTTCCACGTAACTACTAGCAAACATTAGGAAAAAGTAACTAACAACGACACCTATAAAATATTTCAAGGCCGCCGTAAGATTGAAATGAGTCTGAGAAATCGAAACAAGGGATAATAGGACTGCAATCGCAGCTACTGCGGTGCCCTGATATAGCCTTGACAGGGTATAATTACTCGAAGCATTGCTCATAATGCGCTGGGCCGTGCGGCAAAATTCGACGAGAGACGCCTCAGCATCAGGGAGAAGAGTTGCGTTATCTTTAGCATCGACGGCTAGCTGCGACGCCTTCCGCCACTGGCATTCTAGGATGGACAAACTGGTTGACAAATCCTTTTCACCACAGTATACGGCAGATTGCTCATTAAACTGTGGAAATGTCGCCTTGACAACATTTAGAATTTGTCTTGCGTTTCCTAGAAGAAGCTGTAATCTCTCGACATCTAGCACGAAGTCAGCAACACCGATATCTAGGATCCATGGATTTTCAGCGCGTAAACCTACTTTGGGGCCACAACGGAAGAAGTTCCGGGATGAAGACGCCTAAATTATTTAAGGAAACCGGAAATCCAAGCAAGCCTGCTAGAGTTGGCGCAATGTCAGATTGCTCAACAACATCGTAGTAGTTTAGGTCTGAAGACGCTACAGTCGGACATTCCTTTCCTTGATGAAGACGACGAAGTTTTGGAGCTATAAATGTTAGTGCCGGCGAGGTTTCCCCGGGAGATGCTCCACCATGATTCCCAGCATCATTCATCCCATGATCACCACACAAGACCAACACTGTGGAAGAAAGATGATCATTTTCTTCCATTGCAGTATAGATTTCTTTCACAATTGAATCCATTTCCCGTTGTTTAGGAACCATATGGGGACTAGGTAAATCAGATAAGCCATTACGGACATAATAGGTCTTGATTACTTACCTTAATGGGCCGGCCTTGTGGCCGATATGGTCGAGACCCAAATAATGCATGATCATTGCTGACCAATCCTCATTCTTTAATTCCACAGGGACATGGCGGGTAACATTGTTGTCCACTTCAAAAAAGTCCTGGAAATCGTTCAGCTTTCTCGACTATTTTCAATGAGAGATTTTCGGCTATACGAACGGAGACAAAAAAGCTTGTCGTTCCATCAGATCGTTCAAATATCCCGGGGAACAACTTCAGCCACGTATCGTCACCGTACATAAGCAGTTTTCCACCGGGACGAGCTTTGATTTGGGCTAGCCATGTGTCCTGATGGGCCAGAGTCGATGTGGTATCAGACTCTGCAAAATTAAGGATTACATCCAGAAACGACGGCACTGATCCAGTAGTCATGGCCTTTACTCGGGGCATCGTTATCGTGGGAGAGCTTGCGTGAGCAGTAAATGGCACCGCGGCGCCATTTCTTATCAATCTGCACCGTGTCAAAATATACCCGTACAATCTGGCATTGATAGCGGTTTTACTAACTCTTGCGTGAACTCAAAACCTGAACGGTTCGAATATACAAAATCACTGTTTAGATTGATTGTAAGGAAATGGGTAACAATGAAATAGGGCCATCTATAGTATACCTGCGCAAGGCATCGACGACCATAAAAATAACCCGGTCAAAGATTGGGGGAGGCCGGATACCATCTTGGTCAAAAGTAGCTAAGCCAGGAAGAAATGGTTTATAAGGAAAAAATCCACTGGCAAATAGAGCCAAAGCAATAGGGAAGAGAAGGACCGACACAAGTGTCGTAACAGTTTTCGGACTGAATGCAGCGGTCATCCTCATGGACAAAATGCAGGCTTGGATAGAAACCGTGACAGCAACCTCAATTGCGCGGATATTTGGTATCCCACCCTTGGTTCTGTCATCGAGATCCGCCCATTACCTTGATTTCCGGTAAGCAATGGATAATGAGTTGATGTCCGACCGCATCTCAATTGAATGTATCCTTGCGATGAGGTTGCGACTTCACGTTATGAAGCCCCTTTTTCACGGTTCCATTTGCCGGGACACACCGCTTTAAGTTCAGCCAGTAGAGAAGCACGTGACTGAGTACCTCGATGATTTGCTCTACGAAGTCCATACACTACGAAAAGCCAACGGCCAGGTAAAAGGGACATGAAACGGCATAGCTGAATCCGAGAACATCTTGCCAAACCAACAATCGGTATCCGGTGTACAACTCAAAAAGATAACAGGACACCCACAAATACTCCAAGCTTTTGCATCGCCCAGACTCCTTGGAAACCATATACCGCTATAGACAAATGCATTTTAAAAGGTGGCAATATGAAGCGCCGCGATACTTATGAGCACGCCGCTATCTCTTTTTCGTCGTCGCTTTCTTCGCCTTTCTCGGGTGTGGTTTAAAAGTAATCGACGGTCGTGTCTTTCTCCGGACTTTCTTCTGGATTCGATTCGCAGTGTTGGATTCTTCTGCGGATTTTGATTTAGAAGAACTGGGTGTTTGATCGATATCCATGCCTGCCCGCAGTGCCTTTGGTATTAGCAAAAGTAGCCATGGATGTTGGTCACGAAGGAGAGTACTAACTCATTGACGTTGGGTTTGGTTTATCTAAACAGTGGAAATATATTAGAAGTCAACTCTCATAAAGTCATGAGGAACATGAACCAACCTGTCAATGTGAAATCTGCATCTGTCATGTCTGCATCCTTCACAGACGTTTTTGAAGCCAACTCCTGGAGTTTGGCAGAGAGTCTCTCCGTCCGTCGATCTACAACAGGCCCAAACACTGATGCTCGCAATTTGGCCTTGTTGCGCTTTATTATACTTGATCGAGCACTTTTTGCCATTGCGCCTTAGGAATTAACAAAAGTTCAACCCGGTGAAGTTTTTGGCATAGAATCAATGGGATCTGATAGATCTGGCAGCAAACAAATTAGATTCTCTATACGGAATCTTTGATAGAGATCGCAATCAACAATGCACAAAGCAGATTGTGAGTTGATCTTTGTGTCTCGGTCTATTTTTCTCATTCGGAACTGAGATTTGAAGTTGTTAGCTTACATAATCAGCGTGCTGAACTTTAATTATGTCATCACTGTGGTCTCCCTTCACTTCACAAATATCAGACGGATACTTCAAGAGAAGCTGCCGGCACGGACAATTTGTGGTGAATGTCAACTACATCCAGAAAAGGGTTAAAGCAACTGACTAGAATACTCTATGTGTTCTGATCTTTGCCATGTTCTCATCCGCCCTCTTTTCAGCTTGTCAAGCTCCTATGAAAGCCGCCTAACCTGGAGCTTCTCTCACACCCCATTCCAACCTTCCAAGGTTATTTTTTGAACTGCGCTGCCCACACTAAGCATAGCAAGTTCGCATCCAAAATGCCAGCGATATCTGATGCTGAGTTTCAGAGCATATCTGCTCTTGTAAAATCTTTGCTTAACACACAGCTGAAATCGATTCTACGTCATGAGCACCTTGCTGTGTCAGGGGTGAAAAATACCCTACAATTTAGGGTACTCAACCGTGAGTTCCCCAATTTCTATTTTTAAGTTGTTAGTGGTTGGCTGGTAATAACTCATTGAGGCTTGAACAGATTTGCAGCAGATATCCGTAAATCCAACCGAGTTCGAACGACTGAAAAGATATATCTACTATGTTGCCCAACACCCGATGCCATCCACCCCTACTCTTTCTCCACCCTCATATTCGCAACCTCCCCAGTCCGCCCCCCAGCCATTACCGACTCACAGGCCTCCGTTTTCTACGACGATGACGCCCTCTCGTTCCGTCGCTGGTGGTATTTCCGGGCGCCTTTTTCCTGAAATGTCGGATATATATTGACTACGGTTAGGTCGTTTGAGTTTCAAAGAGAGTCCCTTTTACACTATTCTTGAGCCTCTGTCATCAGTGGTTGAATGCAAAGGTAGGAGAATTTAATTGGATCTCCAAATCTGATTACCCCGCTAATTGATGCCCAGTTCGCGAAAATACCAGAGACACGGTAGAAGCTATGGTCAAATTAAGTGAGAATATAGTTGCCCGACTGCAGAATGAACCGGATTTACGAGTTATGGTTTACTGCGCTGCAGATAATGGTTTAAACCAATATTCAAGATCTGATATTGCTTTCCCCCACCAAGTTGAATTAAAGGTGAATCTCGATGATGTGAAAACAAACTTGCGAGGTTTGAAGAATAAGCCCGGAACTACCAGGCCTGCAGATATTACGAATTTCATTCGAAAAAAAGCGAACTACAATAACTTCGTGTCTATGGCTTATGCACTTACGCAAAAGGCAAGTTTCACAACCTCGAACTCCGGGACTCTATACTAACTGTATCGCGAATAGAAATTTTACCTAGTTGTCAACCTCGTTAGGAAACATTCGGTTGACGAACTTGTGCAAAAACTTCAAAATAGGACAGTTATCTCGGCTGAACAAGTCATTAGAGAGAGTAAGAAACTCTGGATTTTGCTTCCTATTAGGAAATCTTCTGATTATACATAGTGAAAGCGAAAGCCGAAGACGCCGACATTGTGGCAACATCGAGTGTCATGTCATTGAAGTGTCCCTTGTCGACACTGCGTATCACCGTTCCCTGTCGAACACTTCTGTGTACACACAATCAATGTTTCGATGCTGCATCATTCCTCCAACTACAAGAACAGGCACCCACATGGACTTGCCCTGTCTGTAACAAATCTACTTCCTTTGAAGGTCTTCAGATCGATAAGTAAGGCTACCGCACCCCGCTTTTCTGGAGCCTAGCTAATCGAAATAGATATGTTGATAACATTCTCCAAGCGACATCCCCTAACACTGAGCAAGTCACTATTGAACCAAATGGAGATTGGTCCAAACCTGAAGATAGTGCAGCCGAAATTCAAGGCCCCACTCCTACTGGGGATGATGATGAAGACTTGGTGGAAATCCCTGATTCCCGTCCTTTATCTCTAAAACAAGAACCTACCCCATTCCAAATGCCTATACAGTCGTCCATCACTCCGACGCGATCCTCACGAGAGCCATCATCAGTCTCATCAGCAGCACGCCCTTCAACCAACAAACGTACAGCAAGCCAGATCATCGATTTGACAGGTAGCGATGACGAGGAACCACCCCGCCCGGCGAAACGGGTGGCTTACAACAACGGACCTCTCAACGGATTTCGGAGACAGAGCTACGATTATCGTGCGAATGGGAATTATAATAGCACCCAGTCTCCTCGTTCGAACTCCTATGGCACTTATTGATTTGATCAGAACCACATACTGGCGTTTGCTCCTCCTTGGTTAGCCGGTTTCACCCCAACTTTATTGTTACGCTTTTCTTTGTGGAGTTTACGAGAATGGGCTTTCATTCTGAGTCAGGGTCGGCTTATAGCGTGGAGGTAGGATACGGTAGGGAGTTCGGGCGTGCAATCATGGTGGTTTCTCTTGTTGGCATCACAGGTGGCATTCTCTTTGTGTCTGGAAATACGGTCTTGTCTACGAAGCCTGTCTGGCATGGTGTTGTTTGCATGTATGTGTATTATTTTATTAGATCATATAACAATGTACAAAAAGTTTCATACTCACCTCATCCTCTATGCGAGGTTTTTGTGTCTTTTGGATTATTTTTTGACGCCATTCACGAGATCAAGCATTATTAATAACTAGTTAGCTTGCTAGTCTTCAGGAGCTGACCGCAGAACCTTATCTAGCTTCAACGCCTGTCTTTAATATGATGGCATCTATGAAATACATAATGACTATGTAATTCGGTTGAATGTTTTCAATTTATCCTTTTATGGACAGCATACTGAACGAGACTCCCATTTACCCCCCCAGTTTCGCATCGAACCTCTTCAATCGCTCCACACAGTCGTGCCACCGTCTCTTCCTAACCATAGCCGCTTCCCCCTCCCGCACTGCTCGCATCTCCCCCTTCTCTACTCCGACAGGCGCCCATTGAACCAAAAGCAAAGCGCCATAATGTCCTTCGACACCACCCCGACCCCGTCCTTCAACGCATCCGACCCACACGCCCGCTTCCTCAACTCCTCCTGCCTCGACCTCCTCTTCATCGAGCTCGTGCCCATGGCCGAACGACTAGTCCAGGAACTAGAAGCGAATAATGCCCCAGACGGCGAAGGCGTTGCTGGCGGGAAAGCGTTGGATGAAGAGGAGTTGCGGGAAGCTACGTTTTATAAGTTGGAGAGTTTGGGATATCGGGTGGGCTTGGGGCTGGCGGAGCGGTGAGTTGCTGGGGTTCCCCTCGTTTTCTTGACCTTTATGGATTGGCAGGTTGTTGGGACGGCGAATACAGCGGTGGAGAGTGCTGGGTCATGGATGCGGGCGGTCCATGACCGGTTACAGTGAGGCTGTTGTCCCGCGGCCTCGAGGGCGCAACTAGGCTTGGATGGGCACCCTTTTCCCGCTGGCGCATTCCATACCGCACGAAGCGCTTGTTCTATATATCTTTCCTCCCCTGTACTGCTTGCATAATGTCCATTCAGCCAGTTTACACATAAATTCAGTCACTAATCCATTTCTTCGCAGCTTCTCCCGCGACCGTCCCCGCTTCACTGACAATCTCGATGTTATCAAATTTCTCTGCAAAGATATGTGGACAATCCTCTTCAGGAAACAGGTGGATAATCTCAAAACGAACCATCGAGTAAACTCCCCCGCCCGCTCTTCCTTCCTGCTATATTTGTCCTTGACTCGACTAACGGCGGTCTTTAGGGCGTATATGTCCTCACAGATAACTCCTTCAAACCATTCCAACGGATGAGTATGGCTGTCCGGAGTGAAGCAATTGCCAGAGCGCAAATGGTAAGACTATCGGATATCTACTATTAACACAACAGAAACCCCCAACTAACTTTGCGCGCAGTATTTATGGTTTCCGTGCGGAGTAATCCGGGGCGTGTTAGCAAACTTGGGCATCACCGCTACAGTCCAAGCTGAGTCGGCAGATTTACCGGGTGCAACATTTCAGATCAAGACCGCGCAGCCAAAGTCATGAGTATGTTGCAAGTCACCAGTACGCGCCTATCATCAAGGCTTCGATGATGCCCTGTTTAAGACCTCCAAGCACGCCAATGTGCGTTGGGCATTTACGTGAGTAAGGGCATTCATCAAGAGACAGAAGGGCGTTTCTATCATGGTCATTTATTTCATTTAATGTACTCGTGGCTATCTACCTGCACGATAACCCACGAAGTCGGTTTTGAATACACCATCCGTCCGTAACGTATCAACTCTGATTTACAACCTATCGATCATAGTCAGCCATTAGAAAGTGGTTCACTTTGGCGCAACAACGACAGCCCATTATTCGGGAAAAATGGATGAACTGGGTCGATGGGTTGCACAAACGGTATTGCTGAATCAGACTAGAGTCCAACCAACGCGGCAGGTGGTTTACTTTTGAGCAGGAGGGTTCTTGACAAAGTCAATGCCCTTTTCGATATTGCCCTTGAGGCCCTTAAAGCAGACTTCGAGGAGCTGCTTTTCCTTCTCGGTGGCGCTACCAAGAATGTTGATGACTTTCTCGGCACCGGACGTCTGTACATATTATAAGCAGGCTAGAAAATCCAACACATGTGTATATAACTTACTCCAAGCTCAACTGGGGTGGAGAAAAATTCCAATCCGGTTTGTTTGATGATTTCCTCACCACCCTGGACACCTGGGAGGTAAACGAAAGTAGATTCGACAATGCCCTTCTCGCCTTTAGCGGCTTTGATGACGCGCTCCGCAAATCTATCCTAGTTAGCGACAGTTCTGATATGCAGATATTCGAACATACCGATATCCTGCATATGCCATTGAAAGGGTGGCAGATCCGGCGCCGTTTTTAGCCTGGACAACTTCATCTCCACCGAATTGAACACCTGTTTAACGTATGAGTAGCCGTACCATGACAGAGCACCACAGACTTGGACTTACGGTGAATAAGAGCGTCATATTTGTCTGCTGGGATATTGAAAGCAGGCTTGGCCTGGCTGAACATTGGGACAATGGTTTCCCCAGAATGACCACCGATAACGGGGATCACAGTCTTGGAAGGGTCCTTTTGACCAGAGAACTCCTTAGTGAAGGTCTCAGCACGGACAACATCCAAGGTGGTAACACCGAACAATTTCTTTGGGTCGAAGACGCCAGCGGCCTTGAGGACTTCAGCGGCAATAGGGACGGTAGAGTTAACGGGGTTGGAGATGATGAGAACGAAAGCCTTGGGGCAGTGGTCGGCCACGCCCTGGACCAATTCCTTGACAATACCAGCATTTATTTTGAAGAGGTCGTCCCGGGTCATGCCGGGTTTGCCTATACGAAACCGTCAATAGCCTATGATAAATTGGGAGCAGGGAACATACGTGGAATTCCAGCGGGGATAATGACAACGTCTGTGCCAGTAAGGGCCTTCTTCAAGCCATCGTCATCTTTGAGGAATCCAGAGGTTTTCTACATAACCTTGTGAGCAACTCTAGGGCTCTTATTACCCCGCATCTGAGGCATTTACTCACAGCAATGGAAGAGATGTGAGACAAGTCCGCGGTGACACCAGGAGTATTGACGACATCGAAAAGAGCAAGCTCTTCAACCAAAGGGCAGATTTTCAGGAGAAGAGAGAGGGGCTAGATTGGCGCATGGTGTTAGTCAAGGAGCTCCAAAGGCGGGACAGCAACAATGGAGTTCACTCACTTGGCCAATGCCACCAGAGGCACCGAGAACAGCTAGAATTACGTTAGGGACACAAATCCAATGGGATCAATAGCTGTCTCTGATCTCACCAGCTTTAACCATGGTTGTTACGTAGGGAGGTGACGCGGGGTATCTTAAAGAGAGGTGACCTTGGCTGCAAATCTAGTTAGAAGCAAGACAATAAGAACAATGCACAGCTGCCTGCTAGGCCAACAAGCAAACTCACCAAAGAGAAGTGTAATTGAAGATGAATTTGACAGGAGAGAAGCGGACGAAGCGTGAAGGTCGGAGGTTTAAAGAGCAACGGGGAGAGTGGGCATCGGAGGAAGTTTCCAGTCACATGGTCTGGCCCAGTGAGGGGCTCCAGCAGCTCAAAGCAAGGCGATCATTCTCGCGCTGTGGGGAGTTTCGGGAGGTCAGATTGCTGCGATGTCATCTCCAACAAGGGTCCGGGTAAACGGTCATCCCTCCCAGCGAAGCTCTTTCATCCCCGCAATAACTGACTACAGACACCATTTCCTTGTTGACTCGAGAGGAGAGGCGTTGCATACTGGCGTTCTTTGGAAGAGATCCCGATTCTTCACACCGAAGTTCTTCAACCACCATATCCATGAAGCAACTGCTGCTTTCTGTTTGATATGAAGTATCATATCTCGGCTTCCGAGCTAGCGAGATCTGAAAGCGCAGCATATCGCCTCCGTCTGTGGTCGCTCGATAGCCTTTCATACAGGAAGTGTATCAACTTCCGGGCAAGCATGCTGCTTCACCAAAGATGCTACATCCGTAGCCATGCCTCAACTTGTTATAACTAGCTGGCCGCAGGGCCTTCAGTCGTTCGCCGTACCCCAGAGGACTGCGAATGGTATGGCGGCATATTACCGGGTATTGGATATATGGTCGAACGAGCGAGCAATCGCGAGTACGACCCTGTTATTAATGCGTACAATGCTTTGATCTCCAAAATGAATTTAAGGCTCATAAACTATCAGACAGGGATGGCATTTCAACTGTCTAACTCGGCTTGGCGCCTGTTTCCTTTTTCTTTTTTGCTTTTTCTGAACTCGGGCCGTGCTTGAAGCCGAAGATGGATTTTCATACAGATGATATGGCCGAGAGTCATCAAGAGCTCCTTTACAACGTACCGAGCTCCTGTCCGTCTCTCACACTTCCTGTCAACTTTAATTGGTGTAATTGCGTTGCTTGGGATTAACGCTTAACCGGGACACCTGATTATCTGCATTTCAGAATTGACAGGACTTCTGTTTCTAGCGTTTATCGGTGATATGGAGTATCTTCTGTCAAATATGGCTATCACAAAAGAGACGAAACTATCAATGTGTGAAATGGGGTTGTGTGCTCTCTTGGTCAATCAAAGAAATCCCACGGAATATATTTCAAAGTGATGACATTCACTGTCCGATTGATCGAGGGAAAACCGGAGGAACAGCTAAGTCCCCCCAAGGCATATCTACCATACAATACTTCTGAATCCATCTCTATAATCACCAGGAGAACAAGATTTTGCACCAAACCATCATAGGAACTCCCGAGTGCCAAATCTGGCACTAATCCTGCAGGGCAAAATCCCCCTAGCCATAAAACGATGTTTCAATGATGCACTAAAGAGGACCATTTTCTCAGCGCCGTGGTAGATATACGTGATTTTTCTCGCTTCTTTCGTTTAAATGTTCTTCCCCAAGCTTATTCCTCCTTTTCAGCAGCCTTGCGGGCCTTTGCACCTCTTGGCTTCCTCTCTGGCGTATCTTTCTTTGGGCGTTGGGAGAGTTTGATGGCACTGACACGGGAGACGGCCTCGGCGCGGAGGTCTGGACGATAACCGCCCAAGGCGGTGCGGTTGGCAACACCTTTGTAGACCCTACATGGTAACAAGAGCCCGGCCGTCAGTATGGTTGAGTTTCATAGCGTTGAATCCCTTCAGTTTATTTGCCCTTGAATGTGCTTACTTGCGGGTGTGGGTGGTTCCAGAAACGGATGTGTTGGAGATGTTTTTGGCTGGCTGGTTGGAGCTGCCGGGCTTTTTGCTGCTGACGGTCAAACCATTGTTCTCAGCGGCTTGGATTCCGAGGGCCTAGATTGGTACTCCGTAAGTCTGCTGCGTAATTCGAAATCCGCACAAAAGATCGGATACGTACTTTGTTGTTAGAGAAGCCAGAGTACTAGATAGGGTCAGTTAATTCCAGCCGCAAATGGCACTGATCAGAACGGACCTTGCGGCTGTGAATGTTGGTCAAGTTAAGAGGGTCGCGAGAGAATCTGACACCACCTCCGGACTTGCGGTTGACCAAGTAAGCATTCTGGGAGCCTGCCACAGGAATCAAGCCGTTAGAATCGACGATCGCATTTATTTCAATTGCAGCGCGCAGATGATATCGCCCCTCCCTCCATGCACCCGGCTCGCAAACAAGGAATAGTAGACGTACGAACAATCTCCCAGACGAGGTCCTCGGAAACGTTGGGTCTTGCGGTAGCGGCCATTGTAATTTATCGTCGTCGGTGAGTTATTGCGGGGAGAAAAGGAGGACGTAAATGGCGAGCTTCGATGTTCTTCCCAGACCTGAGCAAATGACAGCAACGACGCTTTCGATTAATTGTTGTGTATTTTGAAGTCTTGGCACGCAGCGACCGGCTGAGGCTTGTGATTGGCTTCGCTAACTTGACCGCTTTGAGTTTAGGCGCTGAGCCCGTTGATTTGGTAAGCAGAGGCTCCTCGGAATCGGAAAAACATTCTAGGCTTGGCATCCATAGTTTAGCATCGTCATCCGATCGACACCGAGAAGTTCCAGCAACAGCCTCCCGCGAAGGTCTAACGGAGAATGACGAGCTCATGTAGTGAGCTAGATTCAGGAGATCATCAATAACAGTTATTTACTTACTCCCTTACATTCGTTCCGAAAGTTATTTCCTCTTTCCACAGTCATTCTTTCGCCCCCCTCTCCGGGCCATTCCCTTATCGATAATCCTGTGACTTGATACCCGAACACTCCTCATAATGGCATACCTTCTATACTCTTTGACCCTCTTCGTTCTAGTCCTAGGAACAAGTACTATACCCAACCTCATAATCAACTTGACTTCACCCGGATTAAACCCTGCTAATCCCCTCATAGTCCTCTACTTTAGTCGGACTCGCTGGCTTCCACTTCTCCCGGTTCCAGATTATCTATATCAACGCTTGCCTACCACATTTCGGGGCGACGCCGAACTAGGTCTTTCTTCCGCGGACTTCAGCCTAGCATCCAACATCGAAGAAGGTGACAACCGTGGCGGCCTAGACGAACGTGGAAAAAGGGAAGTTCTCAAAATTATGAAGAGCAGACGAGTGGATTTCAACGAGGCGAGAAAGATTTATATGGAGCGGCGATTTACAAAGAATAATATTGGCCCGGATGGGGTGCCCAGGGACCCCAAATTCGTTTCCTTCTCGTAAGGTTGAGAGACTTACATTATTATCGGGTCGCGTTTGCATATAAACTCAATGGATCGGAAAGGGCGGATGGGGTGAATTACATGGTTTCGGTTTGGGTACAATTACAACATCGGAAGCGTGATAGTGAAAGCGTTTGTTTTTGGTATTCTTGGTTTGGTTTTTTTGGCTGGGATTCAAGCTCTCACTGGTTATCATGTCTCCACATTACCTGAGATACACATCTCCTATTTCATTTTGTCTCCTTTTATCTTATACCTTCCATTGGAGCAGCGTCGCTTCTTCATTTCAGTCGTTTGGAACATCCTTGATAGTCAATTTTCTCGACATTTCCTTAAGTTATATTAGTCTATATCACAATTTGCAACGTGTCTGAATATACTTGCCAAAACAGACACAGCGGTTTGTCGGATTCTTCACTTCCTCGCATTCCGCTCTCCAGGGTTTTGAAATAGCACATCTGTGTAAAGCCTGTGTACGCATCGTAAAGTCGCAAAGCAGGTACGAACACCGCTGTGTCGAGAAGTCGACGACGCAAACGTTTTTGCGTTGGCAAATGCAAGATACTCCCGCGCCTCGGGCGCAGCTACGTTCAAAAGGGCTAACGTCATTCAACTACTCATCGACCCCTTCCATATCCCGCTTGTTGGAACCCTGGCGGCAACTGTCCCGGGGGAGGGCCATGCCCGCCGACCGGTGGTGGTGCACCAAAACCAGGAGGTGGCGCAGGCTGGCCAAACTTTGGAGGAGGCGCAAATCCTGGAGGCGGGCCACCAAAGCCAGCCTGAGATGGCGGAGGCCGAGCGGGTAATCCAGCAGGCGGCGCATTCAACGGCCCACCAAGAGGTTGAAGGGAAGGAGCAGGTCGATGAGGGGGTTGAGGTGGCATATTTGCGTACGGTCCGTTCGGCATGGGAGCACCCCTTCCAGCTCCAAAGTCTGGCGGACCGGTGCTGATAGGTCGGCTAACATCTCCATTCATAACGGGTGTATGAGGCAACGGTGGCACGGCGCCACCCGCTAGCTGGGGCGGTACTACCTGTGTTTGCGGCTGGACATTGTGCTTTCGAGCTTGAGCGGCTAGCATTCGTTCCGCTTGATCACCATGTCGTTCTCCCTTTCCATCCTTCTTGTAAGCGTACTGGACAGATATTTCTTTGTTCATAAGGTATTGTCCATTCATATTAGCGATAGCATCGTCAGACGCCTCAAAATTGGCGAACGAAACGAAACCATAACCCTTGGAGAGATTGGCATCATCTCGAGCAACCTGTTCCACTGTTTCAGCAAATACCCCGTAACGAAGTTTAAGAAAATGTCGAGCTCACCTTCGGCATCGATATCAATGATCCAAATCTGCTAAACGTATCATACAGCACCTGTTCGGTAACCATAGGATCCAAATTCCCCACAAAGAGCTCCGCACCAACTTCGATCGTCTTCTGCTTATCGGCGGATGCTTTGTTGACGCGAATCGGCTTGCCATAAAGCCGTACTTGGTTCATTATCCGCGACGCATATTCGGCATCTTCTTCGCTGATGAATTCAACGAAGCCATAGCCCTGGTGTGTCTGCGTAACGCGATCTTTTGGGAGGTGAACGTTGACGATGCGGCCCGCTTGGAGCATCAACTCCCATACTAGACTATCCGTTACGCGCTCGTCTAGGTTTCCCACGTATACTGTCGCTTCCTTGTCCTGTTCCCTGTAGCACACGTTAGCTTGCTGTTTTCCTTTGAAAGTATATGGAGCTCCCATACCAGTGACGTGCTCCTGACATCTTGAATCAGGTTGGTCGCACAATAATCCCCTTGACGTGATAGATTCCCGAAAGCAAATAAAGATATATTAAAGGTTGAATCGCCTCTAGACACCTTTCGATGATTCAAATCACTTGCGCCGATGAGTCGAAGATGAGAACGTGAGCAAACATTGCAAACATTTCCGATCTGGAGAAAATGGCGGAACTTTAAAAGTTGAGACTCGGCCGGTTCTTGACTCCAGCATCTGACGGCCATCACCGCACCATAACTTGTTGGATTACCTTTTGCGCTGTTGTCAATAGCTGTTACTTTGCTATCATAACCCGTGCTCGTCAAAATGGTTCAGTTTTCGGAGGAAACCAAAGTGAGTTAGACCTGGCATGGCATTGCTGGCAGCGGAAGTGGACTGAGCGATTGCCCGTAGGAACGCATCACCAAGGTCATTGACATTTCGAGGGTTGCTGTTCATTAGTGGGTGCACCTGAATTCATTCATCTCAGGCGATCTCGGCTAATGGCTGGCTTAATGCAGTGGATATCTCCCATTGATCATGTATCTTGGTGAGTTATCATAAATTGCTTTCTTCTCACTTTTGAGCCCCTTCGACTAACATCAAACAGGCTACACCTATAGTGAACCAAGACCGCATCTCTTCAAGTACGCATCCTCGCGCCGCTACGCAATAAGCATCATCTGGAGCTAACTTTGAGTCCAGGCTCTTCTCGCCTCTTGCATAAACGCCCTGTAAACGAGAGATCGAAAATCGGAATAGAGACCCTCATTTCGACAGCCATGAGCCATATTTACTCTACTGTTGATTTGTAGACGGCTAGCGTGACGCTTGCGGGACCTCGAACGCGGAGGGCTTTTGTGAAAGCTGGCCGACGCAACCATTCATCTTTACTAGTCTTCTCGACGATTATTTTCCGTTTGCTTGGAGTTGGAATCATGTATATTAGAATGGGAATTTCAATGGGAAGATAATGTTGACATGTCGAATTTTTGACCCTCTGTACGGAGTACACTGCAGGTTTTGGAGGAGCAAGGGGAAAACCGTGCCACTTCGGAGCTGCACTGAAATTTCAGCAAAATAGGGAGTATTATCGGATCCCATAGCGCTACAGCCAAAGAAGTAGTAAGGCTATCAATGATTTTCTATGTAGCCCACCATCCATTTAAAGTTATCGCTTCTGGTAGGTCTCATAGCAAGGCAATTGAGCTATTACAGTCTGTACAGCCTTCACAGACTATATAATATCAAACCAGCTATATTCATTGGCTTCGGGCAAACTTGGTAATATGTAAGTGGCACACATCAGTTGCGGAGTTGGCTCAATACTTGGTGCCGGCGAGCCGATCATAAAATTATATCAAGTGACAATCACACCCAACCAACCTCGCCATTTACTGCTTGTCAACCAAGCTTGCTCGCAGTATACCCATAAGGTCGGGGGCTGATGAATGACAAAAATGCGCTCTCACCATCCTTGGTTGAGACGATAGCCGGATTTACTGCGGGGGTCATTTCGACTCTGACAGTACATCCGCTTGACATTGTCAAGACACGTCTACAGGGTAAGCACGAGTGCGCAAGTTCTCAGTCAGAACTGAGTGCTAACGAATATCTTAATCTCCTAGTTGACCGGTTTTCTACGTCCCGCATAGGTAACTCTCTTCGAATCGTCCGTGAAATCGCCCGGCGCGAGGGAGGGATTCCCGCATTCTATCGCGGCCTCACACCGAATGTTGTCGGGAACTCTGTGAGCTGGGGTTTGTATTTCTTGTGGTATAGCAATCTCAAGGATGCATTGCGCAGGTTGTATGGCCGTGAGGATGGCTTGGGTAACTTGGATTATTTTGTCGCGTCGGGAACTGCTGGTATACTCAGACCACGACCGCTTTCTTCATGCCTTTGTTGTAGTAGCTAACAATGCCTATCTCAAAGGAGCTCTTACCGCAATCCTGACTAACCCCATATGGGTGATAAAAACCCGGATGCTTTCTACGGGCGCCGGCGTGGCCGGAGCGTACCCTTCGATGACACATGGTATCCGTCAAATATACCAGTCGGAAGGCCTTACTGGATTCTACCGAGGGATGATACCTGCATTGCTAGGAGTTGGACATGGTGCATTACAATTTATGGCCTACGAGCAGCTGAAGCGATATCGTTCGCTGATGGTTTCGTCTGACCTAACAGCATCTGATTCTGGGGCCGGCAAGCTCAGCAACACGGATTACTTGGCCTTGTCTGGTCTATCGAAGGTGTTTGCGGGAAGCGTCACTTATCCTTATCAGGTTTTGAGAGCCCGCCTCCAGACCTATGACGCTGCGGGCACATATCGTGGATTTATAGACGTGATATCTCAAATTTGGCGTCGAGAAGGCCTAACAGGATTCTACAAAGGACTCGGACCCAATCTCTTCCGGGTTCTGCCTAGCACATGGGTAACGTTTTTGGTTTATGAGAATATGAGGGAATACTGCCTACACCTGTGAATCTAATGGTGTTCAGCTTGGTTTCCACGATGAAGCTTGACGTGGCTTAGAATTCTTCTACTCTTACTACTTCGGCAGACCACATGGGGTCACACCTAACAAGAACCAATTTTTCTGACTTCAAAAATTATCTCCTACCACCGCTTACCATCCTCGTCTTCTACACTCGTTCTCCTCACCCTCCTCTACATACCCTAACCGAGAAATTCCAACCCTAGCCTTTTTCCCACTGTCCGCTTTCCGTAGTTTTGAGATCCCTGCTACCCTTTCATCTGAATGATGACAGTTTGCCCATGGTTTATTCTGGTTCTCCTTTCAATATTATTTCCGTCACACAAACCTACCAAATTCCCAGCATCGAAAAGCGAAAGAGTGAATTTTTCATTTGAAATTTCTGGTTGGATTCTCGGAAGGGCGGCCTAATGTCTATGTACTGCCGCCTATTGTTGTTGGTCCTACCCGCCTCTCACCCTGAATCTGCAATGCAGTGTCACTCCGAAACAATGCGGGCAATTTTGGCGGTTGGCCCCATTCATGGAATACTTGCCAACGACAGAAATCCTCACTGCAGCAAACGCTGCTTTGGTGCGCTCGAGACCATGTTCAGGATCAGGGCGATCGCCGGCGATGAGCGACGCGGACTTGGCTCGAATCTTGGCCGTTTTCCGTCTTTTTTGCGGTGAATTGTTGCCCGCCTTGACTGTATCTTGTGGCCGCTGTTATGGATGTTGGATGATGGGTTGCTGCTGACCAGTTCGGGTAACTCAAGGGGGCATTGAGGGTTATGTATCCGGCCGCTAAGCAGGAAATCTTAGATTATCAAACAGGAATCTCCAATCCCCTATTTTAGGAGGTTATCAGGCCTGAAAAAGCCAAGGAGGCAGTGGAGAATGAGCGAGCTATAAGCAGGTATGATACTTGACTCGTTTCTTCACAGAAAGCACCAACTACTTTTTTGAGTGCCTTTAATCGCCTAGGTGCAGTCCACTATACCTGATAAGACATATCAATTCATCTCCTTGGAGTCCGTGGCCATACCCCGTCCACGACATAACTATGGGTCTTTCTTCTGGCCACAACAAGCATCTGGGCCCCCAAGTCTAGCCTCTCAGTCTAAAGGACTCTGGTTGCCTTCAACTTCCAGCTAGTTACGGGAATCTTTAAAAATCCCGCGAATGATGAATTGACTTCGACATGATAATTTTTCTCTAAGCACAGCTTGACATGGCCCTGATAGTATTCTGGTATCAGTCGTAGATACCATTATCGGTTATCTTTCCGCCGCTATCTAACTAACAGGCCTGTAGCAGATGTGGACGAAGTAGAATCCAACTTTACCTCGACGATTCGTCAAGCGAGAGAAGTGAAAACATGCCGGTAGTAATAGACCACCTTGGTATGTCAACTGCGGTTGTGTATACTGGTGTTTTTCGCGGGCTGCAATGCGGCTTGTTCATGTGGTACGAGGTGCCGCCCATGATTTGATTCTAAAGATGGTAATTCCTACCATTCTTGCCCTTCTAGGCCACTGGTTGGTGATCCGGGATCATAAAGGTCCAGTAATTGAGAACACGTTGAAACAGGCGATGAGCAATGTCTACCAAGCCTTGATCCAATCAACGGCCCATTAAATCTTCACCAAAACCGTCGCTAAACATAGACAAGGAAAGGAAGTTGAGAGCGATAGCGCGGGTTCCCTTTCTCCTGTTTCTAGAGTGAGGTGTCAATTCCTTTCATTGAGATATCGATCCCCCACCCAGTGAGATCACGGGCCGGTGCCAGGAATATTCACTGTTATCTAGAGAGTTCATCCTCGCAGAGTTTTGAATGGCGTTTTCAAGCGATAATGGCATGAAACCAGCCTTGTCTTTATGTAGACACCATCAAGTCTGCCGTCTTCTGCAAAAGGTCGGCAAGCAGATAGGACAGCGCAAAGATCCAACCTCTCCAGCATCATAGCCTGCGTGTCCAAGAAGGCTTCCGTGCGAAGTTTGGCCCAGAGCAGTCAACGCCATGTTTCACCCTGCTATCCTCGCCGTGTTTTATCTCTCGGTGCTTTAATATTGGATGTTCGTGTTTGTTTGGCTGGTTTGCTGACCATGAATATGACGTCACTCCCCTTGCTCCTGGTCAAGTAACCACGTTCCAATCGAACGACACCTCATGAAGGCAGCAAGATTCTTCAATATCGCTGGCGGGATTTCTCATGGCCTGCGGGTTTCCATCTCCAAAAGATATATAATTCTTACCTGCCAGCTGAACAATACCTGATAACGACCGGTTTTAGACCTCTTTCGCGGATTGGGGCCTAGATTCTCTCGAGTTTCCTCGAGTTTGCACGTCGTTCAAAGTGACGCTCATCAATTTCATTTCCTTTTATACTGTGAAATTTAACACAACTTTATCGTTGATCAACATGTCATCCTATCTCGGATTTCGTGGTCCTGTGGGACTCTATCACGTTAATCCAGAAGCGGAACAAACCGAGCAAGATCCTTCTGAACCAGGATCCGATTCCCAGCATGATTTGCAACGTGGAACTGGAGTGGGAAAAGAAGAAGGAGAAGAAAAGAGAGAATATTTTCCCAGTATCAATGACGTACTGTGTGTTCGGGAATTCTTGTCGCATCTCAAAATTGGGAGCGAGTCAAAACCACAGGAGAATGGACGGAGCAAGGCCATGCGGGCCGAAAGACTTCCCGTTGAAATCGTGGATATAATTCTCGATCATGCAGAATACTGGCCTTCTATTGAGACAACGCTCGATAAGGCAAGAATAATCCGTCAGGACCAGGATGCAGAGATCCTAAGAACAGGAGGGTTGTGCTATGCCGTAAGTTCGAATCATGTTTCTTCATTCAGAGCGAAAAAGCAAAACGGCAAGAAAAAGAAAACAATCGTGGTCACAACGTGTCTTGGAATCCCGGATATTTGCCGTTGCGCTGTGGCTGCATATTCCAATCGTTATCCAGAAATCTCCTTTGCTGGATCGCTCTTGGTTCCCCTGCTTTTACTTTTCTCTTGTTACCTTCCATACCTAAACGAGCGCAAGTCCCATCCACGAAATCATCTTCTAACATCCCGTCGCAGCCCACGACCCCCGCCATCAAACCCCGCATCCTCCCGCATCGCACTGTCCACCCCTGCCGTAAAATAATTTTCACTGTGACGTCTCACGACCAAGGCTGGGGTGGCGACCATCGGGGCCAATCCCTCTACGAACACTCCTATTCTTGGTTTGACGCATACAGAATCCCCGCATTTCACCCAGCGTCCAACGAAACGCAACAGACGCCCGCGGACCTCGTCGCACAGTACCAGAAAATTTACGAGGAGGAGCACAGGCCCCGCTTCGAGGCCTCGGCGAATTTCCTGCCTTCGAAAAGTAAGTTGTGTTGCAATCGAGTGGCTGTACGTCAGGCCCAAACACAGCATATCATTTGGCATTATCGGGACGGGATGGAGTCCGATTCTACGGTGGCTAGGGAGATTGAGCATGCGGAGGGACGCGGACGCGAGACGCTGAATGGGAAGGTGGTAAGGGACATGGGGATTGGTGACGAGATAAGTGTATGGGCCAGGGCACGGTTCCCGGGGTGGGTAAATAATGTTGAAGACTTCAGTGTCCGTGTATTCTGGGCCGTTTAACGACGGGATCATTGTTTGCTGCACTCTTCTGAATCGAGGAAGATAAATGATTGATTCTGTAGACATAGCTATGTATGTCTCCCATTTCGATGTAGGTACTAATAATGATTTCAATGTGTTTAGAGTTCTCCCACAGTCCACCTGCTTGAAGAGCTGGCTGACTGAATCATATTGATGTAATATCTCCCGATTGTTAAGTAGATATAGAAACTGAGTATGTAGATACACGAATAATAAAATTCTCAGCCCAAAATCGAAACCCTCGCTCGACTTTCCGTCCACTTTCGCCCAAAGATGCAATATGAATCAATCGGCAACGGAAGAGTAGCAAAGCCCAAATGTAAAAAGCGAACAGCCCAAAGTTTTTCAAAAAAGAAACAAAGGGGGCTCATGGCCTCTCTGATTCGGAGATCCCCCGTCGTCAGCCTGTTATAATATGCCCTAAAAATATATATGTATGTATGCGTAGAGAGTCGAAAACACGCTCTCCATTTCACGTATTTCTAATAGGTATCCAATGCCCGCTTTTGCCAAAAGATCCTCCTCATATATGTGCGCCCTTTTAGATCCTTCGCTCATGGGGGTATAATGTTGCGCCTGCATGAGTGCTAACTTTCAAAATTCCAACCATTCTCAAATATCATCGTTTGTCGTCCCGTAGGGGCCCTGTCGGAAGCAAGGCGGTTGCTCTTTCTGCTACGGACCTCGCGGGTACATTTGTTCGTGGAAATCCACGTCGTCGCTACTTGGCGTGCTCATGTAAGAGGGCCGGAACATGTTCATGCGGTTCTTATCCTCTTCGATGCTTGATACCGTCGTGGTACTCATTTCGTCAACGCTCGCGGGGCCGGTATTGCCTCGAAGTTTGGCGCTTGATGAAACCCGTCGGTCTTTTCCACGGCCTTTAATTCCTTTGTTGCTATTCTTATATAGAGTTGCAAAGTACTCCCACAGTTCAACGTCATGTGGTGCCAGGCGCTCAACGTCGGTGAGGGTAGAGAATCGCATGGTCAGTTCTCGGAGGGTTTGCGAATGGAATTTGTTTTGATGCGACTAGAGATATTTTAATTGGGCTATTCTAGGGGTTACATGGAACCAAACTAACCTTAAGATTACCTAGTTGCGTGAACTGTTTCCCACAATCATCCAATCTGCAAATGAAAGGCTTCGCTTTCTCATGCGTGATCTTGTGTGCCCGGACATTTCCCCGTTGGGCAAATCTTTTGTTACAGATCTCGCAGGAATATGGCTTTTCTCCCGTATGTCGTCTTTCATGTGTCTGCAAATTCACAGTTAGTATCAAGATATGCTAGTCCGCCAGTGCAGTTTACCTTCAAGTTTCCTAACTGTGAAAATCGTTGGCCACATGCTGGTTCCCTGCAAACCTTTAATCCAGGATTAGCAGGAAACTACGGCAGTGAAATGCAAGCAGAACTTACAAAAGGTTTGTCTCCAGTATGCGCCCTCATGTGAATATCCAGGTGTGTTTTCTGGTAAAAACTTTTCCTACAATGAGGTAGAGTACACTCATATTTCCTTCTTGGCTTTTGTTTCGTCGACAGATTCCGGTCTTGCTGAGGAGCAAAAAGCCCCTGACCCCCAGGCATAGGTGCTGCGTAGGCTGGATGTGACCAGCCTGGTACGCCGTTGGTGAACTGATGTAGAGGGGGGAGTTGTGGTTGGGTAATTTTCGGCTTCGATTGAATCGCCTTCATCAAAGTATCCACTTCTGTTGAGAATTCGATCTCTGATTTTAGGCGGGGTTTCGCGTCGGGCTGATCCTCTGGTTTTGCGGGCAGATTCGGTAATCGGGGTGGCTGCTCGGGCTCGAATTTCGGTGGGTTAGGCTCCATCAACCTGGGTAACCCATTCCTCGCAGGCGCCACGGTCGACAGCGATTGCACCGGTGCGGACTCTGGCAGGCGGTTGTTGTGAGAAGTGATTGCAGGCGCAGACCCATAGAATCCCTGATAGGAGGCATGGCTAGTGTTTAAAATGTGTCCAAAACCGTAAGAAGACGAATGCAATGAGGCCGCGTAGGGGATCGGTTGATTTGAATAGTATGTCATCCCTTGATCTTGTGGTGGTGCCATCATCCGGCGATGCGAAACTCCTGTCAAGTCATGGTTGCCAAAGCCATATGTGACCGGGACTGCTGTTTCCATGTCAAACGTATTCGATATGGAACTGATAGACGGGCCGCAACCGTTTAGACCGCCGTAAGGTAGGAAAAAGGATAAAATAGGATGCTTAAAATATGGCGAGTATATTGAGGATTGCGCGTGGCAGAAGCGAGTCAAAGCTGATCGTGTAACTTGGAGACTTTCTTTTCCTTTTTGCTTTGTTTATGCTTTGCCTTTCTTTTTCCTTTCTTTCTGTCAGTTCCTCGACTCTTGGAGTTCCTCGTTTTGGGTCGAATCTTCGAGGTGGAATGGGTGTTGGAATACCGGATGGTCAACGTGCGACGAAGAAACGACACAACGAGTCAAACAAGCCTCTATTGAATTCCAGTGAGGGAGGAGAGAGCTCAAAGGAAGGTGTTGATGTGGGTGTGGAAAAGGGATATATCAAAAATGAAAAAGGAATATTAGAGATCGGTGCGGCTAGTGAGGACTCTTAGCTGGATGTTTGTTTGTAATTAAGCATAAAGATTGGGTGAATAGAATGGAGAGGAGAATGTACCTTATGTATATGATTCCAAGCGACGGCACAGATCACTTTAATAATGTACAAGAGTTCCCCAAAAATGTCCCGCAGCTTGGGCTAAGCGCAGTGACACCAAACGACTCAAATCCACACCAAATGCTTGGGACAATAGGGTTTGTCTGGGGGGAGAAGCAGGGCCTTTCATGTCGATCATGGGTTGATGAAAGGCAGATTTATTTGGCCCCAAAAGGAGCCAAACTGCTCTGAGGTTAGCTAACGGAGCCATGACAGACAGACTATTGCGGCAACTCAAAGAGAATTTTGTTGGATCAATACAGTTTTGGAACTGGTCTGTGACCCGTGACCAATAAAAGGGACCCGATAAAACTAAACCGCCAGAAATGGAGTGTGGGACACAAAGGAGAATTATGACAATTAGTTATTATTTGAGAAGGGAAGTGAATAGAGCTCGTCTGATGTGATTAGCGAAAATAGACCCTGGTCTGTGAGGGTGGGCTAAAGTTCGAGTTGCGCAGCCCAAACAACCCAATCTTGTTCAAGGCTCGGAAGCCAAAAGGATTGAGAGTAAATGCACCAATGGCATGGGCGCAAGAAGCCACTAGCCCGGAGGGCTCTTGGGCCAACCAGGCTGACATGGGAGGCGTGCATCCAGCGGTAATAAATAATCATAAAGACGACAATTGTCATCTCATGCGGTACAACAGATACGAAGGCACGCACAGAGGGCGGATGTTTGCCCATTCATGCTTCGTAAGTGACTAGGTGTCTCTGTACGGGGGGCCAGCGGAATTGTTATTTTCAGAGGTCTCCGTCCTTTCAATGAAGTGGATTCTGCCAGGGCCCGTGGTCACTGGGCAAAGAAATGGCCCATTTGCTTTCTGGACAGGATAAGATCACAAATAACCATCATGATCGCGGTCCAGAACCTGAACCTGGCTTCTTCAGGTCATGTATTCCGCCTCGAGGATAGTTGAAAGTTTGGGAAATCGTGACAAGTCTCCGTAATTCAACTCCCGCGGATTTGGTTCCCAACCATTGCTTTTTTGCCCTGTCAACGCTTGAGCGTGATTAGCTCGCGCCCGTCGTTCGTTTTCGGTGGTGGGGCCGGGTCCGTTTGACAAGAACTTTCGGTGTGCCTGGCGGAAAAGCTGAACACCACAGCCAGAAAAAGGATTCCTCGGCCACGGCCAGGCGATACAATAGAACTCCTCCGTACTCTTCCAACATCCGGCTCTGAAGCGGACAAGGATAGGTCCCCAAGCGAGGGCGCGACGACGAGAATCCGAGCGTCCGATTTGGGGCCCTGCTCACGGGATGGGGGTTGAGGGATAGTCGCCCGTAGCTTCTCGGTATTGGTCTTAGCCGCAGAATTGAGGCTGGCGATTGGGTGCAGAGGCTGCTGATCTGATCATCAAAGACCTCCAGTGAAATGGCACAGCTGGTGTGGGCAAACCTGGAGAGCACGAGGTACCCGGCCAATCGCGGAAGAGCAGAATGACATCCGGCCTGTGGGATTCAACGCAGCAAGATGGGATTCTGTGCAAGTGTGTGACGAGAGCCCCTGTTAGCCTGCGCTGGGCCCTGCAAGGATGCCGTGACTGACCAAAGACCGGGAACCTAGCCGGGACAGCCCATTCCCTGTGCGGCCAATCTGGGGCAGCTGAGCGCAAAGAGAGTTTTGCGATACATCATCTCGCCAGGACGATCTATCTGTGATCGGATGAGGAAGAGCAGCGTTGTCGAGAGGATCAGGAGCAGAGAGACGATGGAATCAATTCTCACGGTTTGGCCGACGTTGGCTGCCAAGACTCCTGCTGCGGCTCAATCGCCGACTTCACGTCGTCGTCGCCCATCGCCAGCATCAAACCTCCTCGCACCCTGCTTCGTTCCGTCAACTCCGGACTCTGCACTGCATCTCGCTCAATAGTCGACGGTTTGAGCCGTTAGTTGTTCCCACCGGCTAGCGAGTTAGCTCTTCAAGTCTTACAAGGCTCACTATTGTCTTGGAAGCCAATTGCCATGAACCTTGACGTTGAACAGTCTGTGCCTCATTCCCGGCCAGACTCTACGAAAACTCAGAGATGGCCCTGACCTGATCTGACCAGAACTCGACATGGGTCGCATGGAGATTCCCAAAATAGGGAAGGCTCCCAGCCAAAAAAAGTACTAATCCTGATGGGAAAAAGCAAACGTCCTGCTCGCGGGTAGTCTAAGATCCCAGCCAAACAACCAGACTCGTGGGTTCAACACCATTTTCGTATTAATCCCGAAAGAACTGATCTTACTCGCTGGATGCATCCCTGGCGAAATCCTCCCTTCCGATGATAAACTTGAACACCCTCTGCTGCACAGGCCCGGGTGCATCTCACTTGTGCTCGACGAGAATGGTTGATGATATAATCACAGCGGTGCCTCACATTCCCCGAGTGACGATAATCATAATAATAACCGTCGTCCTCAGTCCCTGTTTCTGCCGCGATAAATCAGAACAGGCGTGGGCCCTTGCTGTTTCAGCTTTTCCTATGGTGGCTAGCTTCGTCGTCGGATTTGTGGGAGAATGAAGAATTACAAACGCTTGGTCCGGGATCAGTTCAACAAGAACAGGTCTGACTCCGAAAGTATAAATAACTTAGGGTTTAGTCTCTAACCGGAACATCGTTTCCTGAGTGTGATATTTCATCATCATGGATTGAAGGGGACGCAGATGTTGGACAACAATCATAACAAAAATAGCCATGGACACCGAAATACGCCTTATCATGATACCAGGAAAATCTCATAAGGCAGACCGAAAAGAGAAACTTTTTGGAGATGATTTCAAATCTTCAAGTCAATATCTGGTTAAACGTCGCAAAATAGTTACACAGGGGTGATATGTGCAAGACGGGACGCTTCACCCCTCTGAAGCTAGGGAACCGACTCCAAGTATCGCCGTCTGTGGCCAAATCTCCTGGTTTGAAGCGCCCGCCTCCCTAAGCACGAATGGCATTGTTTCCACGACACTTCAACCAATTAATACCTGGAGATAAAGCGTTCTTTGCCAGAGAATGGTTAAAAGCCCCTCTTCTGTCCTGCTTGAATCTCGCTCCAACTCCCCCGCGAAGTTTAGCCTTAAGAATATTGCCGGCGCGAAATGCGGAAGCGAATCCCTTCTGTGCCTTGAAGAATGGCATGAGCCACTCCTCGAAGTCCCGCGTGACCAAGGCTATTCTTCGCAAAAAGCTTAAAACGCTGGCCATCTTATCGATCTCATCAGTTCTCGTTCGGCCACGACGACGATCCAGAAACAAAAAGCAATCATCCTTTTATCGGCGTAAAATGTCTCGATGACGGCGTGGGCCTCACCAGTGCAGACCAAATCTTTCTGGAGGAAACATTTTCAACGGACAAGATCATCCCTTGGGACGATGAGGCAAGCATCACCTAATATCAAGATTCCTCATCGTCTCGCGGGAGTCCAGGACATTGCCTCCTTCACGAGGCGCTTCTAACCGAGCTGCAGCATGTCGACATCCTTCAGCAAGATTATCGACGTTGCTTGGGCCTCGATGCGCGGGTGGCTGCAGAGCACAATAATCATCTGAGCCAGGCACAAGATTTACAATCTCATCCATTCGCACTTCCAATAAAAAGTCACCGAGATATGTAAGAAATATACGTAATAAGAGAATCCCGGGTCCTCGTTTTCCAGCGAAAGCTGTCGCCGGCAATCAAACACTTTCCGGCATCCTGCTTCACCGACTCAGAATGAATTTAATGATGTCCCCCACTAACTTTCGAGACAAATCAGACAAACTTCTTCGTCCCGGTTGTTATATTCAGGGTTATCTTATATTAAACCTCGTCACCGCTAGATTACCAACATGGCCCATGTCAAAACAACCCGATATCCCAAGCTTTGCAGGAAAACGTGCCATTTCCCCAGTTCCCGGCTCCCTGGACGGTGGGTGCCAATTTTCTTCTTTTCGGTTTTTCCTTGTTGATTTTTGGCCCTTTTTGTGATTTTACTTTTCTTTTGCTTTTTCCCGCTATCTCTCTCTGAACCCATGGCTTTTGCTTTCTGCCTTGCATGATGTCTTCCAGCTCAAGCGTTTCTCCTCCCCATCCTTGCTGGTCGTCCTTCAGTTATTTAAGGGTTCGAGCACAATCTCATCCTGTGTACCCTGGGTATTACGAGCTTCTCAGGGGCCAAGTGGGCTATTGTTTGAGCTTTCAGACTCTTGTGCATATTCTTAGCAACAGGTCGGTTAGCAGAACCCAACCGGGTAATTACCTCCTGGGAACCCCTGGGCTTTCGAACTGATCCCAGTCAGCCAGCAACAGGCCATTACCACGCGGCAGCCATATGCAAGCCAAGGGCAGAGAGGCCTATTTCCAGCTATTTGGGAGGTGAAGCTGATGCTTGCTTCGCTTCATTATTTCTTCACCACCCCACGATTACCTTGAAAACTGAAATCACACTGGCATTGATTGAACTTCGAACCAAGATGCGTTGGTCCTCACTGGAACTCGGAAGCTGAATCGTGCGACGTCGGTATGCGGAACGCACCGCATCAAGCTCCTAGCTTGTCCTACTATACATACAAGGTACACGGACATTATTTCCTATGTTAAAGCGAACGAGGTCGTGCATTGTTCGCTCCGCGCCAGGTACGACGAGCCAATAATCGGGGCATGGCAAGCGCCTGTCCGATTATTTCACGAAATCTCATTTTCATTCCAAATCTTTGTACTTTCGTCGTCATCATCCAATTATTGCCTAGAAGAACCGCTTACCGAGTACTCCCACAAGTTAACTGTATCGAGCTCCTATGGCCACGGCATTGGACGACTTGCGCGTCAATGAGCCAAATAATCGCAAAGTATCACAACGAAAGGATATTGAAGATTGAGAACCATGAAAGCCAGACGGGGAAAATTTTGCTCATTAGCATTCACTGAGGGCCTCGCTTGCCCTGCCTTTCGCTCTCATTGTTACACCAACCTTTCCTCGGGAGACTTGGCCTGGTCATGTCGGCTACTATTAGCTATTTCGTGCTGTCGTCATTCATACCTTGAGAAACAAAATATGAGGCTAAGGGAGCAATGACAAATGTCATGAATACTGTGAAACTAACGGGTTCTCAAGCGGCACGGTCGACAGTCTCAATGTTGTTTCTGAACGGACTATGTCCCAAATCGGATAAAGATTAAGACGAGAAACATTTTAGCTTTGACAAATGTATCCCACAGCTGTGAGGTCGCATTTTACTAGTGAGCTGTGTCTTCACCAGGTCCCTAGTAAATTGGGATGAATACCGAGCTCAGCCAGTTTATCCCACGGCACTTGTACAACGACAGGCGAAAAGGTTGCGTCTATCGGCTGACCTTTTCACATACATCCCTAATACGAGTCATGGGAACAAGTCAGCTTTATATCGTCAGTCCAAGCGGTTGCTATCGATGGCGAAGAACCGTTTTATTATCCGTGATCCGGTGAGTCACAGGTTTGAGTTTGAATTCCCAGCACGTCTCTGCGTCCCGGCGAAGGAGAGAAGACAGAATCGCCATGAGTCGCTGTGCTCCGTATCTATAATGTGCAGTACATAACGTGTATACGTCAGCCGCCCAACCAGGACCACGTACCATCTCAACTCCCGCCGATTCCATGCACCTACAATTAAAATATTAAGATAGCTGATGCGGATCATAGAGATTGGATTTCCCCTTGGAATTTCAGCGACGTTTACAGCACAGTCGCTTCTGATACTTCGCCAGGCAGTCTCGCAGTTTGTAAAACAGAACTATCCCCGCAAGCACACTAGGAGCGCACGCGAGGCCCTTCCATGAACAGGTCGGATGAAAATTTCCAGGCCCTCCTTGTCGACTCCTCGACGAGACTGAGCCATACTAATTTCCAAGAAGTAGCGTATACACGTGCGGCTTTTTGAAACATCCTTCGTTAAGGGTCCCGGAAACCGAATCGACATCAGGTGATTGTAAAGTGACTGCTGCAAAGAACCATTCAAGAAAGGAGAATAGAAGAACGGGTCCAGTAACGACTGGGAGCGACCAATAATGCTCGGGACAGCGATTTCTCTCCAATCCAGCCGCAATGATCATTGAGCCTTCCTCGTGAAAAACTAGTTCCTAGATCTTACTCTTATCAAGATCCTAAAACGGAGCCCACAGGGGGTGAAGTAATGGGTTTAGCTAACATCTCTCAGGAGCCATATCAGAATCAAAAGTCATTCAACTCGACAAGCACAAACGCTAGGCTTGCACAGAACAATTTATCTGGGAAGAATTATACCCGGTTGAATATCATCTTCTAGCAGATTAAGACTTCTCCGCACCATTGCCGCACATCGATTTGACAGTCCATGTATTGCGTCTCGTATCATCGCAATACGATCGTTCAAGTATTTCCGATTATAGTCCTCAATTTCCGTCATGTAGTCGTCATAAAACTCGTCCCAGTGATCCTCCAGATATCGCAGCTCTGGGATTCTTCGCCCAATGAGCTCATACTATTTCTTAATCAGCTTTCGGGCACGCTGGGTTCTGTTTTTGATATCCGGCATTTGATGATATCGGAAGACCGCCAATACCTATTTTGTATTTTCCGTCAGTTTACCTTCTTTTTTTCTTACGTTGGGTATGTCAAGCATTGACACTCGATCATCGGAGAATGGAAGGTGTTTACCTTTCGCAAACTTCGCAGAAGTCTGAAAGCTGCATCAAAGTCGCCCTCGACGAGTCGACTAAGCTGCACCCGCCACCTACCATCGCCGCACGAATTTTGAAGTCCAAACACCGTCATTTTAGCAGTATTGATATCCCGTTCGGCCAGGACAATGGTCTCGCGGTTGGTATTGGATCCGTATGCCTCCCATACACGTTCGGCAGGGGATCTGAAATTTGAACTAAATCTGGTCACCGGCTTCAGGTCAAAATGCAGTGTGTTTCCATTAAAATAAAGAGTCCTCAGTATCACTGAATCAACGGGAGGCGCTCGCGTCGCTCGAGCTCCTGTTCTATTTCCTCGGAGCCACCCCCTGTTTGCTGCCTCGATAAATCGGACATGCAAAGAAAGCTGGGATAGATAAGCTCGTCGTCGTATCAACTTGCGAGCAAGGATCTCACCGGTATGAGATGCTCTGATTCCGCTTCCTTGGGTACGATGAACTGGGAGTTATGATAGTCCACCGGGTCGCTGATGACGCTGGTGAAGCGGCAATGGAGATTTCCTAGCCGGTGGTAGCGGAAGAGCTGGTATTCCCAATGGCGTTCGCTCGAGAACAAGCTCCCTCGGCTTGGATAGGGCCGTGAAGCGGTTGAGAATTCGGGCATATTTAGCAAATTGACGTTGTAATGGCGGCGGTTCTTTAATCGCACGGTCTCCTTCAGGCGCTCAAAAGCGGGTTCACGGCTTCCAATTGAGAAAGGTTAGCAGGAACGCAGACATGATATCAAAATAACATAAGAACTAGTCTAATTTTAACGTCAGGGCTAGGGGCTCTAACCTTGGAACAGCACAGTTTCTTGTACTGCACTAGCAATAGTTGTAAGCATTATGAATAGCAAAAGCCGGTCAAGACTTACGCCTTTGAACCCAAACCAATTGTCAACAGTCGAAGCCCACCGAGGGCTTGTAGATCCATACCCAAAATTCGTAGGAAGCACTATGTTTGCACGTCGGCTGCGGGCCAATTAGCCGCGAATTCCATATCAATAAAATGCAAGCTAGCTCACCAGAGTAATGGCATGCCATATCGCTCAATCATGTTGGTTCTGTATGGGCCAAACCGTGATTTGTTTCCAGTGCTACTCGATCGGGGGCTCATCCACACAGTACCGAGCAACAAAATCACAGGCGAAAGGAAGCTGGCGACTGGAACGAGTTATATACACCATCGGTTGACCAGTTTGCCTATGTCGAGATGCGACATCCTTCGAGGTATGTTCTTCTTTCGTCGGCTAGAATCGATGTTTTGTCGAGTCAAACTCTATGGAGATGGAAGCACATCATCACAAAGTAATTCGAAAACGAATCTCAGGCACCGACAAACAAAACAAAGCATTCTTTGCGCATTGAGACCTGTTTTGGGGTATTCCTCATCAGTATCTAGGGCTGTCCGGTTTGGAGCCGTCGCTCTTTTATTCAAGCAGGTATAATGGACCTTTCACGGCTGTGAATTCCATGGGTTTTACCGCATTATTCCGGATGCGTAGCCCTCTCCAGGCCTAGCATTGATCCAAAACATCGGCCAAGTTATTGTTTTGTAGGCTGAAAGCATCCCCTCCCCGAAGTAAAGCAAGCCTCAAAATAAATCGAAGTGGTATTCGCTTTGTGAGTGATATGGAACAGTTGTTCTAGTTCTTCTGGTCTTTGCGATGACTTTCCAACATCATGAACCATTGTGGGTGAAGGTAAAGCGATAGCTAAAGCCGTTGCGGGATAAGCAACATCTTCAGAATAATGGTTCAAGCGAATTGGTATAAACTAGGCTTAGTGCTCCATTGGTGTTACCCAGGGTATCCACGAGCACCACAGTGTCCATGTAGAATCGTCCACGACAGGGAATTATAACAATATCCACGCCAAATTCAACTGAGTATCAATATGCAATACTGTCAGACACCTGAAGATAGCAAACGGGAGCAAAATTTGGAAGGCTCATGGACCTGAGAACGCACAGCATGCTCTAGGCCTCGACGGAGTTTGGGATGGTAGGACTGGGAGCAATGCATTAGAATAGAAGTCCGGGCTGCAACAGGTCACCTTTGCCCCATTCTTGTAGGTATGCAAGATGGGATACTAATAAATGGGGTTGTTGACCGGCAGGGACGGAATGTAGGTGTATAATCATGGATGATTCAAGGATGAAAGAGGCTGAGGTTCATTTGAGGTCGAAGATCCAACTCCGGCCACAAACCATCCACGAGAACCTGGGGTTTCGGCTATTATTCTGCCTACTCCTCACACTGGAACATTTTTCCTCTCTGCTTGGAAATCATCGTCAAGGGTAGTTAATCGAGGCGAGTTGCTTTGTGCCTCTACAATCACAAATCCAGGGTGGCCCATTGATTCCTCATCCTGCGCCCTCCCTCGTGCATCATTACGCACATGATATGCACCCAACCACCCTATAGTGCGGATTCCAATACCGCAGGCCAACGCCAAATACCATGACGGGGAAGAGCCAGAGTCCAGCCCCTCTCCGAGAGATGGCGCAGCGGTGACAATTATTGGTTTGATGCGCTCATGTTCCGTGGATGCAGCTTTGTCCTACGGAGCACAAAGCGGCTAGCTAGTTCATTTGAAAACTCCTCGATTTAAAAACTTGATCGGCTGTGGCATGTACCACATGCAACCTATGCAGTTAGGATACAATTCATTCGACGGTTTGCTGGGAATTCCGGTCCCTGGTTTGGGTGATCCTAATGATGGCCTATTTTGGCGCGTCTCCAAGTCGACATCATCACAAGCAAAGGGGAGAAGCAACTTGTATCCAATTTTCATGTCATGGGGGAAGTTCTGTATGCTATACGCCTCCAGCCGCTCCTGATTCGGCCTCAGCGTCCCGCTGGGCCAAAAAATAGCCTTCTCTCGCGATGTTTCTCACGGTATACGAATTTTTAAGGAGCGGGTGAGGATAAATTAAGAAGCACATCCCCTTTCTTAATTGCCTTGCAAGGATAGCACCAAGAGCAAGCCTTCTGTTTCATAGCTTGCTATACAACGACTCTTCACCTTGTTGCATACCCCCTAGCCCTACAACCAACGCAAGTTTGAATACTGATCAGCATATTGCAATCCTGATCCCCAGTGAAGCTGTCGAGAAGCGTTCCTCCATCTGGTCAAGCTTCTTCTGGGTAGAAGAAACTCCAGCTCCCATCTCGCCACTATAGCCTTTGCTCGGCGGATATTTTATTGCAGCCTTAAAGCTTTTCTTCATTATCATTATGGAAAACATACCTATCAGAAAACCTTGTCTTTCCATGTGACCTATACTTAGGAAATTTCCGTGACTCGGATGATGGATGACAATGGCGGAATGTATGTCAGAGGTTCTGCATATATATTGAGTCAGTCAGCCAAAGTTATTTTCAATTCTGTGATATGTTCGTCGTCCCGAAGACTTCTAGCGAAGATGGCGCGGAGATTCTACGCCTGGAAACACAATTTTGATACAGGAAGCTCAAGGGGCCACAAGAGGGGGGATATACTACAATGGCCCTGCTTAAAAGACTAAGTACGGGCCAGAGACTGAACTGAAGACTTGAACTGATGTGAGTTCTCCTTAACGTTTCACTGTTAATGGGTACTAATCTATTATAGGGCTGTTAAATACGGTGTTTTATGGAAGCCAACGTTCACTGAAATGGCGACAACCCAGGGGAACTGAGCGGGTGACCGAACGATCTATGAAAAAAAAGGGCGAATGAAAATGCTCCTTATATCTTTCACGAGTCAGCCCGTCGGTGTCAGAACGGCCCGGATTATGTGAATTCAGATGAATATCTGATGTGGTTGCTCTACGATCCTAGAGGCTTCACTTCTTCGTCGAGATCGCTGCTTTTTCCAAGAGATGCATCTTGGGAATTAACCTTTCTCAGCTTCGGTGTAAATATGCGTACAATTTGATTCACTGGTGCATGGTCTCACTTCGCGTTCGCGGGTATGGAACAATGGGCCCGTCCACGGTGGCTTCGTGTTAATTAACTAGGCGGCAAGTTGCAGAACCCATGCAAGTCATTCCACCAGCATCGAATATCTCATCTGGCAAATGTACCCCTTTTTGAGCATACTGTCATTGAAATGATCCTGCTGTCGCTGTTTCGATTTTGGTCAGTATGATAGAGGTTTTGTCAGAATTTGAAGGAACCAGTTGAAGTCTCAGCAGCCATGCAGCCCCCTTCCAGGGTCTACGGCTCTGATTAGGCAACCATGCACATTGGATCTATTTTCTTACTCAATTGGTTGATCCGTCCTGGCTCCTTGGAGGATGTGCTGGCACAGGCAAAAATGGAGGGGTAATCGGCTCGCGGCCATCAATTGGTGATAAATCCCCAATCCCCTCCAGATACTTTCCTGTAGTGATCCAAAGCCGACGGCCAAATTGTCCTGAAACAACGAATCCATTTTTTGCGTAAGGAGTTTGTATCCTGTCTACAAACTTCACCTGACATAATGCTGATTTGCTCTTTCTTAGAGACGTGAAGAAAAATGGCCTCCCAAAACCACAAATCCTTATCTGAAGATATCAATGTCGAACTGCGGGCGAAGCTCAAGGAGCAGGAGCAGCTCGAAAAACAAGCCCTTGAACTTGAAAAATTTATAGGGGGCCTCCAACACCGGGCTGCTGAGTTGCAGCTGCTTTCCTCCAGTGCCCAAAAATCGCGCGGACTGCGAGACCGTGAAGAGACGATATCTCCTGAGGAGGAGATAAAGAAGAACCAGCTGGAATTGAGGGAGATCAGAGGGAAGATACATGTTTTGGAGCAAGCTATCCAGCTACTGTCCGATAAAGCCTAAAGCATACAAACGAGATGGTAACGTCCCAATTTATCGCCGCCGTTTGACGATGATGCAGCAGACAAAGACACTGACACCCACCAGCGAGCAGGGTAGCCAACGACGGAATAGGCCAACGATCCTTTCAAGATTGGGTTTCCTCCATACTTGATGTATAGCAGCAACCTCTTTCCCTTTGGCTGGGTCAAGCGTAGGGGGTTTAAGCGGGTCTAATCCTTCCAGTGCTAATTCCTTCTCAAAATCCTCAAGGTTAGACAGCACTCTCTGCAATTCTTCCTCTTGTTTCTTCCGCAGTTTAAAGAAGCTCTCCACTCTTTTGTCACTGTCTTCTCCATAGTACATGTTGTCCAACAAATTCCAGTAGACATTCCCAAAATAACATGGTTTTAAAAGTGCGTAGGCAATGAAAAAGGTATCTGACATGAGATGCTTGCTCCAAAGTTTGACCAGAGGAAGAATAAACTTCAGCTTTTTATCTGGATTATAATGTTTGTCCTCCCACTCTCTCGCGGCTCGCTGGAATTGGGAAACATATACTGTAAAAGCAAAGTCATAGGGCTTTTTAGTGGCAGCTGGGAGCTCCTGGCCTGTAATCCAGGATGGCGGGACAAACATTTGTGGTGGAACTGTGTGACTCCATTCCCAATCAATGATTGAGATGATGTTCAAATCAGCATCCACAAAGACATTAGGTGGTCGAAGATCCCCATGCATGAGGATGAATGGCCCATGGTTGTCCTTTGGGTCTACCCATTCCATCACAATACCCTGAGATGCAAATATGCCATATAGGTAGTTCCGTGCATCCTCCTTGTTGAAAACACTATCCTTCCCATGGTAAAAATCATTGAAAATCAATTTTAAGACAGCATAGACATAATCAATGGTGGAATTGTAGGTTTGATGAGCAGGGATAATCTCAGAGCTTTTCATCCCACTGAGCTCCTGATCATTCAGCTCAATGGTGAGCGGGCGGTTATGCTGAAAAACCCAGTTGTCATTGCTGTCTAGTGTGAGAGCACCAACATGATCAAACTGCTGGTGATAGAGTTGAATATAGACATCAGCAAGCTGATCAAACAGATGTGACTTCAACTCATCAGGAAGACATGGCACATCAATTCCATGAAGAGTCTTGCCTGCGATGTACTCCAAGGCCATAAAGGGAAGATTAAGAATGTTATCTCTGTTGATGGAATATTTGAAAAGATGTGGGATCGGGATAGTGGTTTTCTCAGCAATGTACCTATGTAGCAAGGCAGTATGTTAGAACTCGACTACAAAGCAGGAACATCTCATTTTTCTTACTTCATTGTTGCAATCTCGCCACGCATCTTTTCCTCAGGAAAAGCAAGACGCGGTAGTAGGGGGATTCGGATCATCCATCGTTCAGCACTTTGAGTTGACTCAACATCGGAAATCTGGTCCTCTGAGTCTGTAAAAACAACCGGAAAACAGATATTATAGCTCCCTTTCTGTGGATCTGAGAAGACATGGCATGGCTTCTTTTCAGGGTGTAAGGAGGAGGCTAATTTGCAGACCAAAGATGGCTCGATCGAGTTGATGAACTTCTTGACTTCTTTGTCAAGTAGATGACGGGTGAGCTGGTCCATACCAGCAGAAAGAAATCAATTTGCTCTTGAGAACCGCGGGTGGTGGGCAGAGCTATGCCAAAATCACTGATGACGGGAACTTTCCAGTGTTTTCTGCGCAGAGACATGGGACAGCTCATCTCGACGGCTGCCTGTTGGTCGTTCGTTGCGGAGGGCTTACGGCGCTAGGACCAAATCAGGCAAGGTGGATGATCGTCGGACAACAACATCACCATCCAAAATCTATTATGGCATCCTACGGAGTACTCCGTACAGCTATGCTACTATATGACCTCTGAGTAGGCTGGATGCGTTTCAGCCACCTGGCATCACCTGATAGCAACTGCTCTCGAGTACTGCTCATAGAGCGTCGCTAGTTATGAGTTGGCGCGGACTCTCCTGAACATGAACTTGCTATATATGCAATACTTTTTTGTTTCTTCAATCATGGCCCTGCGTCTCAAACCTGCCTTCAAAGACATGGAATCCGGTAGCGAGATGTCGAATACATTTCTGGAATATGGTTGCATGTGCAGGCAGGTACAATCACAATGTCTGCTGTTCAGGATTACTGGTCTCAATCTTACAGATACAATGAACGTCGACGCTTGACTGAATGGTATCTAAAATTTGATATCAATGAACTTAGGAAAGCCACAGCAAAGGCGACTGACAGACCTGTTTCTGATATTTAAAATGCTTGCAAACTTGCTGAAGGAGGTTTCAACCGTGTTTTACCAAACGTGGCTCATCCATACTTGCCTGATTTCCATACCCAGCAACATTTCTACAACGAGTTGAAGTGGCGAGGTTGCTATATTGACCTTCCTTTGTCACCATGGGATTCCTGTGCCTCGTGTTTTGGTTATTTAACTGATGCTAACCCCGTCGGCACTGTGTATATTCTGATGGAAAAGCTACCTGGAAGACCCAAAGGCGAAACTTGGTTTGATCTTTCTGAAAAAAAAACAGACTCAAATCTCTTTTTTAGATTGTGAAGCTGGAACACAAGCTCTTCGCAATTGATCTACCAGCCAGCGGCAGTATATACTATGCCCATGATCTACCCCGTGGCACTCCTAATATTTCAATCCTGGGTTCTGAAGATGGATTTTGTATAGGGCCCTATGCAAGTCTTCAATGGTGGATAGATGGTCGTGCAAGTCTAAATATAGACTGTGGCCCTCTTAGCTTACCTATGACAGGTTTTTGTCAATTTTCAACAATTATAGACGATGGCCCGCGACTGGTCCTTCCGGTCCCTGCTGAAAAAGAACTGGCCTGGATTCGCGTGTATGGGCGGCTTCGTTTCCCCTTCGAACATGCCTACAGGGAAACTTTCAACTACATGAAGCAAGACCCTAAGGAACACGTTAATACTCTTCGGCCTCGGGCGGAAACCACAACCCCCGTCTCTCTTCATGCATAAACAGCCAGAAAGTGAAAATGCACCTACGGAATAGGCAGAAGCCCAACTTTTCGGAGCAAGCAGACTGGGCGGTTGCAAGGATTATCTCGCTTACATCCAGCGAATCTGGGGTCCAAACGGGTCGCCGTTCGCGGGTTATGCATACATCGACTTGGGCACCCATAAACCCGGCGGTCGCCTTGTTGCAGGCTGTCAAGGTTTCAGTCAAACTTCTCGGCATATCGTGGAGGGTTCTCTTTTTCTAGTAGCGCCCATAACTCAATTTCCCTTTCATGTTAACGATGTACACTAGATACGCCCCGATGCCGATGAGTGGCCACCACGAATGTGGTCTTGTCGCCAAAGCATTCAGCTCGTCCAACTCGCGCTTTCTGCGGAGCAGCTCATGAATTCTGGCCATCTTCGCATCTACTTCTTTCTGTATCTGGGCTTTGTAGCCTTCTTCGCCCCCCATCTCCAACCACTTTAACCTTTCGGCTTCTTCTTCTGGTAACAGTGGCGCTCCCAAGGTTAAACGAGGCTCAATCCCTAGTTCTTGTCTCTCCTTTTCAAAGCGTGCTAGTTCGACTACCTTTTGTTTCACGATCTCAAGTTCGGGTTGTCGGATTTTCAACTTAAAGAAAGCTTCCACTCTTCCAACAAGATCTTGACCATAGTAAGAACGGTCTAGAGCCTTACTGTAGACATTCCCAAAGTAATGAGGCTTCAAGAGTCCATATGCGACCGATCGGTTGACCTCATCATCCGCGTGCTTGCTCCATATTTTAGACATTGGGAGTTCTAGTCGCGGAAGTCGCTTCGGATTGTGACATTTGTCTAGGCGTTCATATAAGGAGGTAGTGAAGTCCAGAGCCGCCGCTGTATAATGGGCGGACAACGAAGCGTTACCGAGTTCTAGTACTTCATGATTTGTGAGCCAGTAAGGCGGGACCGCAAACATTTGGATTGGTACAGTATGGCTCCACTCCCAGTCTAGAATTGATGTGATGTTGAAGTTGTCATCAATGAAAATATTAGGCGGGCGAAGATCTCCATGCATCAAAATGAAAGGGCCATGATTATACTCTGATCTAACCCATTCCATTGCAATGCCCTGACCTGCCCAGATTCCATACCGATAGGCCCGAGCATCACCTTCATTCATGATTGAATCTGGGCCTCGGTAGTAGTCATTGTAGATAATCCTGAAAATTAGGTAAACATAGTCAATTGTAGAGGTAAATGTCTGTTGAGGAGGTAGAAAGCGAGAGCAGAAATCAAGCCCAGCTACTTCTTGCTCATTGATATCAACAGATATAGGGCGGTTATGAGCAAAGACCCAGTTATCATTCTCATCAAGAGTCAGAGCTCCAATGCGATCAAATTGTTGGTGGTGAAGTTGAATGTAAACATCAGCAAGTTGGCTGTATAAATGTTCTCTTGTACTCCTCTCAAGATTCTGGATCTCAATGCCAGCCAATGACTTGCCCTCCACATAGCCCATTAGCATGAATGGAAGGCCGAGGATGTTGTCGCTGTTTATAGAGTAGCCATATAGACAAGGGATGGGGATAGTGGTCTTCTCTGCGATATATCTATTCGCTGTTAGGCCTGTATTCCCAATAGACTATCTACTTGGAAAAATAACCACCTACTTCATGGTTGCAACCTCGCTGCGCATTTTCTCTTCTGGAAATGCCAGTCGAGGAAGAAGAGGAATCCTGACCATCCATTTCTCGCCTTCCATACTCTTCGGGTCCTGATTGAATATCACAGGAAAACAGACATTGAAGCTACCTTTCTTCCAGACTGAGAGTATCCGGCACGGGGTTTTGCTTGGATGGAAGGATGAGGCTAGCTCACAGACCTTTTTAGGGTCAATTGAGGCTATGAGCTCCTCCGCAGCCCGATCGACTCTGTGCTTGGTTATCTGATCCATGATTGCAGGACCAAGGAAGATTAAGCAGTTCTAAAGATTATGAAGTTGTGGGGGAAGACGTCCGTGATGAAAATAAGAGACAGTGGTAACTTGTGCCTTGCCAGCCTCCTTTGTTCCATTCAGGGGTTGAGACCGTCCGCGTCACGTGAAACTCTAGACTCGGCTGGATTCTGTTTACTTTTTGCCTGTTTGGGGATTGAACGACAGACTCGCGATATTCCTGGGAACAGCGGGCTTACCAGGACAAAATGGTCAAACGCGAGGCGATGTTGCTGGAGGCTTTATGTCGTATTAATTAGTTGTCCCTACGTCTGTCTTCTTCCCGAAGCGTGGAGAGAGTAACTAGTTAACTAACTAGTTAAGTAATAGATGGCGCCGCCATCACCCTCTCTCCCTCCGGCGGCCTTGTCTATCTATGAACTTGCTCGCCTGAACTGCCGCGAACGGCTTCTCGTCCCTCCAATCCAGTGGACTGGGCGCCATGTTGAGTTGCTTCAGTGCTCTTTCGAGGAGCCCTGTCCAGCGCCCGAATCAGAAAAGTCTGGCTTTCCCGTCACAGGATATCAGCATGCCAAAACCCTTTTCACTTTTAGTGGCCCTGGCTGGCGGGAGGGGACGATAGAAGATATACTTGCTGAACCTGAGTGCCCTCTGAAAAGCCGGTGGGTTCCTACCCCTTGGGTCATCCAGGCCTTTAATTCACATGGTGTTGTAGGAGCGGCCTTAAGTTTTACTTCAATCAACGTCTTATCAGCACTTTGCCTTGCCTTACCTTCCACCTCCGAGGCGACAACCCGGTTTGCGGACCTGTTGTTGCTTATATCGACCGTGTTCGTATTGAGAAACTGCGCATGGACTACGCCTGGGGTCGTCAACCCAGGCGATCCAGTTCTCCCTCCAGAGCTCTCTGCAAGCTCACGGCTAGGAGACTTAGACCTCCTGTGCCCCATCATGACCCATACATAGTGGCGATGCTGATAGCAGTAGCAGCCAACCAACGCAATGCTCTGCTACAGAAGCATTTGGAAGCCTGTCTTGATCCATCTTTCACTTTCTTGGTATGTTTCTGAGCCTGAATAATTTCTATTTTTTGTTCTAACTTAAGGTATGTTAGGCCAAAGTACTATTAACTGATGGCAATGATAAGGAAAACATCCACCTCTTTAGCGCGGACATCGCCTCCTCCTTTCTTGATAAGCTTGATTATCCCAGCCTTCCACCGCCGCCGTCTGTGGCGCCAACCATTGTGATCAGGCATACGCTTGTCCCATATAGACCCCTCAAAACTTTTCGCAAGCGCCTTTTACTATTGCTGCTGCCTACTCTGCGAGATTACGACTGAAGCTGTTGTGCCGCCACCGACCAAACTTTGCGAGATATCCCATGCTCAGGCCATAAGGACAATAGAGAATGAAGGGGATCTGTTCTAGCAAGTAATAACTAGTATTGGACCCCCCGCATCCTCCTACGTATACCTCCCAAACGGAGAATGCGGCCGGGCTTCGAAGATTTCTGACCAGTTATGCATAATCACATCGGTCTTCCATGGTATTTGCAGCCAAGGCCTTTCTTTCCGCTGATAGGTACCGCCCGTGGGTGCACATTATACCCCGTACGCGGACAATATATAGAGCATCTGTCATCCGCGGCAAGAAAATTCCTACCCCCATAGCCCAGATTCCAAGCCAGAAATACCCTCACGCTTCCCAACCCCTAATAATCGAGCAATCCCGTTTTTTTCAAACCCCCGATCCCCTGGAACGGTATCACAAATGGATCGGCTAGCAAATTTCCGAGGAAACAAACTGGCAAGATGCAGCCGCGGCACCCTGCATGTTTGCTTGTTGCATCCCACAGTGAGAACAGCACAACCCGCGCAGAGCTGTCAGACTTTGGGGACCTCTCTAGTTGGGAATGGAATGATGCGCGGAAGAGAGGCCATTCAACAAATGTGGCGACAAGTGTATCCCAATCCCTAAAGGTTTCAGCGGTTGCCTGCATGGCCAGCATTTGCAGACATGAAAGGACATTATCAGCTAGTAGATGCGTTTATCTTCAAGAGAAAGGAGCCTGTTTTCATCATATGAACCGGGACATGAAATACATTTATTAGTGAAATAGTCCTAGAATAGCAAATGCACTCGATGTTTAACATAATACAGAGTTTAACATGCTGCATCAAAAGAACCGGGTGCCCGGGCAAAAGACATTGCATACAAAGCACACAAAGCAAGGAAAGATAGAAAAAGCACGAATCCCATTATTTCAATTCCATAATTCGCCAGAAACGGAATCTTCATGGTTATCAACGTCCCCTGTAACTCTCTTTAGTGATGCCAAAAGTAAGCCTTCATTGTTTGTAAATAGATTCCCACCATGGCAGCAACGGGATGTCAAAGGCGGACAAGCATGGCAATAACTCAAATACAAGGGTCATAAAATATTTCTTGTTTTCTTTTACCTCAAACACAGGAACGCAAGGGAGAAAAGATCACTTGATTGGACAAAGTGAATTTATCGACGTCCCCAGGGGCCGTAGCTATAGAGAACAAATATCAGCATTGAATGAAGATAACTTGACGCGTAGGAACCATCGCTCACCTCCAGATCTTGGCTCGACAGTCACCACTTCCTGTTGCAAAAAGCTGTCCTGTTGGGCTAGGGGCAACTGAAATGACTGTAGTATCTCATTAGCCGCAGTCCACAAAGGTGAACAGTTTACACTCAACATACCAGAATTTTTGTGACCTTGGAGCATCATTTGCGCATGCCCAGTCATGACATCCCAGAACTGTACACCTCTGTCCTTGGAGCCACTGAGAACCCAATGTCCATCTGGAGTGAAGCAAACGCTAAGAACAAAGTCCTGTATGGGTCACAGTGTAAGTCAACTAAAGCGCACCAAGATTTATTAATCCACAAATAACATACCTTGTGTCCCTCAAAGGTACGCACGCATTTTCCACCCTTGGGGGCGTTGCCGGTCATAATACCGCGCGGAGGAGTCAATTCCCACATTTTAATGGTTTTATCTAAACTGCCGCTAACAAGATCGCGGCCGTTTGGTGCAAATGCAACAGAGTAAACGCTGTCTCGGTGACCATCGGGACTTTCCAGTCGCTCCACGAGGTATCCAGTTGTAGTATCCCATACACGGACACTCCTATCAAGAGAACCAGCAGCAACATAGCGGCCATCTGGAGAAATGGCGACGGTTGTAACGCCATCTTCGATAGTCAGTATGAGTTCTTGTTTCCCATCGTAGACGTCCCACATTCGCACGGTCTTGTCGCCACTGCCAGAAGCAATATATCGGCCGTTGCGAGAGTAGTCGAGAGAGTAAATATCGTTTTCGTGCCCGGCAAAAATATGTCTAATCTTTCGGTTTGCAATATCCCATACCTGTACGAAAGATACGAAGATAAGCCTAGACTGCACACAAAAACATAAAACAAGAGGAATTCAAATAACCATACCCTGATTTGTCTGTCTTCGGCACCGGTAGCCAGGAACTTCCCATCTGGGCTAAAGCAAACACTACGAATGTAAAGGTCACCCTCTTTGTTGGCTGTCTCGTCTTGTAGTGTGGTGACCAATTGTCCAGATGCAACGTCGAAGATTTGGGCGGAGCGATTGCAACCAGTTGCAACGTATTTTCCATCGGAACTGAACTTGACGCAACAGACAACGCTATTATGGGACAATGTGTGGACCAATTCGACATCTAATACACGTGGAATTTCGGGATTGAAAACGGCATACCAGTCAAGGCCTTCTTTCTTTTGCGTTAGCGGGAGCTTTTCGGGTTCCAATTCACCAAGGGCATTTCCAACACGATAGGGCATTTGTTGACCAGGTGTTGGCTGTGGGATCTGCGGGGACTCTCTGGGATCAGCATAAGTGACCGGCTGGTTTTGTTGGGGGGTTGCAGGTCCAGCTCTGGCGGAGCGTTTTCCAGGGCCAGGAGAAGAGGTTGGAGCGGGTGGTGGGGGTCCATAACCTGCAATTCAATAAAAACGATGATCAGAATTATAACCATAAAAGGAACCCAGAAAGTAACATGGGTATTCTCTGGAAATATGTATGTACCATTCACTGCAGAGCTCGGCTGATAGCCGCCAAATCCTCCCTGTTGTGGCTGAGGTGGTCCTTGTGCGCCGGAGGCCGGTTGCTGCATGGGGTGTTGAGGCTGCTGTTGTTCCTGGGGCGGTGGTGGAGCTAAAGCGGGCGGTCCGCCGCCTTGATTTGCGATAATTCCGCCAAACAGGTTGCTTGGGCCGTGGCCTAAGGCAGGTGGTGGAGCCTGAGATAGTCCGCCGTGGGTTGGAGGTCCGCCGACGTGCGAAGGAGGGGGATGGATACCCCGAGATTCTAATTCCAGTCGTAGATTGCGAATCTCAGCTTCGTACCTAAAATGGGACGAAGTCGTTAGTGCGCAGTTCTATATCGAGCTTGAATAGTGTTTGATACCGACGTACTTTTGTTTCATTTCCATATGCGCTTGTTCCAACTGAGATACTCTTTGACGAATCATCTCCACATCCTGAAGCTGCCCAGTCACTAATGGAAGTTAGCCAAATGTATCGGTAACGTTAGAAGACGTTGTGTTCGCATCGCAGTATAGAGAGTTATTGAGCGCGCCAAAGCCAAGCCCATCCACTGCTACAGTGCGAGGTCCACAACAAGATTCAGGCGCAGATATTGCAATTTGCTTCGCGGGCATCCATACATTGATGTTCGCATTCGCCATGGCTTCGAGACTGGTTCTCATATTCTTGACGCAGCTGGTCAAAGAGCTCTGTCAGACGCGGATTCGGCGCCGGAACCATCGCTCGATTGTACATATTCGAGCGATTTCAAACGGTGAGTGTGCGGTGCGAAGGAATCTCGATGAGGAGGAACCGTGTCGGACGGCGTCACGTTGAGGTGTCAAAAGGCACTCTCTTGAAACTAGATAGCTTGAAAGTCAATGACACTTGATGCCGATTACATAGAGCTATAATGCTATTTTGAATGGACACACAAGACAAGAATCACGCAATTAGTGTTGGATTGATGAGGTGAGGTGATGGTGGTCGTCGTTGTTGTGAAGATTGAGCGAGGGGTGAGCACTGACCAACTCTTGAGGCTGAAATTGGCGCAAGAAGCGAGGTGGGCACTCCCACTAGCCACACAGATTCCAGAATGGCAGGGAAGGCACTCAAAGCAGGCTTCCGGTTCAGGGCGATCCGCTGGGATATCACAAAAGAGATGGTAGATGCAAAGTAGCAATAGAGCAGGGTAAAAACGGGAAGGTTGAGGAAGAAAGCCTCAGAAGCCAGACCGCAGTGGAAGACGGCTTCCTTGACCCAAGGACGGACGTGATGGAGCCTGTGGCACCCTGGCTGATGGGAACGGGGAACGGACTAATAAAAGGCTAACAAAGACGCCAAGCCGCAGCGAAACCCGTGTGGCTGATCTCCGTTCTGTTTGCGCGTTTCCAGTCCGGGGTGGATGAGGTAAGCACCTTTCAGACGCTGGCGCTAACTAGCTCACAAGCCACCGGGCCCCACGCTTGTGTGGCGCGTGAATCTCTGAAGTGTTTGCCCTGTTTGCAGTGGGAGTTTGGATGGATGGGTAGACTGTAGTGTTGCATTTGGACAACCACAGAAATGGTTGGAAGGAAGAACATGACATGTGCTTCATTCTATTCCTACTAGCTAATTGCAATCCCCAGATCCTGTTGCCTCTCATTTTCCCTAGCACGCTGTAATTAACAGTTTGACCGTAACACATTGCTCTTAAGCCGTAGCGGAAGGTCTTAGTTCGAAGCAGTTTTTGAGTCTACAGTCTCAGCGAAGCCTGTTGTTTTGCCAGGAAGATGATGCGAAGACTTCGTGTCAATGTGGACTTCAGCTGTCTTGTTACCATTCCACCTTTCTCTAACTGTAGGATATCCCATATGGAGAGATTGTTGACTGGGTACTCTGGAGTCTGTACTTTCATGGATGGAGATGTTGAGTTAAGCATCCTGCCAAGATCCAGACTGTGACCGACGGCTTCCCGGCCAATTGAAGTAGCTAGCCCTTCCTCCGTACTTCCTTTCGCTGAGGAGATTGTCCCCTATCTTCCGAGCATCCGACGTCAGAGCAGCCGAAGGAGCCTTCGTTTTCGCTCTCTCTTATCCGAGCGCGGACTCGATTACGAGACTCGCTGACTAAGCCGGGCCAGGCACCGCCGGAGTTAAACGGCAGCCAAACTCCCGGCCTGGCCTGATCACTGGCGCTAGGCCCGAAACAGCTGGTCCTGCGTCCGGCGCTAACGAGCTTATCAGATTAATAAAAAATGCCCCAAGTCTCCTTTTACGTGCCTCTCTTCCTCCTTGCCGACCATCCCACCGCACCCTTCGACCTAGAGACCCCCAGCTCACGCTCACTAGTATTCATTAACTAGCAATTGCTGCCACTTACCTATAACTGGAAGACGCCGTATCTGGCTACCTTGATCTCAAGTATTCGATGATTCCCCTGTGAAGCCGGGACCCGCGGTAACACGGACTTTTCCAGCCATGGACGTCGTACTTGAAGTTTTCGATACATTTTTATTCGACTATCTATATGCTTATGCGGTGCCAGTGCCGCAGCAGGCCTCCCTCGTCTCCTCTCAAATCGCCGATGGACTAAATAAAACCGCGTCAGCCGTTGGCAATGGCTTCGTCTATCGACCCGCCTCGCAATACCTCAATTTCGAGCCATCGGCATATGCATATATGAGCACAATGGCAAGAGACAATGTTTACAGACAAATCTTGTCAATGTTCTTTATCACCTGGTACTACCTTCCCACCGCTTCTACTTTCGCCAGGTCTTAAACTCCTATCTTCTAACGAGGCGGCGCATAGGGTTTTTGGTGTCGTCGTATATTTTATTTTCGCTACCCTGTCTTACGTCCTAATTTTCGACAAAACCACGGTTAATCATCCAAAATACCTCAAAAATCAAATGCGACTCGAGATTATACAGACCCTTAGATCACTCCCAGGCATCGCGATACTAACGGTCCCATTCTTCGTTACCGAAATCCGAGGCCACGCCAAAATGTACGATACCTTTGAGGAGGCCCCCTTCAAGCTATACAACTTTCTCCAGTTCCCTCTATTCTTCATGTTCACCGATTTCTTTATCTACTGGATTCACCGGGGCTTGCACCACCCATTAATCTACAAGCGTCTACACAAACCGCACCACAAGTGGATCATGCCGACTCCCTATGCCTCGCACGCTTTCCACCCTGTTGATGGCTGGGCGCAAAGTTTGCCGTATCACATCTTCCCGTTCATTTTCCCTCTACAAAAGTTCGCTTACGTGGCTCTCTTCGTGGCAATTAATGTCTGGACCATCTTGATTCATGACGGCGAATACGCAACCAACAACCCCGTTATCAACGGCGCCGCTTGCCACACCATGCACCATCTCTACTTCAACTACAATTATGGCCAATTCACCACTCTCTGGGATAGACTCGGCAACAGCTACCGTCGACCAAACGAAGAGTTGTTCCGCCGTGAGAGCAAGATGGACAAGGAAGAATGGAACCGTCAGGTACAAGAGATGGAAGCGCTCGTTAAGGAGGTAGAGGGTGAAGACGATCGTCAGTACGAGCACGAGGAGAACGTCAAGAAAAATTTGTAAAAATCTGCTGGTTGGATAAGACGCTGAAGATCAAGGCCCTTTGCTCTTGAGATGAGTGACGGATACGGCTTCTTTTTTGACGTACCATCTTCATCGTTGCAAGGGCAAACCGGACGAGACATGACCCCGAACAAAATGAAGTACCTGACCATCTCAATATGGACGCCGGCTTGCCGGCTCACTTTTCAATTATCAACCTACTTTCCACCTCGCGGCCCTGTTTAAACTCCTGTGGATATTTTAACCTAGGTTGAGATCAATGCGATACTGACCTGGCTCTAAGTTTTGCGATATTTAATACTAATATTCTCGACTTTCTCCCGGCGCTAGATTCATAATTTTTACTCCTTTCCCCGTCTTGGATCCCTGAGTAACGGATAGTCACCCGTGTTCGCGCGCCGGGCGCACATACCCTTTTTTTGTTACGCTTTTACTGCTTCTGCTTTTCTCCGCCGCTTTTCTCCTATTCTGTCTTGTTATTAGTTTGTCTTTTCTATATCCAATGACTGACGTTGGTATCTACTGTTTTATTTAGCAAGTTTGTAATAACAGGTTCTTTCTTTTTTTGATCTGCAGATGGAAATCCTGTGTATGTACATACATATCTGGTTCTCAAAATGAGATTTCGGTCTCGTTCTTGGGAATTGACTTGTTTTTCAGGACCTACTTGCGATGCACGCCCACCTCTAGTACCCGCTGGTCCGCTGGCTACCCAAACATAAAGTCCGCCCGAAATGCGAAAATATCTTTTATATGGTATTTCCTATAAAAGATACATGCTTGAATCAATTTTCAACCGCAATGGACTATTATAACTGTATTACTTTTAATAAAGATTCCTTAGTCTTTATAGAGTAGAAGCAGGTGAGAGTCCGGCTGCTGCCATGCGTCGCCTGCCACCAATTCAGCTACTAATGGAAGTTGAAGCATACCTTCTCTCCAAGGTAGAATTTTGATACCACCCCCGCATTCTCTTGAAAGCTGATCGAGCGATGGACTGGAAACAGAAAAGGGTGTTACTTCTGCGCGCTCCCATCACTGACAAATATACCCCTTAACATGATTCCAATCTGGATGGTTAGAGGGGAAGGTCCCGCAAGATGGAGTCGAACTGCCAACTTCTATTCCTCCAGGCAGATGTAAATCGCTGCCGGGCAAAGATGGCTGGGACCCCTGAGCTTCCCACACCATCCATCCCCACTAACGACTTGGCTGCATGAAGCTCCATGCCACGCGATGCTCAGCTTCAGCCCCCAACCACAGAACTGGATATCTGATAAATCCTACAGAAATGAAGCAGAGTACACTTGACCGGTTTGGTGTGATACTTGAGCAACGCCCTCATACCGGCCTGACATTTCTTGACCTACCATTTAACGTCCGCTGCCGGGTCTACGAACACGTTGGGCTCTATCGGACGTGTCCCATCGACCTCAACTATGAGCCTACTAAAGGCTATGACGCGGAAGATGTCCTCGATCATGACGAGGAGCATGATAAATATGCTGATGTCGACCCCAAGTATCAGTGCTATGTCCGGAAGTACTTTGATTTCTGCGACTGTGGGCCGCTGCCGTGGGGTTTGGTCTGCGCTTCTCGCGAAGCATCACGCCTCTTCTACTCTCACAATCGGTTTAAGATCTGCCAGGGCTGGTCAAACGGCTTCTTGCACTCCATAACCTGAGCCCGGAGACATTGTCGCACATAACTACGCTTGCTATTCGTATCAACTTCTGCGTGAAACATCCACACGGCTGCCCATACCGCTACAACTTACGTCCTATTCCTAAAACTCGACCTCTACAGCGGATTATTTCCCGTCATGAGAAATGGATGTTAGCCGATTGGACGTGTCTCTGTATGCGGCTGGCACAGTATATCCAGCCAGGACGCTTGAGACTATCATTCATCTGCGACACCGAAAACATCGAGACTGCAAAGGCATTTCTTGCTCCGTTACAGGCAATTCCAACGCTTGCTCGATGCGGTATTCGCCTCTCACGGAAGGAAAAACCCGAGCTTCAAAGGCTTGCTGATGAAACGGTGGCTCACCTGTCGACTCCGCGAGTGGCTCCGTTCCGTTTTTCAGTTCTTCCTACCGAGCTTCAAGCACGGATTCTGGCTCACACTGACCTCGTCGCACCCCATGCGATAGAATGGAGTCCCAGTGCGGGATACGAGCCATGGCAGCCTATGTTGCAGCCAGAAAAATGCTACATGTGCATTGATGTACGGGAAAGCTGTTGCACACCGTTGGAAGAAGGCTCCTTTGCATCACGATGTGACTGCTGGAAGCCTCCAAAAGCGCTATTCTATCTAAACTATAGAACTCGCGAAGAAGCCCTTCGCATCTTCTTCAAAGAGAACCACATCATTCTACACTACAATACGGGACCAAGGCTCGACCTGGTCCCTTTTCTATTATCAATTCCCCGACAAGCGCGAAAGTACTTGCGATCCATCCAGTTCGAGTTTCCGGATCCCAGATGTATGACTCCAGGCAGCAAGGTGTCTCAAGATCTCGCTGCCGCCGTTACAATTCTAGTTGCTGATGCTGATTTGCGCCGGCTCACCATCACCATCGATGTCTCCGCGGGCTGGCATTCGGGAGAAGATTTTGAAGTCGACGAGTCGCTGAATGAGATCAGATGGTTTAATTATAAGCAGATGATTCTGCCGATGTATTTGTTTGGGGGCCGGCTGAAGGATTTCTTTGTGCATCTTCCGTGGTTCTACCTATCTTATGACCTTGCTCGTCGGAGAGAACAGGAGCAGGATCTTGAGAGAAGGATAATGGGGAGCGCTGAGTATGATAGTATTCAGCGAGGGAAGTTTAAACGGCCTTGTACTTGGAGTGTAAAGCCGGGGAATTGAGAGCTTCGTGGTGGCAGTGTTCGGGGTGTGATCGATACTTCAATAACTAGTATAATGATAAAATATAACATTGTGACCAGGCACTGCACCAATAAGCCAGTTGAGTGCGTTTATTGCTCTGTCTCAGGCGTAAGTTAGTTGTCTCGCGTCGCGTGCAAACCAAGCACCATCTCTCCACATCAAATTCCACCAGCAGACTCCGACGCCTAACTTACAATGTTGCCGGAAGAAATAAAGCAATGGACCTATTCAAATCCAAGAACAGCAGATTTCACCCTGGACGCAAATGAGGACCTGGAGCGTCTCTGCCCGTTGGATGCCGGTCGACGTCACGCAAACCCGGTGCATGACCTGGGCCAGTTGGAGCAGCTACCGTTAGAGCTGTTAAATATGGTACTGCTGGGTCTTGATTTACGGTCCCTGATGGATTTCCGACGCGTAAATCAACGCGCAATGGAGGTTGTGGGCTCGATACCCCAGTATGCTACTATACTCATGCACGCGAAAAACGCTCTTCGCGGGATAATCAGCATCGGAAGCGCTCGATGGATCTCGTGTCTTGATATTTACCAAGAGCTTAGAAGAGCCGAGTGCGACTGCGGCGACTTTGGGGGATATCTTTACCTCTTTACCTGTCGTCGTGTTTGCTTCCTCTGCTTCACCTCGGAGTCGGCCTATCTGCCAATAGGCCGAGGGCACGCAATGAGGAAATTCGGCCTACAAGGCGCCCAAGTCGCAGCGCTTCCTGCTATGAAGAGCGTCCCTGGCTTCTATTCTGGGAGACTTCTCAAATGTCGGACGCGACACAATTTGGTGGACTACGAATCTGCCCGCCAAGCTGGGATCAAGCTTCACGGTTCGGTTGCTGAAATGGAGCGGCACTGTTCAGAGATGGAGCTTCAACGACGCGAGCAATATTTGCAGCGGAAATCAGAGTTTAAATCAGGGGGTGGCAGAGCTCCTCGACGGCCGCCGCTTGTCGAACCGTTCGATGGCCGACAATCAAACCCGCGTCGTTATATGGCGATTGTCCCGGCCCCTTACATCACCACCGGGAAGGTTATTGAATGGGGCTTTCATTGTGAAGGCTGCAGAAAACACAACTACTCGCGACCGTTACATTGGAGAAGAAAGTTTACGGTTGCCAGCTTCGAAGCACATCTGAGAGAGTGTGGGAATATTGTAGCTGGGAAACATATTTAAGGGTAAGTTTGATTTCATGGTCTTCTTTTTGACCCTGATAGAAACGGACGCCCTTCGAAGGCGAGCCATATTTAGAACGATTGTTGGTGAATATCCGTTTCTTCCCCCTCCTCCGGCCCCTTCCAACAAAGCATGAAGAGCCATTCGTTTTCCAGAACATGGATTGTCCCGATTCTCTTCTGCCAGAGCGCAAACTAAACTGATTTGTCAGTTGCTAGCCGCCAATGGTTCCTTTCTGTCTTGCAGCTGGCTTTGCGGCGCTTAAAAACCAAGATGCTTGTCAATTGGCCTTGTCCATGTGACGAGGCTCGCATTAACTCGTATTGTTGCTGCTCATAATGCAGGGTCCTGCAAAGCTGATTCCTTCTTATTCTTTTTCCATTTGCTAACATTCTTCAAAGTGCATGTGTGTAGCTTCAAGTTCCTAAGCTCAAGAAACTGAATGATTGAAAATAGTTGCAGATATCAAGATTTCTAAAACCAGCGGAAACCCAACAGTCAATCAATATCATGATTAGTGTGGTATGCTGATTGGACCTCTCTTTATGGCAAGCGGTTAGCTTAGTCGCCTAGCACCAATAAGCCAAACAGATATTGTTTTGCTCCCGCAGAACTCTGTTATTTGAGAAGCTCAACATCTTGTACAGGTATATAAGACACTGGGTGGACCTCGTTTGTCATTAACAGTTTGTTGTTATCCTCCTCCATATTTGCATATTCCCTCGTTCGCTACCGTCGTTATTTACGCTCAACCCGAAAATGAAGCAAAGCTCTCCCACAAAAGTAGAGCTTCTCCAGGCGGAGCTGGATGATGATTCCGAAAGCTTCGTTCGCCTACTAGTAGATGGCAAGCTCATCAAATATGTAATCATCGCTCCCGGGTTATTCTCCGTCGAAGACATGGCATTTGGCCCATCTCTCATCACCCTCCTACCACCATTCCCACAAAGAGACTGGAACGAAGGCCTCGTGGAGAAAGACCCGCACACCGGGAATCCCCATTTTGCGCGATATACCCGGAAAGAATTTCCCGGGGTGAAGCACTTGTGGCACGGCAGATTCGTGGATTATATCGACCTGAAAATTGGAAAAAAGCTTACATCGGGAGTCTACGAGGTCACTTCATCGAAGCTCGACAAAGCTGCCGTTGCGAAATTCGCGCGGTTTGACTGGGAGATCCAGTACATGGAGAACGAGACTACGGCATACGAGTGGATTCAGGGCAGCGGCGTGGGACCGGAGTTCCTAGGCCATATCACGGAGGAAGGACGGGTGATTGGATTTCTGATTGAACGGATTGATTACTCGCACCGCGTGGGACCGGGGGATTTAACTGCTTGTCAGAATGCTTTGGCGAAGCTGCATAGCTTGGGAATCATGCATGGCGATGTCAATAGGTACAACTTCCTCATTTTGGCGGGCGGAGAAACGGCGACGCTTATTGATTTCGAAACTGCGCGGAAGTGTGATGATGAAGATTTGCTTAGGAAGGAGTTTGAGGAGTTGTTGGAGAGCTTGCTGGATATGTCTGGGAGAGGGAAAGGATGTCTACCCGCGGTGAATTAACTAATCCCTCTGGGATGTGCTTTACCAGGGTTATTGAACGATTCATTCTTCTATTTGTTATATTAGAGCTTACTATCTACTATTCTTTTAATCTGCCATGTTAGAGTCCGCTGTCCGTTGTCTGCTGTTCTTCTAATTTTAACTAAAGATTTTATCTGAAAGGGCTTCCGGAAACCTGACGAGACATGACTCCGCGGATGAAACACGACGCTTTGCTTGTACGTTTAAGCTGGGGTGGCGTGCTGCTTGGGGAATTGATTCAGTCATTAACCTAGAAGCTCACTAAAGGGGACGCTCAGCCTACATGGAAACGAGTATGGGAAACCATCCTTTTCAAACACGACCTCGAGCGGCCCGCTGGACGAAGCTGGCCCCTGCGCGATGGTAGTCAAAGCCGACTGGTCTTGTGCTGAGACTGTTGCCTTGGAGCCCTTACCATGTGGAACAGCGATGTGAGGCTGTGACTGGTTTGCCAGACGTTGTTGGTGCTTCATGCAGATGAACCGTAGTGGCACAGCTCGGTGTTCGCATACATGTGGCTCCTCAGCGCATGAAAGGATATGTATGCCACTTTTGAAGTCACAATAATCCCCTGTGGCATACAACCCAAGCGATTGGCCAAACCTAGAAGTTGTAATCTCTGCAGGGATGCAAGCTCATCAAGTTAACAGCAGGATTAATCATCAAACGGCCATTCTTTTTCCCACACTCTCCTCTCTTCTTCATTTTGGGCAAACTCCTGTATGATGAACTCCTTTGCTTGGCCTAAGGCGTCTTTTGCTTCGTCATACTGATCTGGCCGCACAATCCCTTGTTCAGGGAAGAGATCTCCGAGTGATTCACGAATTGATTGCATTGCCTGCATACCAAGTAGAGACCCGTTCGCCTCCCTTTTGATCTCCTCTTTTTCTCTGTCGGAGAAGCTAAAGGGATAATGACTTTCACCAACGCCCGGGAGATCTGCCCATGCGCTTTCCATCTCAGCAATCCGAGCTAGATAGGTTGCTTCCCCATCTATCAAGAGATTCCGGCCAAGAAGGAGTAGGTCAAAAGTTGATGTTCCTTGATATTCCAGGGCATTGTATAGGCGCTGGTTATACTTATGAACATATGTCCTATAAAGCGCAGCCAAGGCTTTTTTTGAAGTACAGAGTGTTTGCTTCCTTTTGAGCGTCCCCGCTGAGGGCCGTGAAGTTGTCTGGAAGTCGAGGGCGCTTCAATCCGTGGAGCTGCGGTCCATCGTAATCTAGAAAATATGGCTGGCGTGCGTGGTATAGAATAGAGGAGCGATCTCGGTGGATTGCCAATCTATAATTCCCACTATCGTTGTCGGTGCGTCGGGGTCCACAAAAATATTTTCGACATGAAGATCACTATGCCATAGACATGCGGACGCGATGGATCGGTTACCGGGGCAAAGATATTTTATCAGTGAAAGATAACTTTTGATGGCCTTGAGCTTTTTCTCTCTCGTAGGCTGATAGGTTCCTGGGCCATATAGAGCGATATGGGATTTTGGCAGTTCAGCAATATTCTTGACACACGATAGTTCACGGTGGCCTATGGCAGCCAGGTATTCCTCCAATGTTGGCCTACGAGTGCTTTAGTCCACAGCCGTATGTCACGGTGCGCTGAACCACTTACACGGACCACGGTTGAACTCAACTGTTGCTCTACCAGCATCAAACCATTCTCGTCCTGTTGAGGGTCCAATGGCGAACTTCTTGTTTGAGAATCCATCGTGCAAAGGCACGTGCCTTACTCTGACCAAATCCTCAGCAAAGTAGAGGCTGCCAAAGTGACCAAAGGAAACTTTCATCCAAGCTTCTTGATACTGCGCGATAGTCTTAGTTAACGAGAACCGGTCGTCGAGTCGCATGGACGACCAGACTGAAGCTAGTGGCACGCCGGATACTTTCTCCATGATGATGTACTCGGCACCCACACTATTATTCTGTGAGCTCCATGCGTACACCTTTGGCACGGGAATATTGCAAACAGTTCGCATCTGGGACACAGCTAGCAGGATTAGGATTGCCTGTTGAAGCTTTCAATGTTGGGATGGATGTGTGGGGTGACGTACGAATTCCATCGTCGCAACCTCGCTGGCGGTGGTGAAGTGAGGATGACCAGCATTAGGATTAGGAAGCTTCGCGACAACTTGTACTCCGTTGTCCATTGTGAGCAAGAAAGCCTTGTTATACATCCCGTCAGGGTACTTTTCAAACTTCACACACGCCGTTGAGCCAACGGCTGACGCCCCAACAGAGGCGAGTTCATCAACATTAAAGCAGATCGATCTTCGTGCGATTTCAGATGCCTCATCGCGAACGAACCGGCCTCGCGTGTAGTAGAAGAAGTTAGGGTCCTGGGTGAACTCTGCAACGTAAGTCCATGTACATATCATTTGGTGGAAGGATAACATACCTCCCCTCTGCGACATAGCTCGAGATAGTTCCGCGCGGGCTCGTATAGACGAGAAAGCCTGCCCAAGCGTTGTCGGACGAAGAAGAGGACGGGTAACCATGGCCACAAGTTGAGTGGAAAAGCAGCCAGAGACTAGAAGTACGCCTTTGTGTCATTTGAGCGCAGGCCGCTTAGTTGCCTCAATAAACTCGGACAAAATCTTGCCAAGCATTCCAATGATAGTCTATGATTTGGCCATGTCCTGAGTAGGAAGTATGCTGAGAGCGCTTCACCAGCGGGCTTCTCCGTGGCGCGGAACAAGGGATAACTTGAGGAAAGGATGTCTGCAACCTTGCTAGGCTAACTATATACCACGAGTAAAATCATCACGCTTATCGGTTGCTTCATTTTTCATCTATCGTCACGGGCTCCGTCTGGAATAAGATACTGTTGCAGTGTTGTTCCTGCAGATGCCAGAATATCAAAAACGTTTTTTGAAGTATTGGTGTCTTCAAAACTAGTCCATGTTTCGCTGTCAGGGGCCACCCGGTCGAATGAGGCAGTTCAGATTTAGTTATATTCTGGAGAAGTTAAGATCTAGCACATACGACCACAGGAAGTGGAAAACAGGGCTTCCCGTCCGCTCAGCCGTACTTAAGCCACTTGCCGGCCGGCTAGTAGTTGGGTGGGTGACCACCAGCGAATCCCGGCTGTTGTATGTTTTTTGCGCTGGAACGCAACATCGTGAATCCAAGGCACTCTGAGCTTCCAATTCCAACATCCATCATCAACCTGAACTTATGAGCTGAATGCGCAACCATCTCCTTCACGGTAACTCCTCGAGGCAATGCTTCGTGGGGAATAAAATCGCTACAAGTCATCGACCCCCCGATCCCCGCGAAAGAGTCCTCGCCATGAGGGAGCGACCACGTTGCCGCCCAATGTTCCTCCGCGATTACCTGAATCTTCGTAAAAGAAGATGCCCTAAATTGAAGCGACAGTCACAACTTGTGATACGTGAGTTAGGGGAGTGTCCCTCGGCATGAGAGATGTCATGTGCCTGGTGTGGAGTGTTTGCAATCGCTTCGCTCATTATCTCTGACCATGAGATTTGGAGGTCGGGTTCGCTGCACGAAAACCCTTCAAGACGGATAAATTTTCACGGCACACTCACTTAACTATTTTACGCCCTGACTTACTCTACACAAGAACACAAGGCGGCTGACCAGGGCTTCTAACACAGTCTAATTGGCTAACAAGTAGTCTATACCTCAAGCGGGAAGACAGTTAACTCGGGACCTGCCTTCTTCCAAGGAACTAATATTGGGGGTTGGCTGAAATAAACAGCCAGCGACGGCTATATCATTTCATTCCACAGGCTTAGGCTGGGCTAGCTATCTGCAGCAGAATATTGGCAACAAAAGGAGCAGGCATCTCTCTGTCCTGAAGCATCTATATCCATCCTTTAACTCTGCATAAACAACTTGCACGTCTGTTGCTCAGGGTTATTTTCTGACAATGCTTCCGTGGGCATATCTCCTCCGCAAATTGTCTCCTCTCTATCGATCCGTTCGACCCAATTCCTTAACCTTAGTCAAGGACCCGTTCGAACTTAAGTGTCCTTCTGGAACAAGAAGTCAGGCATCAGCATATCCGCCACATACAATTTTAGGCTGGGTAACTCACCTTATACCCTGGATTGAAGCATCGGAAACCAACAGGATGGCAGAACTTTCCGCAGCACTCGTGGCTCTTGTAGCATCGTCCATTCTCAGCTAAACAGCGTCACATGGAAACCCACTGTTAGCAGTCTAAAAGATAAATAGTTGTCGAAGTACGCTGTGACTTTAAACAGACTATGAAATTGTGGAATCGAAATTTAAAGGGGCATACTCACGGACGCATGCAGCGGCTTCAGCTTTCATTTCTGTTTCCGCGAAAGGAACAGCCAAGACAGAGACTGCAAAGAAGGCGAAAGTAGCAAAGCTTTGGATCTTCATGATGAATGGTATAGTCTTGAGTCTAGGCCAAAGTGCAACGGTAGAAGCTTGTTGGAGTTGATGAGGTTACGAGGCTTTTGATTTGGAAGACTGACGACTGCTTCTGAGATACGAGCTGGAGAGATCCAGATATTTATATCTTTACTCCTCCTAGATCTTTAACCTATGCTTCGGTATGGCATTCGTTTGGGAGCTTCTCCACTCCCAGCGAGACGGCAATCTTGCGATTCTACGGTTGTTCAACGCGAAGCATCTTATTCCCGTGGTTGATGATACGTCGCGAATCGCAGGTCTACTTGCATGGAGCATTGCAGATTGATGTTGGTTGTGCTAGCGCCGGCAAATTGATCTGGTCAACGAAGAACGCAGCGCCGTTAGAAACCCGAAAACAGCAAGCTGCGGCAGAGTGCAATGCTAGTTGGGCTTTGTTCTAGGCGGTTAAGGTTGCAAAAGCAAAAGAAAAAATACCCTTTGGACGTTGAAAGCCCCTGGAGGTGCCAGAGAGTGGTAGAGTTGGCGGCCGGGTTATGATTGCTTTTGCCATCGCAGGTCGCGACGTGCTCAACCTTAGCTTGATTGACAGCTTAAGATGCGACGGTGCTCGGTTCCAGACGCACGAGTTTGATGATTTATCCCCGGCGTTCCCCTGAACGACAGGGACTTTGTGTTTACTACGCCAGTGCCGGTCGTACTCCCAATGACGCGAGGATAGAAACAGATGTACTCTGAATCAAATGCGGGAAGTCTAACCCTTCTGCGATTCTTGAAACCCGGAAGTTGGAGGCTGGGAATGACTATTCAGTGTGGCCTATGCAAAGGTTAGGTCACACAAAGAAACATTCGCGCAGACCACTGCATGCCAGTGAATTTCCATGGTAAACCGACTGCATTTTATGCCTCAACGGTGACAGAAAATAGCTTTCTCTGTTTCTCCTCTCTTTTCCAATTCAACCTACTGGTTATGTTACCAGGGAGAAGGGGTAATTCTTAGACATGTCCATTTCAAGAGAAAGTTTTCATTGTTCAAACATCTCAGCACAGGATTCAACAACAGTGCATAGAGCCATCATGCAAGCTATCTGAGATGTTCTGAATACTGGGCCAAGCTGCCGCAGCAGTGGGTTTAGCTTCAGCTTTCTATGTGAAGATGCAGGAATCAGTGGCATGATGAACATTCTCAAAAACACCAGACTTCTTGCTATCATATACCCCATTCAGTGGGGTTTGACGGAGTTGGGACCTAATCTGAGGGAGTTGCAAGATAGAAACATGTTCGTTAACTGCAAGTTTGGTCCATCACTTTAACACAGCGCAATGGGGGGAATCTGGCCTGGTATCATTTCTGATGATTTCTTCCACCAAAGACGCAGAGGCAATCAGCCAGGCGCAATCATGGAGATTCTCCCACATAATCAGCTTTAGGTCTAGGGCCCTAGCCCGCATTTCAAGAAAGTCACTTGGGCAGGTGGGCTCTGCATTGACATCTTGATAGTAGAACACTCTTGTAAGGACAAAACGTTGGAGAAGCGAGGGTAACTAGATGATCAAAGTATGATAGAGTACACATTCGGACCAAGTTGATCGGATTTTGGAATATGATGTACAGCAGATTGGGAACGAGTAAACGAGCAGACACAGAATAACAAACAGCCCCAAAGCAAAAGTACAGTTTAGCTAAACAACATATTTAGATAATACAACCGTGCCCCCCATCTACTCCATCTTCTGCCCATTCGCCCCATCCTGATCCATCGCATCCTGCATCGGCTGCGGTTGCGGCTGCAATTGCTGCTGCACCTGCGGCGGCGCCATCGTCCCCACCGGCACCGCACCCACCATCGCCTCGTTAATGAATGCCTCTTCCACCGCTCCCTTCCGCCTAAACACCCTCAACCAGCGCTTCCCCCACTCTCGAATCAGCTCATTCTCCAGCGCCAACGCACTATCATCCGCCCGCTCCATCATCACATCGTTCGACCCGCTCGCCACTGCCACGATCGAGTCGTCGATCAGCTGGAACATGGCTTGCACGTCTGCTCGCTCACGAGCCAACGTATCTTGGATCACGCTGAGTTGGGGCTCCACGAGACCCGGCTGCGTGCGGGCGGCGACGATCTGGCGAATGCGGTTGGTGACTTTGCCCATGGTGGCAGCAATCATTTCGTAAATGTGCGGTTTGGCAAGGATGCTGCCGGCGGAGAGATTGTCGACGAGAGCCCATTCGATGACGGAGAGCGGGGTGAGTATGGTGTAGTTGAGGAGTTTGTCGATGATGTTCACTGCGTTTCCGGGCTGGTCAACCCAGTATTCCATCACGGACGTAATTATTTGCCGACGGGCAGCTGCAGACCGGGGGCCAATGCCAAGGAGTCGTTCTTTGCATCGTTCGATGGAGGAAAGGAAGTGTGAAAGAGATTTGGAGCCGACGCAGCAAATAGATGTCATAAAAGCGTCTGTTGACGGAATCGTTGGGTCCGCAAGCCCATGGGCCTTTGCTTGCTCCTCGATAGAGGCGATAACAGGTGCGATGTCTTCATCCGGCGCTTTTTTGCGAAGCAGTTGTAGGATCTCTTGCCCTTCTTTTGAGTATGGGGTAGCTATAGATTGGTTAGTAGGATGCCGTATATCAGTAATCAAATTATACATACTCTCTTGCGCATATTTAAAATCAGGAGTATCCTTTTCCTTGTTTTCAGAAATCAGAGCTTGGTATGGTTCCGGGAGTGTTCCCTTAATCCGTTGAGCAAAACTCAACCGAATTTCTTTATCCAAGGCGCCGATAATGAAGGCCTTCCGTGGATGTACAACTGGCAAGTCAACATCGTCGACCCTATATAATATTAGACGCTGGAGGCATTAGATTTGCACAAGCAAGTTGCACTCACCACTCCGTCCACTTCCACGTAAATCCAAAGTTACTCAGATGGTGAGAGAACCAGTCTAAAAACCTGTACACTAGGGCCAAGTCCAATCTTTCTACATTGCGATACAGAAATCGAATTGCTCGTCCTAAACTAGGCGCAATTGCGGCTGGCGCGATTTTGCAAGCCTCAGTTAAAACAGAGTGATAGTACACCTGCTTGTGCTCAGGCGTTGGCAGCTGCAGAAATTGAGAAAACACTGCATCGAGGGCAACGTCTTCTGGCTTCCATGTCACCTTGCCTTCGGGGACATCACGTAACTTGTCGAACGCAGTAGCACGTTTGATGAACGTATTCGGAGTAAAGTAGCAGTCAACATCAATAAGGAATCTAGCTGCCGCAATACGATTGTAGTCCAGAATGTTGATAGTATCGTTCAACGCGTCTCGTATCAAGGAAGACGCAATATTTGTGATTGGTGGAACAGTCTCAACGGCTTGATCGGAATAAACTGAAAGATAAATCTCCGGAAATATAGCCCGAGGTCCATTTCTAACTGGGTCTGGAACAGTGATTGTCGGGAATGCATGTTTACTGGCAGTACTAAGCGGATCTTCTTCAGCGTCCTCTTTGGTCGGCATCTTCCACGGTCGGGGAAGGCAAGCAAGCTCCCAGGAATTCTGGGCTTCATCTTGAAGCTGTTTTTGGAGTAAACCTAGTGCACTTAATCTCTCTCCTTCTGTCTTGTCCTCCGCAGGGAAAGGGTCCACGAGAGCCTCCAAGCTATGCGGGGTTGACGCAATGATATCTGTTTTCTCCAGAAGGGCAGTGGCGTGAGCCTCAAATCCCGATGCTGAAGATCCCATAACATATGGTATTGTGTAAAGGATTATTTTCACAAGCTCAAGGCCGAGAGACTGCGCAAAAATGGGTTAGCAAGCTCGTAGACCATTGGAGATATTGCAAGTACCTACGTCATCGGAAGATGCTGTTTGCAGGTCGACAGCACGAGAGAAGAGTTCTTCTAAAATTGGGAAAACACCCTCTCCTTCAAAAACACCTTGAAGGCAGGCAAAGAAACGCAGGACGAGTTTCACTTCACGCCACTCGCCAGCGGCAACATGTGACTGAAGCAGTTCTCCAGCTTTATTGAGGACCGAATCAGCGAGTTCTGGTTTTTGGGCATTCACCAGCAAAACAACCGCGGCGATGAAGGGAGTCTTGAACGGTTGTTCCATGACCCTGTTATCATATCATGTAGTTAGCATTGCAAATATCTAACATCCCTTTTTTCACGATTTCTTACAGCTGCAGAGCCAATTCCCGAAAATCATTTTTCACCTCCTCATCGTCGGCATGCTCACAAACGGTCTTCGCGATCTTAGCAACATCTTCTTCCACTCTTCGCACAGGCTAAATTTCCGTGAAACCGAGTAGAACGAAAGTCAGTGCCGCCCCTCCCGCATTCGAAGAAACATGACAACTCACCGACTCGGCAATGGTCAACATCTGTCTCCGAACCGAAGCAGACAGCGACTCCTCATATCGTCTTCGTGGCCTTTGTCGTTCCCCTCCGTCATCTTCTGCTTAGATGGTAAGCTCCCGTCCAGGGCGAAAAAACCAAGTTTCCTCTTGCAAACATCGACAGTAAATCAGACACGCCTCAAGAACAGGCACAAGACGAACCTCTGTGCCGCCTCTTGCGGTTAAAGCCTCCCCCTCGACGCGGTTCGTGATCAACCATCGGTTCCGGATGCACGCGCAAAAGCAACAATCGAAGAGTACGAGGAAGCGAAGCAAGTCCGCAGCGGTGCGTGGCTTTTCCGTAGCGCCGCCAACTGTCTCAGGCCCTTCGATGGTGGATTGTAGCTGTAGGTAACCGTAATACCTTGTGGTTCTGTGGTTGGGAAACACCTGCGCTCCGGAAAAGGATTTGTACGGCAAAACAGCGCGTCTCAGCCCAGGCGGGACACTTGTGTAGCCTTGTAACGAAGCAATCCAATATCTAAAAGCCTATCAAATTGTAAGCAGCCCATTCTAAAGCTAGGTTAAAGCAACAGACCAGAAAAAAGAAAGGATTCAAACGCCCAATCCGACATGAGTCGTCAAGAATAGAAAAAGGGCCTCGCATCACGAGAATCTTCAACGTACCACAGATCTGTACGAGCCACTCCGTGTCTCAGCCCAGAAGCGCCGGTCAGAGGATCAAGAGAGCTACAAGCCCCAAGCACAATTGCACGAGGAGACCGATTCCGACGGCCCAACTGGGTTGCTTGGATGGAAAACAGTTCCAGTTCCCTTTCTCGGAACAGCTAAGGTCCAGCCAATCAAAATGAAGCTCCTATTGCCAAGCTCGGCTCGCTAATTTAATTATCCGAAGATGTAATCAGATCACGTGATAGGGTTTGGGCCCGTTTGGGAAAGGGCGAAGCACGGCAATCTATGTAAGAGTTCTTAATCGTAAATGATATGGTGCCTATGGAACTATGCATGCGATTAACATATCAAGCGGAAGCAGAGTATATCAGAACCACGCCATGACGGATACGCCACGCTACAATTTGCAAACTTCAGGTAGTAAAACACAACTGGGGAATAAAAATTGGTGACAAGGCAAGCCATTTGTTCAACAGACGGGGAGGATACTGTTCGTCGAGGACCAGAAATCCCAGAGGTATGGCGCGGTGAGGGATATTGATACCAATGGTCGAAGAGAACACATGGAGCGATATTGAAAGTGCAGGTATCTGAATTCAATGATAGTGCGTGGATAGGGGGCCGTCCTCGATTGCGAATATCGACAAAGCATACGCGCGTCATCCCCAGACTCAGGCTCGTTCGCTTCGCTCTTTATCATTTACTTCAATCTTCTTGCAAAGCCATCACACCAATCTCGAGCACTCCCCTTGTTCTCCCCTCCTCCAGGCCCATCATTGAAAACCCTTCATGAAAAAGAAAAAGAAAAAGGTGTAAAGAAAGCAAAAAGAAATCAAAAGGCATAACTGGTCCCTATTCACTTGCAATTTCCGGAAATTTGATTTCAAGACCCCACCAACCCGTCCGATAACTCCATGGTATCACACGTTCACCATCACATGATCAGAAAAAAGAAATCATTGATTCATTGCCGCATGGCTCCATCAAAATCACGAATGGCATGATTGTGGAAAACTCGGGTTCGAAATTCTCATCCAGGGGAGGTCTAGCCGATACTGAACGAATTTTTGTTTTCGGAGAAAGAACCGATCGATGCATAAGTTTGAAAACTCGCAAGTCGTATCAAGGGAGAAAGCACTTGAGATGCTCGGATGTCACTTCTAGCAAACGGGGGTAGAGTTTGCAGTGAACCCAGCTCAGTCAAGGCGTGCAATCATTTCCTCTTTCTTGAGTGGAACAAAGTTATCAAGATCGATACCGGAGGCAAAAAGCTCGGACTTGGCTTGAGCAGGAACCAATCTCTGATTCAATGGAGGAGAAATGGAAAGCTCTGGACAAAACGTTAACTAGGGAATCGAAATAGAATAGTCACGTTTTAATGAAACTTACCGTGACGAGTGAAGTTGAAAAGTTTCGGCATCTCACGGTTAGGGGCATTTGGATGACGCGAGTCAGGCAAGCGAGTATTCGGATTCCTCAATTCGTCAAAGAAGGGGTGGCACATAGCCTCAATAGCAGAAAGGCGTTGAGTCGGGGTATATTCAAGAAGGGCGGTGATCAAATCGATAGCCTCAGGCGAAGCCTTTCGGAAGACCTGATGTGAAGCTTCGTTAGCCAAGTAGGCAGCTAAAATAGTGACCGATTTTCATACCTTGTTAAACGGATGAGGTTTGATCTGCGGGAATTTATGCTCCATATAATTGGGGTTCATGGTCTTGATTTGCTCACGGGTCGGAGTACCGAGGACTTTGATAATCTCGACAAGTTGGTCGATGCCAGATTCACCGGGGAACAATGGCTGGCCCAGCATCAATTCTGCCATGACACATCCAGTGGACCACACATCTATATCCAGATTAGTAGCCGCGGGAATAGAAGGGAAAAAAAGGAAGAATACCAATCTTAGTAGTGTAATTAGTGGCTCCAAAGATCAGCTCCGGGGCACGGTAGTAACGAGAGCAAATGTATGAGACATTGGGCTCATTCTCAACGAGAATCTTGGCGCTTCCAAAATCGCAGAGCTTGAGAACACCAGTGCTTGGGTCTAGAAGAAGGTTCTGAGGCTTAATGTCACGGTGACAGATACCTTGTGAGTGGATGTATGCGAGGGCTCGGAAAAGCTGGTAAGTATAGAGCTTGACTTCAAGCATAGGCATGGTGGTCTTCATCTTGTTAAAGTAGCGAGAAGCACGATAGACGGTCTCTGGCACGAATTCGAGGACGAGGTTAAGATAAACCTCATCTTTCTGCAAAAGCAATCAGTGGCTCCAGTCAGCGGGATACCGCAAAATCAAGTTTACAAAGGTCAAGGAGAAAACATACCCGTTCTCCGTTGGAGTAGTAAAATGCCTTGAGCTCGACGATATTCGGGTGACGCACAATGCGCATAATCTGCAATTCACGGTTCTAATCGATCTCAGTCTCGGTAATTTCTAAAATCGGCGAGGGCTGAGGGAGATATATGGCTAACCTTGAAACGCTTGTCTTGGAGCACACGTTTAATGGCAGCATCTTCCCCGTTTGGAGAAAGCTTGGTCTGGAAAACCACGCCAAAGGAGCCATTGCCCACAATCTTGCACTGAGTGTATTGCATCTCTCGAGTCTCGCCGGTCACACCATCTTGAACTTTCTCGCGAATAACTTCTACAATGAGTAAAGTGTCTCGTCAGCCTTGTCCGGAGAGGCAGATCGATTACAGGAATGTAGGACTTACCCCCCATACGCAAGCTCGAAAACATGTTGGGCCGGTTTTGTGACATAACAACAAGTCAAGTCAACCCGTAGAGAAAATGGGGAACGCGGATGCAGTTATGCGAAATGCAGGACGTTGTAGGATCTGTAGTTGGCGAGAGCGATGGCCCAGCAAAGTGTCGTCGATCGAGGCGTTGAGCAATGATGACGGAGAAGAGGACGAGGAAGAGGTTTGTGGGAAGGAGTTGAAGGAAGATGGAGGGAGGTAGGTGGTGAAGGCTTTAAATAAGTGAAAAGATGCGACGAAAAGTGAGCGGCTAAACAACACAACAGTGAAAGATGCGACGGAAGGTGAAGGAAACTTCACAGCAAGCTCAGACGAAAGGTGGTGATAGGTGAGAGAAGTGAAGATTCTGTCAGTACAAAGGTACTTTCAGGTGAGGTGAAGGTGAAAAATAAGTGAGAAAAAGGGAGTCAGAGGGGGCAGGTGACGTTGATGGAGCGACAAGCAACAGAAATAGGTGTGGAAGGCGGAGTGGGAGGAACACTGCAAAAGCAGTGACACAGGCAGGAGGAGGTATGTATGCAGGGAACCAGATTGAGCCTCCAAACACCACAGCAAAGATAAACAAATGGTATTGTTTTTGGAGTAGCTGTGAGGGAAAATGAAGAAAGGAAATGATCAAGAATAAAGGGGAGGAAGAGAAAAGGAAGAGCTGAAGACTGGTGGCTACAAAGACTCGATAGGCATTGAGTGAAGTTGAAGTGTTTTCGGGGGGGTTTCTTCTGCAGTTTATTATGGAGTACAACATATGTAATCTATTTGGCTGCAGTACACGCTAATACAAAACATGCCGTATCTTGGATCCTGTACCTCTGGTTGAAGCCTTCGCATACAGAGCAAGGGGATTTCTATTTACACAGCCTACGCGCTTGCAAGATTCCCGCTCTTCTGGAGGTGAAGGGGATTATTCTTCTCGCAGATTCCAAGTAAGAGAATGGGTAGGGGCAGGGTCCATACGGACCTCAACTTCCAGCAAGCAATTTTGTGTGCTGGACGTTACCGCGTAATTACATGAAAAGAAGAGCAGGCTGTTCGTGGAAATAAAGGATAGATGCTTGGACGACGTCAACATCCACGTGCTCAACTTGACCAAACGCCACTCCAGCAGCTAGGGCTGCTGAAACGAAGAGAGCCGACCGAATTGCTCGACTTGCGATTTGGACTGGGCGAGAAATGAGAGTTGTTGTTTTGATATCGAAAAAAATCTGAGCAGATCCAGCGGCGTTTCAGCATGGTCCAGGAAGGAGGGGCACGGGTAACGACGACAAGAAATTTCGGGTCAAGGAAGTTGACAAAGTCCGTCCACCACCAGAAGAGCTAGCTTCAACCAAACCACCCCGCTCCGCCCCCGAACCTGCACTTCGAAACGCCTTCTGAAGGGTTCCAAAACGATCACGGACTGGTTGCGATGACGTTGAGATCCAGCATCGCTTCCTCTCAGCTGACCCTTCTATGCCCGCTGAATAAGCAAGGGTTTCCAGCTCTCAGGAACCGGAGAGCGCCATTGGGAAAGGCTGAGCCGACTTCAAACGGAAATGCTGATACCGCACAGAAGCGCGTCTTCTCTTGAGAACGATCTTCTTGGCCTTCTT